ATATAGCGGCGCCCTATCCTATAGTGCATAAACACAACGCTGTCTAGAGGAAACCTTTTATTTTTTTTCTTCTTCTGCAAGTTTCAGCAGTGCCTCTACATTTATGCTGGACTGATTTGGATACAGTACTGCCATCACATCAGCATGAGGCAGTAACTGCAGTTTAGAATGACGATCCACCAGGAGACGTCCCTGAACGACAGCTTTCATGGAAACACCTTCAGGGTTTTGAGGAGGTCCTGGGGCAGTGTGGAAATTAGGCTGATGCAGTTAATATTTGGTGAAAGAAAACTTGCCATAGTATGAACAACAAAAATATTTTAAAAAACGGAATATTACGTGACCATGTTTTTTTAATTCAAGCTTTTTTTGGCCTTGAGCTAGTTTAGCACTAATCCCATCTTTTTCTTGGCTCACAGACTGAAAAACCAACAGTTTACCTAATAAATATGGGAACTACAATCTAATGAATGGAGAGGTTGGGCTCCAAGAAGTTTTAGTACCGTGGCTGAAAGACGTTCAGACCTCTGTGTGAGTGAACCACACCTTTAACTCCAACCTGTTTGTTATTCCAGCGTTGGTTTCCCAACACAAAGACCGGAGGGCTCACTCCAGAATACCAAGTGAGCCGAGGAAGTCATTTGTTTTCTGGTTTGGGAACGGCTCGCTTCAAGGCTCTTTGTGAAGGATGAATTAACACACATTGTAGGCCGCCCATTGAGACAAAATACTGAACCATTCAGCCTGCCTGAGCCCTGTTTTTTTCCTTTCCCAACTTCCTCTGCCTTAATCTTTTTCTCTCTCTCTCTTTTATTTGCCTCTTTTTCTCACTGTTACTACAGTCTGTACAGTCTGTTGTCTGGTTACAGCAGCAGCATACAGGAGCATTTCATTGTCTGTATAATTAATTATTTTTGTATAAAATCATCCTTGTATTAAAAATGTTCATCATCTTGTTTATTTTTTTTATTCAAAAGCAAGATAATAAGCAGGATAATGGAGAGAAGGCCCCTCCACTTCACGTCTCACTTAACCTGTCATGATTTTAATCTGCTGTAACAACCCACTCACTATACATTATTCCTCACATAAACAACCACGTTCAGGTCGTCTGTCTGTCTAAATCATGAGTCCATGCATGCTCTCATTTTTGTCAGGCTCCCCTATAGTTTTACCATATTTTAGCATATATCTCCATATTCATTCAAAACAAAAAAAAAAATCTAAAAATACCAGCACACATTTCATATTCCCAGATCTTTTATGCACCAGCAGCAGGAAGGAGATTACTGTGTGAAGCGATGCCCTAAATATTGCCGTCACCCCTCCGGAGACCAACTTCCAGGAGATCTGGAAGTCTGTCAAAATGCTGCCAGGGTCCCCCGGCGCTCTGACCTACTTGTTCCCCTTACAAGGAAAAACTGTGTAGACACACACACATCCAGAAAACACTCAGACTACCAGAAATCAGAAAAGCACCTGCACTTAAAAAAAAAAAGAAAAAAGAGCAGATTCATCTAAACTGAAAAGATAGAAAATGATTGTTTGATATGATCCCTCAGCATTTGATCAAACTTGACTTAAACACAGAGAAGTAAGATCATTACATCAGATTATGCTTTTATGCTTTTGGGCTCAAGGGTTTCTTTAAAATCCCAGAGGAGGGACTGCAATTGGACTTGTCTTTTAAGTGTTCACCGCTGGTCTGACTATTGGCCATGACTCCTTGCTGCTCATCCCACCCCCCTTGCTCACCACATTTCTTGTCTCTCTTCAGCTGTCCTATCAATAAAGGCAAATATGTCCCAAAACAACTTGTAAAATAAAGAGAAAATCACAGACAAGGTGACACATTTAGAGTTCTGCTGACTGCAGTAAAAGCCACAAAGACTGCCTCCATGTAAACAGATGGGATATGGGTCTGACTTCAAAATCATGATACATGCCAAATTTTTCTCAAACATGATTTCTGTCTTAGAAGTTTGAGGGCCACATGAAAGAAAAATAATTTTAAAATTTTTTAGACGATTTTGAATGTGATTTTTTCATTAAAAATTGTAGTAAGTTAATGATATGAGAACAAAATCACAAGAAAATCAAGTCATTATCTTACAAGATTGAGGTCTGCTGTTATAAAAAAATAAAGTTATCACAAAGTCACGTTATGAGAATAGATTCATGATAAAGTTTTAGTTCATGGTGGGCAGTCACCAGAATGAGGACAGTGAAATATCTTATCAAATTTGACTTAATGGTTTTTTCCTCTTGGCTTCAGATTGTCCGAAAAAAATCAAAACAGCTCATCCACAAACAGTAAAAATAAAAGGCCATATTACTTTTATTTATGCGTGTTTACGAATTTGGACATAAAAAAAAAAAAAAAACCTATAGAATCGTACTTCTATAATACACATTCACAGCTTTCATTACATACCACATAAAACGAAAAATAAAACAAATAAACATTTCCTGGAGGCAAATTTGTGACTAAGGCTGAATTCTAAAAGCAATAACAAACAAAGAAGTATCAGCAGCTTGTTTTTCTCCTTTTATTTTTTGCAACAGTTTATGGAAAACAACCCAAACGGCTGACTTCCAGCGTCACTCTCAAATAGCCGTGATTGAGGACAAAATCCAAAGGTCATTTCTGACTTTGAAAGGCCACAGCTGCTGCACCCTCGGCTCTTATTTTGATGACGCTCTGAGGGATAATGGATCATGTTGCAGGCAGGCCGTAGGGAGGCCTGTGTTATCAAAGGAATAAATTCACAAAAATACCTTTGAGGGGGGTTTGGATATGTAATCATCAAAGTCACGCACAATATCTACACGGTTATAAAGTGGATTTCATTTTAATATGAGAGGAGTAGACTGGGACACCGAATTATTCTTAATTAAGTAATCTTACCCATGTATCACATCACTAACCACTTAAGCTACCATTGTGATACAAATGGTACTGTGGTTATAAAGTGTAGTCAAGCTTCCATTATTTATGTGGTTCCAGTTTATATGTTATCCTACTCAGCTTTCCAATAATGTCTTGTAAGTAAGTCAGTTATGTGGATGAGTAAAATTTATAAATGACGCTTCACTCTTGACTCTCCTTAAAGGGATATTCCGGCGTGAATTTAAGTCATGGTCAAACATACCATGACATCGAGTTAGACACCCCTTTGAGAGATGAATGTTGCTGACGGCTTGCTTCTCTAGTCATGCCAACTTCAGCATCAACCGCACAATAGCAATACACAGCGGTCTATGGATACACGCGCACACCTCAACCAAAAAGGCCACTCTATAGCCACACATAACGCTCAGAAAAGCACCTAACTTCATCAACATTTAGGGTCCCAGCCACTCACCCACTTCCCAGCTACTCACCCACTCTCCTCCAGCAGCCGCTTGTTTGTGGGGGAGCCCTGACGAGTCGATCATAGAGTGCAGTGGAGTTCCGCAGCTCAAGGAAGAACATTTATGATTATTACTTCATTGAAATGCAATCAGAGTTCTTGTGTATCTTGCACTGCCCTAGTTCTTCTGCCTTAGTGTCTTGGTCTGATTGCATTTCCATGAAGTAATCATCATAAATTTTCCACAGCATTCGGTGAGCGACTGCTCAGGGCTCTCCCTGTAAACAAGCGGCTGCTGGAAGAGAGTAGGTGAGTTGTGTTTAGTTTCTTTGCTACAGAAATCAGGCAAAGCTAAAAAGATGTTTGATGGCTAGTGTTATGGCTGGGACCCTATATGTACTGTTGATGAAGTTTGGTGCTGGTCTGAGCATTATTTGTGGCTCTAGAGTGGCTTATTGGTTGAGGTTTGTGCGTGGAGATGTAGACCGATGTGTATTGTTATCATGCAGCCATTACTGAAGTTGGTATAACTCAAGAAGCAAGCAGTCATCAACATTTATCTCGCGAGGGGGTGTCTAACTCAGTGTTATGGTGTGTTTGACCATAACTTAAATTTACGCTGGAATATCCCTTTGAGGGAACAACAATCAGTTTTTTTTTTTTTTCAAAGCATTGAGTGTTTTTTTGGCTCAACTAACAGACGTAGTGTGGGATAACTACAGTCAGATGTTCCTCTAACATTGGCAGCTTATGAAAAATCAACAGCAGCTGGTTTATGGTTTGTAAATGATTTTACACATCTATACACAGGTTTACCAACTCACTCATATATCCATCTCTCAGTCTTGATGAAACTAATGTAGCGTCTAAATGTCAGGAAAGGTTTGTACCAGGGGGCTTCGAAATCTGGACTAGGTGCTCTAATGGTCTAATGCACATGATCACATCTAATCTTTTGCATAAAAAGAGGGGGTATAAAACATATTAAGTATGTGTTAATCAGTTTTTCACCCTGAGTGCAGAACAGATGCAAAAATAATGGACGAAAAAATATGATGGATCGCCTTTGTAGAGGTTGTTTCATTTCAGCGTTTCTCGACCAGAGTGCACAAACTATTATCACCAACACAGTTTTCTTTCTATTAATCAGTGACGTTCATCAGAGTCCACTAATGCATACTCCATTGCTGGTTTTTAATCCTTCTAATGTTTTCTTTTTAATTCTTTTTTTTCCTATTACAGCCCTGTCACATGATGCGTGGCCACATACCGTCATTTAGAAAGGTTAGGCTGAAGTTTGGTGGATTAGCCTCTGCAGTTCTGCACTTCTGCTAAATGTCACACCTGTCACAAAGAGGAAAAGTAGCACTTAATGGGACTGTGGGGGTGATATGTCAGTGTCAAAAATGTAATTACTTCCCACGTTCAGAAGGTGATAATTCCTTTTTTTAAGTATTGGCTTTTTCACATGCAGAGTGGGAGATTTTTCAGGATTTTTTTATTTGCTTTTTTTAAACACACAGTAGCTGTTCCCTAATATCTCTTTCTCATCCTCTTCTATGCTGTTGCTCCCTCTCTGGTAGATGCCAGTGGCTGCTAGTACCACAGAGGAGGGGGGTTGGTGTATCCCTCAAAGCAGACTCCCTCAGTCCCACATAAATACTCTCACTGATGCCTCGATTCAAGCCAAGTCTGCCTCTGTTTCTCCTCCGACCAGACAATCACTGGCATTAATGCTGAGAAAGAGGAGGAAGAGGGTGTTACTGAAGGCTGGGAGCTAAACAGGAGAAACAAGACGGTGTAAAAAGACAAGAGACAGAGTGACAGAGAGAGGAAGAGCGTCAAGAGGAGGAGGAGAGACAAACAGAAAGAGAGAGAGAGAGAGAGAGAGAGAGAGAGAGAGAGGGAGGGAGAGGGAGGGAGGGTTTAATACCAAATAAGCTGCCCTCTCTTCTCCCACATCTCAGTCTGAGAGCACCGGAGCACAGTCACAGCTCTGGAGCGCTTCCCCCCCGACATGCAGCTACATCTGTGAGCTCTGTTCATTCATGCAGGGGTGCAGTGATCCTGTGTGGAAGGCAGCGACACCTCCAAGAGGGTTTTGAACCTGTGTTGATGAGATCGTCTGAGCTCGGAGGCAGAGGAAGCTGAAGAGGAGAGGAGGACGTGCAAGAGCTGGACGTGGATGCTGAGCTGCTCCAGTCTACAGTGAAGGTCTGAACATTTTCCTCTCTTTGAAAACATGCTGGAGATAGACTGACATTGAATCATTTCTCACTGTTGTGTTGTCTGCTTTGCTGATTATCTTTCTATAGAGCAAATTAGGACAAAATACAGCAGGGATGAGTTTGTCTAACCTCCACAGGGATGAATGACAGGGAAGTTTCACGTTAATAAAAGTCACTAACAGGTGTTGTGTGTGAACAGTAGAGAGGAGATCTTATAAAAAAAATGTTTTAGATTTACCTACAGAACAAAACCCTGTGTCACTTGGAAAAAAACATGACCAAGGCAAGACGGACAAGTTTATCTATACAGCGTATATACAGTAGGTAACAAACAGGGCTGCAAGATACTGAAAAATGACAAATAAATGAAAAATTTATTTGTCCTGCCTGCAAAAGTCATCATGAGGTAGAAGAAAATACAGCAATTAGTGCATCTAAACTATCAGAAATTTCAATAACATGTTGATATTTGTTTTTTGGATATTTTCAAATCAGATCTCCCCACTTTTATCATCACACTGAGTCCAGCTTTCCGATGGTAGAAGTCGGCATTCAGAAGTAGAGACACAAGATGAAGAGAGAGTACCAGTGGAGCGACACGCTGCTGTATAAACTTTACCAATACATTCAGTCTACTTGTTTATACATGCAGCTAATTATAAACTCACCTTATTGTTGTTATGATGAACATGCACCGTAGGTATAGATACCCAAAGAAAACACTCAATGATCCTACAAGTTTGGTTGTCCCCAACAACAGTGACATGCATCAAGATAAGTCAGACAATAATGTCCGGCAAAATCAAATATTTTTCAGGTTTCTGTGAAAGTAGCAGTGTCTCGAATTTGTGAGCATGTTTACACTGTGACACACTCTTTTACACTCTGACACACAGATACAGACCTACACATACATGTGTGATGGGCTGCATCAGAGTTATTTTAGAGAGTCATTTAACATGATTAATCCTGGACAGAAAGTAAGAAAAAACAGCAATATGTATTTTAGGTCATGACTGACATTGCACATCCTGTGATATGACTATTGCTCACAGGTACCATGCAATTGTGATGATGTCTGTGTGCCTTACATGAGAGATACAATCATTATGATGCAGGTTGAAAGATAAAGGAGGCATTTGAAGAATTTTTGATGTTGATGAAATAGACTGAAATTTATATTGATGCTTTTTTATGACATCCAAAGGCGAGAAAGACCACCTGTGACAAGATTGACTATTTAACTTTCAATGCTTGAAACTAGTGAGAAGAGGTAGGTGTCAGCCATGCAGCTGAAGTTCCAGCCCTGTTTTTCTAATTTGCTCCCAAAAAAATCACAATAAAGGATTCATTTGACTGTCAGAAGTCAGCAGGGTGAGATTTGTTTTCTCACCAAAAGATGACTTAAGCCTGTAGAGAACAAAATAAAAAAGGCTGCTTTATCTCAAGGAGGCACCAAAAACTGAAAGTTCCCGCAGGAGCTTTAAAATAATTAAAACAAGCAATAAGACGGCAAGAGAAGTTAGAGGAAAAGAAGCTAAGAAATATTAATATGATTAATGATTAATATTTTTCAAAGTTACCATGCAAATGTATAAAGATTAGTTAGTAAAAAGCAATTCAAGCATTGCCACTCGTCACCATTGATTTTTGTCCCAACAGTAAAAGTGTGTGTGTGAAAATGCCCTGCTATTGTCCAGGTTTTGTTTCTAACTCTGAAGGACAGAAATCAGACCTGTGCAAGAATACCTGAATGGAAAAGATGGTTTGCAATGAATCACAGATAACAAATATCATCCCTTGTGTATCTAAATTCTTCAGCTCTTTGCAAACCAGTAGTGTTTTCCTGAATTCTTTGAAGTGCGGACAGTCAAAGTTAAGAAGTAAGGTGAGTCTGCTTACCAGATTTCTCTGTTAAATGTTTATTTCCTGACATGATGGTTGTCAGTCTTCGCTGCGCATCGCTCCGCTGCGCCCGCTCTCCTAAAATGTAAATCTTTCTATTAGACTTAGGATGATCTTCTGGCGTTTTGCTGCCAAACTGTCTGACTGAAGTGCTCAGAGGATTATCTCACTCTTCTCTCTCTCATACATTCAAAGAAGAAGCTGCTGGATAGATGACATATATTCATTCCTTTGCATTGCACATCGTCTTGTGACCTTTAGACAAAAGTATTCAGTGATTAAGAATAAAGCAGACATTTACCTACAGGAATCAATATTTGACTTACTATTAAAAAAACAGTTACACATGCATACAAAGAAAAAATGAAGCACAAATATCACAAATTCTTCATTAATTCTAAGTAAAACTTGATATAATCTATCATTTTAGTCTAGTATGAGTCAATAAAAAGTCATGACATTTTAGACTTGGAGTCAAATCATGTTCCTCCTCTTCTATACTTAGCTGATCAAAACTCTGTATCAAGTTTGTACCAAATGTCTGAGCCCACAAAGCAACATTACACCCTCTGAATACTTATATAAACATCTGGAGTCTTTGTCTCAGTTTGATGCCTCTCTGCTGTTCCTGGTGACATTCACTCCATGGTTCAATGTGAAATGTGTCCATAAGTCTGCTCTTCTCCTATCTCCGGTTGTTTACATATTGTTGTTTTAATTTGATGAGAAACAGAATGAGTTGGGTGTGTTGTGTATGACCGTCTTCCTCAAGCGTCTAACTTCCTTACTGCATGTAATTCAGTTCTGATCTGCTCTGCCAAAGGTTTTTGTTTTTCTCGTTTTATATGTTGACAAGGCAGCAAACGCCAGTACACAAGTCAGGTTACTGGGTACCAAGTGGGCAGGTAATTTCCATGGACTTCAGGTTAGACTCACAACATCTCTGTGAAACTTAACAGCTGGCTCTGCCATCCAGCCCTGCATACAAATACAAAGAGGAAGACAGAGAGAGGAGTCTGTAGTCAGGGCCAGAAGCTACTATGACCATGTACGCTCCACCTCCCCCTCTCACTCATTTTAATAAAGTGAGAAACAAGAGAAAGCAGTGTGTAGAGAATAAGGTAGGTTTCCCAACCTTGAGATCACCTAAAAATTTACTTTTTAATCAAAAAAAAAAAAATTAAATAAAATTATATATATATATATATATATATATATATATATATATATATATATATATACTTATTATTTTATGCCTACAATAGGGTGACCATATTCTGAATCCTCAAAAGGAGGACACGACGACGCGAGAGCAGAGACATGGAGTTGCATGTAGGTAATTTTGAGAGTTTTTCAGCTCGGGTTGAGTGTTTTTTTATGCACTTCTAACTCAGTTAGTCCATGCTACACAAACTCAAAACTTCCATACCAAACCCCAGACATTTAAAGGATTTTATAAACTCCCCCAGACAAAGCTGGACAGCCTCCCAAAAAAGAGGACATGTCCAGGTAAAAGAGGACATATGGTCACCCTAGACTATAATGTCATAGGAAAATCAAGTTGTAATTTTTATAATCTTACAAGAATAAATTCATTGTACAATAAGCTTAATGTCATATTTTAATGGAAAGAAAGTTGCAGTAAAGTCATAATATAAAGTCATAAAAGTCCTCATGTTATGAGAATGGAGTCGTGATAAACCAGCAGCCTGTGCCAAAATGAGGAAAATGGAGCATCCTCTAAAACTGCACTTCAGTAAATGTTTCTCGAACAATGAAAAGCTGAATCTTTTGTCTCCTCAGCACCGCATAGTTATAAATATCAAAACTCTGAAAGGCTGTACAAAAAGATGAGACATGTGGTTTCCCCTTCAAAACAGCATTATGTGACTAATCTTTGATGAAAAAAAGAGACTTTAGTCTCGTAGCAGAATGAATTTATCACAACTTTATTCTAAAAAGAATATGATTTAAACATGATCTTACCACAACTTTATCCTCATTAGATTCTGACTTTATTCATGTAACATTATGACTTTATTCTTGAAATCTTAAAACAACTTCAATGTGGTCCTAAAACTGTCATAAAAATCACTACATGAACTGTGATTCAGTTTTCATATCTTCTAAAAAACTAATTAAATTCAACTACAATGAAAAAATATTTTGCTCTATAATGATTCAACCATCACTTTAATTAAAGAGGTAGCTTGCAGCACCTTCTTACCCTAAATGCCACATGCAAGGGCTGCATAATATCACTTTAAATTACTTGAAATGTAAACAACATTTGCACCCAAAAATTTCACTGCTTGCTTATAACTGTTGGTTCTTTTTGAAAGTGCATCCTTGTGCAAAGCCATAGTAACCCTTATGCCCAGAAGCTTATACTGGAGATGCCCTATCTACTACACCACGGGACTTTAGGAGGCTGCAGCAAGGTGTGCATGCTCAGCTGTCCCATCAAACATGGTGATTTAACAGAGATCATAATTATGTGGAACAGATATGACAAACTTATGAAGTGAAGCTCCTTTACACTGTTTTCTCCATGAAGTGGTCAGTTTACACCATATCTATTTGCTTTTTTTATATATACATTAAGCTCACCCGGCTGTATATCATTCACTTAGAAAAGTAATAGTCTCACTTTTGCGCACTGTCTCGGCAATTCTTCGACAATAATACACATGAAATAGTCACAGTGTTGGATTAAAGTCCTACTCCCATTGTTTTTTTGTTTTTTTTACTACTTAAAGTGTTATCAGTGGTCTTTAAATTGTGATTATGAAGTTTTTAGCCAAATTATGTGACCTGTGTCATTTTCAAGAGCTTTCCTTGTGCAGAGCTCCAGTAGCTCATTAGCAATTCACCTCTGAGTCGTGGGCGGAGTCAGTGCTGCTCTGCACACTCGACTTCACGCTAGCTTGCAGCCTAACATTGCCGGTGTAGTAGAAGTAGTTGGTAACGTAGGAGCTCTTCAGCTGTCGGACACTGATGATTCTGGGGGCATGATGAAAGGTAAAATCATAATTAGCTTTCTTACCAGCATTGCAATCCTCTTACGCACATGCTTGTTCAGCGATCGTCCTTTCTACTTTTCCAAGTCTGGCCTGGATAGCGGGGCTCTGGGGGTGGCACTTGGATCTGTGGTGTAGGAAATCTTACTGTGTCTGAACCTGCCATTTGGGTCTGCCAGAGATTCAAAGCAATTTAAATGCAGAAATACTCAGAAATGCATTTTCACATTTAGTTTTGTCATGATATGTCCTCTAGCATCAGAAAAATGCCATATGGACACGTAGACAACAAAAAAAACATGATTGTCATCACAGTGGGTCTTCAAAATAAATGACTAGTTGCAACACAGTCAGAAAACACTATTTAATGATTGGAAACAGATTAATTCAAACTAAAAACATGCTTGTTTTGAATGTCTGGGGTCAAAAGATTTTTGTGACAGAGTGAGGTGATAAGCCAAAAAATAGGTTAGTGAACATTGATGACACTGATGAACCAGGTCTGACCGTACGCTCCACCTCCCCTCATCCTCCACTGTCCATGAGTGATGAGAAGGAAGAAGAGAGAAAGAACAGGGAAAAGTCTGTAGAGAGATACTAACAACTTGAATTTGAATCATTTTATAAATAATCTTGTGTTTGACTCAAAATAGATTTGACAAAACATGAGAAGCAAACAGTAGAAAGATGCTGACAAACAGGAGACATAATCTGCTGACAAAGTCGAGCATAAAATATAAAAACATGGAGTGCCAAAGTGGCGAGTGTCAGTCAGATTCAAAAGAGCTGTGTACACGAACAAATACTGTGCAGGTTTTCCCTCTCAGGCCTTTTCAAAAACACTTTACACTCCCACAGGGTGAATTTGGAGGACAGCCTCAAGACCTGCTGCAGAATCAGAGCCCTAAGAGGTCGAGTTTGAGAGGGCCAGTCTACTGAAATTCTTTAAGTGCAAAGAAATAGGCGGAGTAAAAACCTCAGGAGCACAGACTGTTGAGGACAAAGTGATTACTCAGAGAAAAACCAGCTTGATGAAGCTGAAGTTCATGTTTATGAACCAGCTAAATTAACCAAGTCACAGTCTGTGGATTCCTGCGAAAGTTGGTTTGACTTTACTCTCTTTTCTTACCCTTGAACATCTTGTTTTTTTAATCTGTAAACCAACATGTCCTTGTCTGCACCCGCTGTGTGCTCTCAGTGCAATAAAACGATATTGCATCTCTTGCCTCCAAGTGTTTGCGCCTCTGACTCATGCTGTTTGCTTCAGACACAGAGTTTACTCACATTCCTGCAGAATTTCTAGTTTCCCTCACCTTCAAGAAGAGTGAGGACCTCATCAATAATCTGCTGCTGACGTCTGCTGATGCTGAGTCAAAGTCAGGCTGGACAGCAGTGATACTCTGCAGGCGGAAAAGGCAGCAGTGTTGTTGTTGAGTCCCGAATCCTAGAATCTGAATCGAATCTTGATAACTTAGTGTTCAGGTCCGAGTCACCAGAGAAAAATCTAGGTTTTAGTTTAAATCCTCATTATAAATATCAATATTGATTACGCACAAGCACACACTATAGACAGCATGAACCTGGACTGACCATGTGGGACATTTTGTCCTTTTGAATGAGTAGAGAAGACATTGTGTTCTGGTTTGTTTAAGATCCCCACTGATCCTGCTTGGAAGTCTAGAGATATAGAACATCTATGAAGTTACAGCGCTGTGTGTCATGCATAAATGTGCACTGCATGACTCTTCTGGGATTTTGCTGCGATGGGATCACAGCAGGAAACTGACAACCTCAGTCCCACTATAAGCTGCAGGTTAGTTTTGAAAGGATGTTGCTCCAGATATTTACACATTTTGCTGTCTTTCTGTTGACAGCAAAATGTCAACAAAAATAGCTTGTACTGTTGCTATTTTCTGGTGTCGATTATATCATTTTTTTTACAACACACAAATTGATATCAGGCATATGATAATAGAGTGAGTTTGCAGCAATGGTCCGAAAACATAGAGATAAATGAGGAGCAGCAGCTACTAGCAAGCTAGCTGTAGCAGTCCTGTGAGAAATGGTTAAGCACTTTAAAAAATGTCGTTCAAGGTTTTTTGTAAATTCAAAAACAATATTAGATTTTTTTGTCTCTTCAGGTCACTCATCAACTGAACATTTACACATTCTGATGGCTCTTCAAAACAGTTTCTGTTCAGTTATGTAACTTATGATCTTCTAAAAGTGGTATACCCCAAAATAAATGCATAGTTTGACAATGCAGGTTAAGATCATGAAGTTATGTGTTGCTATATTTTATGGCAGTGAAGTGTCGGCCTTAACGGTTTTGGAAAATAATCTAATTGCGAAAAATTTTCCTCAATATTGCGATTTAATATGCGATTATTTTTTTAAACAAACAATAAATCAATCTGTATTATAGTAAACAATATCAGATTAATCGTACGTAAATTGTTCTTTCTGGCAATTTTCATTTCACACACACACACACACAGGCTCTCTTTGCTCACACACTATCACTCACACACACACGCCGTCATATATGTTATGACACTAATCTACATACTGACGGCGACATGTAATCGGTTCCCAAAACACTGGAGTCTGGTCTATTCATTCAGCTGCACTACCATCACCGTACTGGATGCGTTTTTCGTCGTTATGCAGATGTGGTTTTAAGTTGAAGTGCTGGTTGCTGGTGTTTTAGTCGTTCAACTATCGTACATGACTTTGTTGCATTTTGTGTGTTGATAAAAGTTCACAGAGTTACCTCCTGATGTGGCAACAAAAGCTACAGGTTCTGCGGACGTTGCACCGCAGCACTTTTTTTTGTCAAAATAAATCCACACAACTGCTGTGCTGCTCCTCTTTGGTATTAAACTTTCTGCAGTGTCAGCTTCTGTAGCAGTATTAGCCCGCTTGCTCGCAAGTCACGTGACCAGATCACATGACCAGTCAAAATTGCAGCCTTTGCAGATAGAAAATTGCGTTTAAACGCAATTAATCGTTCAGCCCTAATGAGGTGGAAACCTGAAATCGTGAATACACAGGGAAAATGGTTAAAAGCTTAAACCTTGAATCAATTTGACTTAATGAGACTAAACCAACCAAATACATAACAGCTTAGCTCACAACAGTCCAGGTAGCATCAGGATCACATTTCATTCTTCTGGATCCGCCTGAATGGATCTTTGTTCAAGTTTAAGCTTGTCCTCATCTGTTTCTGGACGGTTCTTCAAAAATATTCACTCAGAAGACACTACCCCTTTGTTTCAATTGAAAGAGTATTGGAAGTTTGGGAATAAAACGTTCAGGCTCATTAGAAGCGCTCGTGTAAACCCACTTCATGAAAGCTGAGACTGGCTCCGGTCCTACAAGACTCCTAATGGGATCAGCAAAGAAATGAGTGGATGACGAGTTTGGCTTCATAAGGTAGTGGAGAGAACCAATATTCACGGTTAAACTTTTGACTGAAGTGGAAAAATGGATGAAATTCTTGAAACAAACTCAAATGAGTAAAGCAGAGCAGAACTGACTTCAACAAAACTACCCTTGACTGTACTGGAGAATAACTGTGAGTTGTGTTTTGTTTCATATAGTTTATACTATACTAAATACAGCTGAGCCAAAGTCTTCAAACCAAAGACTTCAGAAACTGAGGAAATTCCCAAGGATCGTTAAATCTGGTGGAAATAAATGGAAGTTATTGGTGTAACAGTAATCAGCTCAATGGCTGCACAACGATCAGTCCCATATTATTTTTACAGAAATATGCAAAAAGCTACAATACTTAAGGATGGTTTTGACAATAAAAAGCTGCTTTATTGGTGTGTTCATCAACAAATTGCTCCCAAACCATTCGTAAAGAACTGGTTTGATCTAGTATTTAGATCTGCTTGAAAATTCATCAGAGGGCTATTTCATGCTGCATTTGAAATCATGCACAAACAATTAGATTCTGCATCAGCCGCTGACTCTATAATCCATATCGAACACATCTCAGCAGAATTACGAGCAGCTGAGATGGAAATTTAAGAAGAGAAAATCATTACGCTTTGAACCGGCTCTGCAGGCCTGCCATTTCTTAATCTGCATACTGGGCTCTGCTCTTGATGAACAGTGCAGAAAAGTGGCTTTGAGTCAGATTGTTTGAGGTTGTTTTTTGCCCACTTGAAAGCTGGTTCAGATCAGAGGCAGATCCTCAGATGCAGAGGAGGGAATGCTGCATGAGCAGATCAATACACAGAAAAAAAAGCTGCACTCTCATCCTACAGAGCACCACACTCAGTCCTCTGAAGTTCACTGTAAGCCTTTATACGCGAGGACTAAAATAACAGGAACATTATTATTTCTGCTATTTATGGGAATATTCTCTGTGAAAAGCTCCAGTGAAAATTAAGTTATATATAAACTAAGAGCAATAAATTCAAAAGACATGGAGAAACTGGTAAATGTGAAGGTCCAACCTCAACTTTGGTGACATGTAAGCTACAGCAACATACTCTTTATAAAAATTTTTCCACTTTAGGGATGGATTGCTGTGATATGTGATGGCAAAATCCATATACACATATATACCCCATATTCTATAATCAATCAAAATTTCTCTGCTTCAAATAATTTCCACAGAATATGTGGATTTCACTTTCTATAGCACACAATATTATTAAAATACTAGCAAAAATGACACAAGGTGGGGGACCAGTCCTTGTTGGTCATAATCTTTAGACCCTTGGGTGACACAGCATTAAGAAAGACATGACACTTTAGTGGAAATGACCACATAAGATAAAAATGTCTTAAAAAAAAAAACACGATGCGTGTCCTTCGTTGACCACTGCTCTCATAAGTACAGGTTGAAACTGTATTACGCAAAGAGTAAAGAACATATATATGATTCAGAAATGTTAGCGGCTTCTCTGACCTTGGGCCCGTTTGAGACTGACTGTGGCTAAGTGTAAAACTGTCTTGTGGACTGAAAAATCTGAATTTGATCTTTTTGTGTAAATCATGGAAAATCAATTTAATCAACTGGTAAATAGACAAAGCAGTGAAAGCAGAGCTTGAAGTGCAGTTAGTCGAAACTGTTGGGTAGCAAATCAAAGAAGTATTTCTGTGCTGGTCTCCATCTTTGTTGAAGTCCTAATCTATACAGCACACACTCATCCTATTATATGTTTTTAAATTAGCCATAGCCAGAATCATGTGTGTATTGCACCTACTTTGTATTTACTGAAGTAATGTCTCATCAATGCCTTTCTGTCAAATAAACAAGTTAATGAGATAAAATAAAATCATTTTCGAGTGCTAAAGAGTAAATGTTGACAGGCTAAATTAAGATGGTGAATATGGTGAATGTCGGGCCAAAAAAGCTCCAGAATAAAGATAAAGCATTTCAATTAACATCAATGATAATGGGCTTTGCTTGAAGTATTCACAACCTGCCAGGAGGAAAATTAATGCTCTGAGTCCATGTGGCCTCAGAAATAAAGGACTCCTTTTTGCAGGATTGATTTGAACTGTGTTGCAAAATTAATTTTATTCATTTTTCCTCTTTATTTGTGTCCATATTTTTTTTTCTTTCTTCTTTTACTGCTTATTTTCATCAGTTCTTGCCAAAATTACAACAGCAATAATAACAGATAAGACAAAGGGACAGAAGTTTTCATTTTTAAACCATTTGTCTATTCAGTTCATAAGACATGTTTGCAGCCTTGACTGTACGGAAAAAGTCATGAGACAAATAAAATGAATAAATAAGCTTGAATATGTGAAAAATGGACACAGAAATACCTTTGGTTTAGCTTAATGGAAGATGAAATGGATAATTCAGGCCTAATTGCTGAAAGACACTGAAATAGTTTGACTTTCTACAGAAAGTGCATTTAGGATTAGTTGGTGTTTATAATAATATAATTAGTCTCTTGTATAGACACATTTTGTAGGTGTAGTCACACCAAACACAGTAACATGCACACTTAATGAGAAGTGTTGATTGGCTCGTCATCACGAATCACACATGTACCTATCTGATAAGGCCAAGTATTAAAAGAAGCAACATATTTCACACAATGTGGCCACTGTGCATAAATAAAAGAATAAATAAATAAGATATAAGCTGTATAACACCTTTACAAAGTCTGATATCTGTTTCTTTCAAATACACCACAGACTCCCACACAACCCTTCACCTACAATATGTTGCTGCTGCTGCTAATAAAGAATGTGGCTAATTAGTGAATTTTTGCATATTATCAGGTAGAACTGAGATCATAAGATGTTGTATTTATTATATTCACTCAACAGCAGCGTGTTGGTATCACTGGTATGGTAAAGACTGACTTTGCATTACATGTATTGCCATTGATTTTATGTGTATTATTAATACTGTACACATTTAGTTCACATTTGGCCCGCACACTCCTCAAACCAAACTAAAGAAAACAAAATTACATCTCTTATGTCACAATTTAAGTATGAGGAGGTCACATGAGAAAATGTCACATTGGAGAAAAAAGGAAATACATTTCTGATTTTAACAAGCTGCTTTGTTTGTTTGTTGAGGGTTTTTCATTCGAAGGACCAATCTGATGCTGACTGACAGCTTCAAACTTATTCAAAAGTTTCTCCTCTTTGACAAAAAAAAACGAGCACAGCTTTAGAGACAGAAAAGTGTGAGTGGTTTCAAGTGTGAGAGTGTGTTTGTGACCTGAGTGTGAGTTTATGTATTCAGTTGTACGAATGATGAAGCTGCAGTCTTTGTGGAGACCATAATTTAATCATGGCGGTACATTCGTAAATTCCTGATTGTCGTTGCTGATTATATATGTGCCTCAGATTGTTTTAAATGAATTGAAACGTGTGTTGAATGGTAATGATTTCCATCTGAGTGAAAATTATACTTTCAACCGGTGAAATGGGATTGTATGCTAATGTATTAAAATGGGACAAGAAAGATGCACACATACAAATATATACATTAAGACTCAGTTTGTTTTTTCTGATTGCAGTTTGCATATAAATCTATAGTGGACCAGTCCCTCTTAAAGTTGATGTGCTCCCCCTTAAATGAAAAAAGACACTGTAATGACTGGAGTATCAAAAAACCCATCGCCTTAATATCATCAGTGATAATAACTTCAGGCTGTAAACGTGTATGTTTTTGCTGTAGAGATGTGCTTTATTGAATGAGTGTGTTTGTGGCTTGCTGTGGTCTCAGGAAATGAAGAAAAATCCACGATCCTGCAATTTGTAACACTTTTCGCTTAATTTCATGGGCTCTATTTTCGTGCCTTGCCGGAGACGTGGCGCAGACTTGGCGTAAGTCAGGTCTGCGGCACCGACAAGGCGTGCCAAAGCACATTTTTGGTATTTTGGTGAGCGGCGCTGCCAATTTTCGTGAAGTAGTCAGAGAGATCAAGAGATGTCTAAAGACAGCAATGCCACATGATGGCGACAGAAGGCAGCTCCTCAACAAGTGTTGCTGTAAACGCTGCAGAGGGCGTCCTTCACACTGTCTCATATGAGCACAGATGGATTTGGTGTGTGTAATGTAGGACCCACTGGTAAGACAAACACCCTTTTCCACAAATAAAGACACTCACATAAAGTTGCACATATTCAAACCTCACGTGACAAAGGTGGGTTGTGCGCACAGATCACAACATAAACTCCAAAAATGGCATTTATATCGGAACCATCTATACACAAATGACGCATCGCGCTCCGTGGCCTGGCTCTTTCTTTCATAGATGTTGGCATATAAAATAAATTTGGCTCACAAAACTGAATATTATAATATCCGTATGTAGGCTTAAAGTAAAAAACTCATCTGATCACTGAAACAAATCATCTGTTCAGCCGCCGCAGCAGCAGCTGCAGCAGGACGGGGGAGAGGACGCGGAGAAATGTCCAGGTCGAGCTGCGCAAGAAATAAGAGAAAGAAAGAAAAGGAGGGAGATGAATTACATATCTTGTTAACTTCATCATGTGTGTCTATTTACTAGATATTTAATTAGGGCCCGAGCGTAGCTGCTAAGCAGCTGCGAGAGCCCTATTATTCCCCAAGTGGTTTTTCTTTGTTTCTTTTTTCTTTTTCCTCCCCTTTGAACTGGAAAATGGCCCACTTCCCACTGGCGAAAACTCAGGAAATTTGGCAGGACGACCGGGCCTGGTGAAAAATTTGATATTCCGAAGTCGCCCAAACAAGAAAATGCAAAATGGCTCCATAGCGCCCCCTAAGGTGAAAATTCACACTATTGACTGTCACGCCTGTACGCTTTGTCAAAATGACACAAAAATTGACACACACATGTATCTCAATAAGATCTACAAAAAAGTCAGTGCGGGCGTATCTGTCAAATGTACGGTTAAAGGGTTATTTTGCATTTTTTGCCGATCCGCACACATTGGAATTTCGCTAACTCCTCCGAAGGCTTTCGTTCCACCGGCACCACATTTGCTCAGGCCAATCTACACCCCATGGCCATTAAAAGTTATTCAAATCATGACGCTGCACCCCACGGTTTAGGTTCTAGGGGGCGCCAAAGATAACCCTAAAATCCACATTTTTAAAAGTCTTATAACTTTTTATTTTTGCCCTCACTGGCCTCCAAGTTTTCTAGGATGATGCAATGTCCAGCCATCAACACATTTGTGAAGGAATTTTTACTCCCCAAAAGAGCGCCCCCCCATGGCAGGAGAAAAAAGTCCATTTTTTCTTGTCCCCTAAGGTGAAAATACACATTGTTGAGTGTCACGCCTGTACGCTTTGTCAAAATGACACAAAAATTGACACACACATGTATCTCAATAAGATCTACAAAAAAGTCAATGCGTGCGTATCTGTCTAATGTACGGTTAAAGGGTTATTCCGCATTTTTTGCCGATTCGCACACATTGGAATTTCGCTAACTCCTCCGAAGGCTTTCGTTCCACCGGCACCACATTTGCTCAGGCCAAATTACACCCCATGGCCATTAAAAGTTATTCAAATCATGACGCTGCATCCCACGGTTTACGTTCTAGGGGGCGCCAAAGATAACCCAAAAATCCACATTTTTAAAAGTCTTATAACTTTTTATTTTTGTCCTCACTGGCCTCCAAGTTTTCTAGGATGATGCAATGTCCAGCCATCAACACATTTGTGAAGGAATTTTTACTCCCTAAAAGAGCGCCCCCCATGGCAGGAGAAAAAAGTCCATTTTTTCTTGTCCCCTAAGGTGAAAATACACATTGTTGACTGTCACGCCTGTACGCTTTGGCAAAATGACACAAAAATTGACAATCATGTGTATCTCAATTAGATCTACGAAAAAGTCAAAGAGCGCGTATCTGTATAATGTACGGTAAAAGGGCTATTTTGCATTTTTTGCCGATTCGCACACATTGGAATTTCGCTAACTCCTCCTAAGGCTTTCGTCCCACTGACACCAAATTTGCTCAGGCCAATCTACACTCCATGGCCATTCAAAGTTGTAAAAATCATGACGCTGCACCCCACGGTTTACGTTTTAGGGGGCGCCAAAGATGACCCAAATATACATTACAGTAGACAAAGTAGTTTTGCCCACTGAGTGGCGCCAAAGGGACTTGTCTGTGGAGTCTGTGAGTCACTATTGGCCGTTTTTGACTACTTTAGATTTTACCTTTATATTTCCTCTTACAAAATTTTTACCTTGCCTTGCCTGGTATCATTTTTTTCAGCACAACCTCACCTGTGTCAATTTACAGTTATTTTATCATTTTGACATACTATATTTACACATTGGACCCAAATTCACACACAAAACATAAAATCCGAGTGGAAAAAAGTAACGTTTTTACTGTGAAAACCACAAATATGTGTGATGAACTGTTTTTAAAACTTAAACTTCAAATAAAAATTGTAAACTTCAAAACATATGCAAATTTTTAACAAAGAACATAGTAATTTACCTCTATTGACATCAAAATGCAGGCAATGGCCCAGGCGTTCTTTGTAAAATTATTTACAAAACACTGTATAGTCTCACAAATGTCACTTTTTATTTATGCCACTACAAAAAAACATGATGTAAATGATGCATGATGTAAAACATGATGTAAAAAACTTGTGTAGATCCTCCTCTATGTTAGTCCATGTGTAATTTTTCCATAATTCTTTGTTTTTTGCAGCATTTTTGTTAGTGTAACTGCAGATTGTGCTGACAGTGTCTGTGGCAAAAAAAAAAAAAAAAACTGAAAATGCCTCAACATGAACCCCTGGTGGTCTCTGAGGGTGAAACCTGCTAACTGCTGCAGCTCTGTCAGCTTCAGTCTCCCATGCAGAGCTCGGAGCGCATGTGTGGCTCTGCACCCTTAGCAGCGTTGCTAACTCCTCAGTAAGGAAAGCCTGCTTCATGTCAGAGTCTCTAAACTCCAGAAGTCGATAAAAGTCACTTTCTTTCTAAAAAAAAGTCGTTAGGGGGTCTGAAAAGTCATTGAATCTAACAACAAAGTCGCTAGGTTTGCAACTACGTGTCCCAGACTGCATCCCTGCTGAGAGTCCCTCCCTCCCTTCTCATATTGCAGGAAGAACGTAAGCGCCCGCCCCTTGTCAATCAGTCACCATATAATTTTGGATTGGTTGTTGTGGTGAAGTTTTCCACCAATAGGAGAGATGTTGTGGTGTGTTTTTTTCTTTTCCTTTGGCAAGCCTTTTCCGCCTGTAAGACCTGTCGCTAATGTCTGCATGCTATGTTTTCCTGTCTCATACAGCGCGATCGAGCGCCGAACGTGATCAAAATAAGCAGAAAACAAGTATCGCGGACATAATTTATCATAACTCTGGTTTTATTTGGCCTATCAACACAATTTAAAAACTGGTATATAGGTTGAGGTCCTCACTTTTGAGATAAGTTGAAACGGAGAGTCAACGAGGCTCCGTCTTGCAGCTACATCCGGTTAAATATGTCATGTGACTTGAACGCACACACACACACACACACACACACACACACACACACACACACACACACACACACTCACACACACACCGTCTTGCAGCTACATCCGGTTAAATATGTCATGTGACTTGAACGCACACACACACACACACACACACACACACACACAGACACACACACACACGCACACTCAGAGTCTGGTTTTTAGCACCTGCAAAAACATGCTATTTACATATTTGACAAGAATGCAGAGGCTTCCTTTTGCCCCTGAAAAAAAATCAAATTTCAAACACAACTTGACTGCTCATTTCTCCAAAAGACAACCATGAAGCTCCATCCAAACCTGAAGCAGGCAGTTGGTGCATGTGTACAGTAACCTGAGGGGAGTGAGGTGACTGCTTCTGAGGAGAACATGAGCAGTGAAGATTCACCTTGGAGCTAGAACAGGGACGTGTACATGATTATACAGGGGCAGGGGCTCAAGTTTTTTCCAGTCGTTTATACAATATGGAAATTAATGTGAAATTAAAAAACAAAGTATTAATAGAAAGGTAATGACTGTCCTGTGTAGGTGACAGTGATATCCAATAGGCTAGGCACTCACGAGGCTGGCTGTGGCAAGTGTAAGTGAAAGCAACACGCACTGGCAGGAAGAACAGCAAACGCCGATGAAGGAAAAGGGTCTTTGTAGTGATGGGCGTTACCAGAGAGGGCGATGGCCAGAGGACGCGAATGGGACGGGGAGGCAGCGCGTTGGGGGGGGGGGCGCGACACGGCTCGGGCCCGCCAGTGCCCCAACGGGGCCCTAGTTTGTTTTGTATCTGCGAGCTTTCAGCACACTTTACACGGCGGCAGCGAGCACGAAAATGTCACTGCGCCATCTGATTCTGTTGACACCTCCCCCTTCTGCGCCACCACGCCCAGCGAGGCGGACCTCGGTGTGCCTCAGTCCACAAAAATACCAAACTACCCGGGCTCCGCCGGCCACAAATACCAGTGCGCGGGGTCCACCACCCTCAGATTCTCAATTTGTGTCTAAACGAAGGGTGCAAATGATGGTTAATGTCTGCGTTTTTAAAAATAACCGGGTACATATATACGGGGCCTAAGTCTGACTGAAACCAGATTTTTGAAAAACATGTAAACACATTAGTCTGATTTAAATCGCATGAAATCAAACACCTCATGTGGTTGAGGATCATTTTTCTCTTCTATGTTTATGGATCAGTCAAACTGAAACTGGCCTAAATTTAAATCAAACTTATCAACTGGGGTGACTGGAACAACTGTTTCAGCCAACAGGCACCTGGTCTAAAACAGACCTTATCTGAGGTCACCACATGAAAGCATTCAAAGCTTTTCATATTAAATGATGTATGTCTTGAACTCTCATCTGCTGTGAAAGCCATTTGAATTTGTCATTGTAACATGACTAAATATGGAACAGTTTAAGGAGCTTCACTTCTGTACATTTCCACATTTGCCTCCAATAAGAACAGGAATATTCAGTTGTGTGTTTGAGGTGAAATAATAACTGTCTCCATTATCCGTGAGGAGTTACACAGACTTGTTGTTAGTGTCTTTGATCATGAGAATAATTGGATTAAGCTCATTATATGCCCAGCAGAACATTACACTTGTTCACAGTTTAAGTGTGTACACTGTGATTTCTGATGGAACTGATTGTCATTTACCTCCGGCTGCTTCCATTACAACACGGTCATACAAGCAACTCGACATAATTATTACTTTGATTGTGGTCACATTTTTTGTGACTTGATATTGCGATAAGACATGAATTTTGATGAATGTTGATTGCCTCGAGGGAAACAAGCACATAATTATTTACTCTGCCAACAAACACAGTATGCAAAATAGAGAGAAAATGAGAATATTAAGTGAGGGAACAGCTTGATCAAATTATTTTCCAACTCTGAGTACACATAGTAATTAGATTATAGTGAGCTCATAACCAAAGCAATGAATAATTACAACTGCAAACAGTATGCATGATGATTTAGAGGGCATTTTAGTTTAATAGTGCTTCCAGCAGAGTTAAAACTCAGAGATAAGTGATGCAAGTTTAACAAAAAGGTTGGAAAACATGAAAGTACAAGGGACATCTCTAATACAGAAACCTGCCAGCATATTATGGAAAACAATGAAACAAAGCGTAACAAACAGGAAATTTAACTGTGAAATAGCTTTTGGTAATAACAGTGTTGTTGTAAGATGAGACTCTTCATGCAGAAACACAATCAGAGCACTTCACTGTGACACGCTTTTTACTTCTCTCACCTATTTGGTGCAAATGTCGATGAGCTGAATTTGATTTGGTCTCATAAATTTAACCTTCAGCACTACAAGGCAGCTCTGATCTGATAGATACAGAGAGCCCAGAGAAATATAAATGCATATTTATTCAATAGACCTTCCGAATCACTGTACGAATATCAGGATTTTATTAAAACTGCAGCCATACACAGCAAAAGTCTGACTATAACATGCAAAGGTAGAGCACTTATATAGCCACCAATAGAGATGTAAATAGTGTTGTTTTTTTCTCTTCAAGTGTAAGTCTGACACATGAAACCATCCTGCTTGTTTTTGAATATTTCTGCACAACAGTGAAGGTCATAAAAATCCCTCCATCACCAACCACTCACAAACCCAACCTTAACCCCCAATGTGTGGTTGTTATATAATTCAGTATCATGAGTTCTGCTATAATAAATCTGTGTTTTAGTGTTTTTTCTTGAGACTAATTAAGCTGACTAAAGTCACGTTTGCCTTCATTAAGGGCTCAGCGCAATTTGTCCCACATTTGTCTGCTAAATTGTTTGTTGGCTTCCTGTACATATCACTGTCCAGTTACACTGATACTGTTGGTGGAACAAATTTAAAAAGCATAGCAGTTTTAGAGATTCGATTTGGCATAAAACAGGCATTGGAAAAATAGCACACACACACACTGGGCTCTATTTTGGTGCCTCGCCGGAGACGTGCCGCAAGCGCAGCGTCAGTCAGATCCGCCGCGCTGACAAGGCGTTCCCAAGCACATTTTGGTATTTTGGTGAGCCGCGCAGCCCGGCGTAAGTATCCCCCCTCCCTAACTCAGCTCCTCCCAGCACCACAAGTCGTAGACAGGGAGGAGAAAGGGCGTGTAGTGGGTTTAACACAGCCGAGACCTGTTTTCACCAATTACATAGGCTCCTCTCCTTGCCTTTAAATCCGCCACAGGCGAGGCGTATTACTATTTTCATAAAGTAGTCAAAGAGATCAAGAGATGTCTTAAGACAGTAATGCCACAAGATGGCGACAGAGGGCAGCTCCTTAACAAGTGTCCTCCACACTCTCTCATATGAGCACAGATGGATTTAGTGTGCGTAATGTTGGACCCACTGGTAAGACAAACACCCTTTTCCACAAATAAAGACACTCACATAAAGTTGCTCATATTCAAAGCTCACGTGACAAAGGTGGGTTGAGCGCACAGATCACAACATAAACTCCAAAAATGGCATTAAAATCGGAACCATCTGTGCGTAAATGACGCATCGCGCTCCGTGGCCTGGCTCTTTCTTTCATAGATGTTGGCATATAAAATAAATTTGGCTCACAAAACTGAATATTATAATATCCGTATGTCGGCTTAGAGTAGATAACGCATCTGAGCACTGAAACAAATCATCTGTTCAGCTGCAGCAGCAGCAAGACGGACAGAGGACACGGAGACATGTCCAGGTCGAGCTGTGCGAGAAATAAGAGGAAGAGGAAGAAAGAAAAGGAGGGAGACACATTACATATCTTGTTAACTTCATCATGTTTGTATATTTACTAGATATTTAATTTAATTTGATGCGGTTTCAGCTGTGTTGATTCGGTCAGGTTGTGTGTCCAAACGTGTGCAAAACGCGCTCATCAGATCAGATATAGATCAGAATATATCGATATAGATCTAAATGTATGTGCTGACTCAGATTAATAGTTGATGATGATTATTTATTGCACTGAAATGTGCCTGACACTGTGGAAACCTGCCGGTGAGGCATCAGTGACAGTGATCAGATACGCCGCCGGTCTACCAAAATACTACTGGACCAGCTGCGTTCCGCCTTGCGCTGAAAGCTGACCAGGTTTGAATCGGCGAGCTTTCAGCGCACTTTACACGCCGTTGGCGAGCACGAAAATGTCACTGCGCCAGCTGATTCTGTCGACACCTCCCCTTGCCATGCCACCACGCCCAGCTTGGCGGATCTCGGCTCGCCTCGGTGCGGCTCAGTCCACGAAAATACCAAACTGGCCTTACGCTGGGCTCCGCCAGACGAAAATACAACTGCGCGGGGCTCGCCGCCCTCCGCCGCCTCACCGGCGCGCACGAAAATAGAGCCCATGTTGTTCATTTGCCAAGTCCTGAAGGAAGAATCACTCCCCTGCCCTGAAAAACTAACCTCTCTGTGCGTCCCCGTCTGCAGAAACAACACAGCAGCAAGTAGCACGCCCGCTAAACGAGCGCAAGTCGTCGTTCTTTTATATCCCAGAAAAGTGGAGAGATTGAAAATAAATAAACATTGCAGCTGTAGCGGGAATTCGGCTGAAATTCAATTCTTGCAGAAAAGTGTATACACGTGTATTAATGTAAAGGCACTATAATGCACTGTTTTATCTTAGCCTCAGTGAACGAACTGTGAACAATGCTACACCCCTCCCTCCTCTGCCTGACTCAAGTCATTCAGAAGTTGTCCGTTTCGTTCACAGTCTGACTGATACATGTCATTCATTCACTGTGAGCAAATCATGAGACTCCGCCCGCTTGCTGGCTGGCTGGCTGTGTGTTGTTTGCCAAAGAGTCAAAAGCAGCAGTTCCACTCCCGACCGGCCCGCCAGGCTCACAGCTGAGCTCAACTGAACTGAAAAAGGAACGAATCAGGTCTCGGAGTGATTCAGTTCACGTCGTTCATTCAGCAGTTCCGTTCTTTTGAACGTAAAATTCATGAACGGCACAACACTAAGCAGCAGTTTGTCTTTTTATACATTCAACTTCATAAGGAAAATGACAGATAGAATAAATCTGAGAGCAAGAGCTTTGGGCTCTAAACTGAGTAGATCATCAGGACTGAATATGTAAAAAAAAAAAAATATTTTATGAACTTTCAAGTCTGAACATAGTCAATTCTCAAGTCCAAGTTCAAGTCCAGTGCCATGTCACACCAAAAGAAAATATTTTTTTGCATATTTGAACACTTCAATGTTCTTTGAACTCACTTATTCCATAGAATGACTCACTCTATTTGTGTGTGTATATCACACTCACCTTGTTCCAGATAAGCTCTTTTTTATTCCTGTCTTGATATTAAAATCAAGTTGTATCCTGTAATCACATACTGTCATGATCACCAGAGAATCTCATGCTGATTGGCTACCCTGGCATGAATGATTTTGTTAGGGTCAAAAATGTTTAATTCTCGCACGTAAGTAAATGATAAGAGGAGCACATTGAATATGTTGAGAATTTGTATCATTCACACGTTTAATTTATTCAAGTTGGACTATTTTGGCCACTTCATTAACATGATTGGCATGGACAGATATCTTTACATAGACTTAACATGCTATTCACTGTCACAGATGATCTTATTTATATTTAATGTGAACATAACATAAGTCGTCAGTGTTTGAGCTCAAGACAACTTTTAAATCCAGAAAGTCAAGATTTTGACTTTAGTCTACTGTCTATAATACTTTTGTCTACCACAGCTTTAAAAAAACAGACTAACATGCTGCAACCAAGATGTGAGGGCACTAAATATTTATTATATTAATGATTAAATGTATCCCATGGTGCTGGAGAAATTAGACAACATTAGACAGAGAGTGAATGTGGACATGGGCATCCATGCAGACATTAAAAACATTTGAACTTGTAGTATGGTGTTGCTTTATTTTGCTTAGAGGTCTATTGGTGTATGAAATAAACTGCAGTCTGGAGTCCCTGTTAATGAAAGGTTATGGTCTTTATGTAGACTAAACGTGCTTCCAGGTATCGAACACAACTATCAGTCTGGATGCCTTTCCCTGTAACACAAACAGACAAGTAGCTCTCTGCAAAACTTACTTTTCTGCTTCTTCAGTTTTGGCCTTTTCGCTGCACTGACATGATTTTGATAGGCCGTCTCCACCCCCCCTGTGTAACCGCAGTTAGAAATGACAAACTCTCCAAGTGTTGTCAAACAGTGGACTCAGCAAGTCAGCCTATCACCTTGGTATATCTCATCACTCTTAAGTATCATGATATTTCGTGGCACAAGATCTTGTCAGTGCCCTGATATTTACCAGACTTGAGTAAGATTTTATACATTTGTCCTTTACATTAGGTGTTATATCTGTTTCTATACATTTTGTCTTTCGCCCTATTACATTTTTTATCCCTTCTTTGTCTCATGTAGTCGTACTGTATCTCAAGTGCATAATACAATATGCACTCTGTGCTTGAGTTGTCATTTTTCTCCGTGTTGATAATGAGGAGGTCTTTTATTCTAGAGCAAACTGAGCTGAGTGGGAACATTTTCCTGTCAGATCTGTGAAATGCATGGTTGGCTCAGTGTCATATGTACTCATTAACACTTTTACTGAAATGTTAGACGACTTCACACCGTCTGTACTTGTTAACATCTTCACTGTGGAAAGCTGTAAGTTTATACACCCACCACATATCAAACAGTTTAACTTTCTCTCACTCACCATATGCTTGTTTCATAACTCCTTCACTAAAAGTCTGATTGTCTCATAAACAATTTTCTCAGGTGTTGGTTTTTGTTCTCCATAACTGCCTGAGTAAATGATTTAAAACACAAAGTTTTACATTTTCTGAAATGACCTCAACTGTAGTAAATATACATTTAACATCAGAGCTGATTATCATATGACATGTAAAGAGTCCTGTAAACAAATGCATAATTCAATGATTAATTCAAAGTTAACTTCTCATCAGTGTAGCGTTTGTATTCTTGTAACCATCAGCATCGTGATAGATCATCAACTCTTTTCGTGTTTCTTTCCTGACAGCAACAGCTTGAGAGTCCAGACGGTTTGAAATGGAGGAGAGTGATGAACAATTTCAGTTAATAAATGTGGTAAATTTTTCAAAATGCTTATTAGAAGAGAGTGAGGAGTACCAGAACATCATTTTAAAGTACTCAGAGACAATTAGAAGGTTGATCCAAAAGAAATCTGGACTTTGAAATTAATATAACTGTCATTAAATCGGGGCTATTACGCTTTAAATCCCTAATATAAGAGTCTATGAGGGTCTAGAAATGAACGCCCTTCTCAGTAATGGGCTATTAGGTCCCTTTTGGTGCTTCTTTCAGTGGCTCTCGCTGTCGAAGTCCACTGTTTTAGACAGTAGCTTGGCATTAATTTCAGCAAGAGCCCTACAACGCTCTTCCAGCATACTGATATGCTGGTACTAGAGGTTGGTGTTGTCTTACAAACCATTAATGCACTGACTGTGATCTTTGTTGCAGACTGTATTTTGCACCGTTATCTTGAATTCAGCTCTACAGTCAGTTAGCATGCATGCTAACAATGCTGGTGTTGGGGGACTCAAGAATAAGGCTTTTTTCAGATTTCTTTTCTTTTGTTGATACCATCATATGGCATTCAAAAAAAACTTTTTTAAAGTTGTCTGGAGAGACAATAATGTAGATATTTTAAGAAGACTAGTGAGAGAATCTTTGGCTTTGCTTTCCCCTCATAAGCTAACCTAAAGTCCGTCCCTGTCATGATCCAGATCATTTGAAAACGTTTCAAAGGTCAGTCTGTTCTTATTTGATTTACCCACAGCCACAACAGAAGATTTAGGGCTACATAAAAAATTAGAAATGGAGTTTGAGGATTAAGTCATAAATTCAAGAAAAGAAGTGTGTAAAAAGATTTGGACTTTAAAGTCATACGCTTGTTAAAGTAACGTCATCAATGAACATGAGAAGAAATCATTATTACAAGCTATGGTTGATTTTTGTAGCCAAACACACATGGATCAAATTGTGAAGCTCAACTCAGACAAGTAAGGCAGCAACTCGTCTATTCTCCCTCTTTGAAATAATATAGGCCCAAAATATTGAACGATTTTTTTTCTTTTCAGTATACAACTTTATAATCGTAATTTTACAACTTAATCTTGAAATCCACTTTTCTTTTCCTATCTGGTTGGCCTAAAGCACTCAGTATATTTACATCTTATTCAAACATATTAATTGAGAAGATCAAGAACCGAACTGAAAGGGGGCATACTGCCATCTACTGAGGTGGAAGCGTGCATACTTTAATTCAACAATAATTCATTTTCTGTCTGAGATGGGGCAGTAATTCACTTAAATGATGCCTCAGTTTCTATGACTATAGTTCAATTTAACTGTGCATGAAAAAGAGCAAAGTGGACAGCACTTGTTGACATCTGGTCCCTGTTCCAGAACATCTGAACATCTGGTCCCTGTTCAGTCCTGAACATGGCACCTCCAATGCTGTTTGAAGTCACATGAAACCCATGAATGATGACGCCTGCACACAAATGCAGCTGACAATGTCAGCCATTATCACCAAACACCAACTCCACTTGAGACGGAGTAGAAACAAAGGCCATGTATGATAAAGAAAGTACCAGCTGTACCACGTCCTTTGAGTCCGAGATCAGAAAGTCCTGAAAAGTTGGTTGTTGCTCAGATTAGCCAAATCATTGCAACATGATTGCTGTGTTATCTCAGGTGCTAAGATTTTACATGGTTAGATGAGTTAGATGATCGGTGCAAGTTCAAGAGTCATAAAATGTGACATTTTCACAGTTTTATTTGAAAACCTGACAGAATGTTGCTTATTTATTGTTGCATATTGACCATAGACTGTATATAGAATGGACGCCGTCTGCCTCCTCACTGGGTGAAGCCACTCCGAGAACAGCAACCTCTGGTGACGGGCTGCAGTTTAGGTCATTAATCCCACCTCCTCCAGCAATCCCTATGGAGCTGTGGACAAACTTTAGAAATTCATTACACAGAATACAATTTTTTCTCCCTCTTGCTTGTGATGTTGACATGAAGTTACTGTAAGACTGGTTTGTGCTCAAGTCCTCTTTTTTCTGTGCAGCTTTTTAAAAGTTATTATGTTTTCTATGATTGACACTCGATACAGCCTATAGGCATACGAAGATTGCATAGCTCACCCAGGGGATGCGCTGTTTGAGCCGTTTGACATCACAGCGACTCTCGGTGACTCCTTGGCCAAATGCGTACAATGCTAGTGCGCAAGTCGTGAAGTGCATACAACGCTACTGCACAATGTTGGTTTCAGGAAATGAGGAAAAAACGCGGAAATACCGAGAGCTTTTCGGCTTCAAATTCGTATACTGGCGAAAGGCGGAACTAAGTTATCCATAGTATATATAGTCTATGGTATTGACTTGGGAGGGTGGTGCAGAGGGAATGTAGTTTTTAATGTTGTATTGTAAGCTCAGGGCATCAGCCCACACAGGAACATTTGATGAGTTTGGAGCGATAATCTGTTGTTGTGTTACATTCAGAGTAAACTAGAGACATCCACAAACTGAGAGCTGGTGAGAAAGTTTCAGAGATAGAGCCGTTAGAGTGAAAAGTCAAGAATTATGACTGGCTAAAGAATAGGGGACTAGTAGTCATTGCAGACACATCAGTGAAACCTCAGCCATCTGAAAGAGCAATTAATTTAAATAATTTGCACTTTAAAACCACATCTACACTTTTTGTCTGTCAATAACACTTTTCAAAGTGCATTATCAACTCATTAATGTCCCATCTGTCAAACACTGAGTGGCACTGGTCTGAGCGTCAGCACATTAGCGAGGACGACAGAGCACTGATGGCACTGATTTAATGACAGAAAGTGAGAGGATCAAGTGAGATATCAGTTTGTAATGCTCAATTCCTTGCCAGGGGGTCTCATAATCATGAAATCAGGCCTACTGTTTTATACTTAGAGCAGATATCTTTTTATTTTCTCTGTAGGGTCACATAAGGACAAGGCAATGTGATGACAAGCTGTTTATACCTGATTCCTCTCTGGTCGATTGATGGTGCTGGTTTTCTGCTGGATATAAAAACAGCAGTGGAGGAGGAGGTGTTGAGCTGAGAGCTGTTTTCCTCTCACAATGAATCTGTTTACGTGCATGCTACATCTCAATGCACCACAGAAATAAATGCCAATAACTCCACTGGTGTAGAGAGGATAAGCACACTCTGATGCTGCAGCCTAATAACTCTGGCCTTTGCACAAATAAACAGTTTATTTCCTGAGGAGGATAACAGTGACTCAGACAATGAAAACCGAAGCAGTGATCATGAGCATATAAGTCTTTTTAATACTGAAAAAATTATTGAAGATGACTGATATGAAAATGTTTAATACAAAAATTATGCAATAAATAAATAGATATATAAATAGATAAAAATAGGGCGCTTGTGCAGAAAGTGAAAAAAAGGAAATTAATAAAGGAAAAAATCATAAAGAATAAACAGATGGCACATGGGGTCAGAGAAAAAGGGAAAATATTAACTGACTCACTGCTTTATGGAGAAGATTTTACTATCAGATTTTACATGCAAGCTCATAAAGACACATAATGTATTATGAGTGGGTCGTTACCGTATTTATTTCCTGTAATGATTATGACTATCTAGTATTTTTAAGATATACTTTCATTTTGAAATAAAGCCCACCACCTCTGGTAAATTTCAAGTCACATAGCTTAAAGGAATTGACTACAACGGTCAGAAAGTGAGTGCCAACAAGGCACAAGCTCGAACATTGCTTACTGATTCATGATTAAACTTGTAACATCAGTTTTAAAAGTATCTTGTCATGTTTGAAGGAGTCTATCAGCTATATCAAGCTAACAGCTGATGTATGGGACTAATGAATGTTGAGTTCATATTATGTTCTTTATTTCTCTGCACTGATTTCCATCCCCCTTTTTTTTGTTGCTCCAATCACCCTCCATTTTCTTGACTGCTGGGATTGGCTGCAGCAACTACAAGCCAAGGGTTTAGGCAGGCTGGCTATAGCTGGCTGGCATGATTGATGGATGGATGGATGGATGGGTGGGTGGTTCTACCAATTAGTGAATCAATCCTGACCAGTAGGCTGTTACGCCCCTTCACTTTTCCCACCTCGGCTCTGTGCTTTGTCTGCCCTGTTAATGATGTGTGAGCGACATTTGACACACGATTTTCCTACAATCTCTACGTGTCTTTGCCACTATCTGAAGCCCCGAACGCTGATCATCAAATGAGTTTTCCTCAAACTGTAAGACAGTGAGGTGTGAAATCAGCCGACCTAATCTGTGAGGTCAATAATCAGTATCACCTGATCCAAACATCATCACTCAGAGCCTCTGCACCTCCTGACACTCTCCTCCTTAGTTACAGTTATGAGCCGTGCTGCCTCTCACTCTGCTGCCTCCTCTCCATCTGTGCAGCTCTTTAGACTGGAGGCATATTTTTACCCTCTCCCTTTATTACACTTTTCAAGCACAGGAGTCTATTCAAAAAGCTCTCCTTTCATACGCCTGTCAGGAAATGAAAGCCAAATGAATAGAAACGTCTTTACTGTCTGACTACTGGACCATGTGACTGAGGCTGTTTGTGCCTCAGATAAACAACCCCCACGTTCTGCACAGCTTCTCCAATCCTGCTTCGTCCCAGAGTAAAAATTTCGTTTGTGGGGCTGTGACATTTTTCATGTGATTTATTCTATTGTCCCAAGTCCTCCGGCCATGGCTGCCCCTCCACCCCGTCCCCTCACCACCAGCTCTGACAATCCCAGCCTTTGTTTTTGCAAAGAGAAGCAGCATTCTTCCAGAGGGATGACCTCCTCTGTCTCTGCAGGGGCCGGCACTCAGAACGCGACCTGACCCCAGGATTGGATGGCAGCACCCACCAGATGCTGAAAACCAGATCCACCAGTCGTCACCCCAAACTCTGCTGCTCATATGTGCGCCAACACGCTCCTTCTCTCCGGGAAGAGAGGTTGATGGATTGCATTGCTCATCTCAGCTGACATATCAAGGGCCTGAAACTTTATTAGCATCGTCATCCTTTACACAACAGCTCAGCAGGATTACAGCGGGAGGGCAAAGTGCACCATCACTCAGCTCTGTGAGTATCTACTGTTTCAATATTCAGCAGCTGATTGAAAGTTTTCTGTGAAGAATACTCTTGCAAAAGACAGCTTTTACTATGCTACAACAGTACAGAGAATAGACATCACTTACTATCGTCTTACAGTAGAAAAAAACAACAACAAAAAAACAGTAACAACAAATACTCTCAGAATACATGTCAATAATTCATCATCTGAAACTTGTCTCAAATTTGCAAAGATGTTAATTAAGATAAGACTGTATGTCGTGATTGAATAGTTCTGTGGTAGTAAATAACAAAACATAAAAAACTGAGAGTCAATTGAACTTACAGTGTAAGAAAATTGAAATACTGTACATTGTTCCCCGTAAGGAAGCAAGCTGATCAAAAAAGGGAGGAAGCACAACAAATACAACTACAGTAACAACAGTAAACTCGAGACATAAACTAAGACCGACATCATAAATGCGTAAACCCACTTGTTTTCACAACAACGTGTTTGGAAAAAAAATACTGCAACCGAGATGACAATGAGAGCTACTGAAATTGTTTCTACAATAGGTGCACCAGGAACTTATAAAAGGTGCACAGAACTCGATAAAAGTGAAAGGAGTCTTTACATGAGTTGTTTACTGTGTTGACTACATTGCCGGTCACCACAGGAACAAAATGGTTTAATCTGTCATCATTTGGTTTTCAAAATCAGTCGAGATTTTAAAATACTTTTAGTGTGTGCCAGGCGTTGGTGTTTAGCATGGCAGTTGTTAGCTCTTTAATTCATGTTGATCTGAAACCTTTCTCTCCTTGTGCTCACTCTGTCCCTCTGCTTTACTTACACACACACAAACCTACCCTTCCTGCACCTCTCCCTGCAGTGACACACAGCTTTCCACTCTTTTTGTGGCTGCGTGACAGTTTGTACTCTTCTAAGACAACATGATGAAGATACATCAGTCTCCACTTAACACATTTTGCCACATTTGCAACTTTTTTCTCCCCCAAACTTTGTTGGGCTTTGACCTGAGCTCCTGATGGTAAAGTTTTATAGCCTACTGGCTTCAAAGGGCGTCGACCCATCAGGAAAACACATCAGCTCCCTGCTTCTCCCTCTCAGTACAAGTTTGAGTATGAGCTGTTTATGAGGAGGGGGGAGCACAGAGTGCAGAAAAGGAAGGGAGCTGCACTACATAACAAAACCAGTGCAAGATAACATTCAGCAGTGGTTTGATCGTGGCTGTCTTGTTTTCAAGATTGCAGGAAGCCATATTTGTGATTTAAATGTGATTAATTTCTCAGTCTAGCTTTAAAAAGAGAAATGTATCTACCACTGTGAGTCCTGTTGTAGAGATGTAGGCGTATTTGTAATATGCTGTCACAGTGTTTGACACCTTATCCCCTCAGTGGTCACACATGTCAGAAATGACTGCACAGAAATGGTCACTTTTGTTGTTGATTATCTCATTTTATTATATTGCTTATAAAGAGGGAGGCATCAGTATTTGTTTCATAGCCAACTATTAACTCCTCTCAGAGCTTTAATACCTCTTAATTTATATCGTATTATTGAATCACAGCTGTTTTATTGTTGTTCATCTAACTGTGAGTCAGTGTTAAATTCTCCAGAAAAAGAAAAAACTTTGCCTTTCCCCACAAAACGCTTCGCAGAATATAAAACTGGAGCAGCACCTGCAGGAGAGCAGCAGAGACGAGAGCTTCTGAAGTTTCTGTGACTTTAGTTTGAAGAATTTCACAGAGACTCATCTGTAAAATTCAGCCGCAGCTGAAAATTAGAATTCATAACCAGCCGTACAGCGAAGCTCAACTTCCACATTTCACACCGGCTGGAGGAGAAAGTGCAAACATGAGAACTTCAAACAGCAGAAGCAGCAGACATCAGATTACCTAAATGGAAACACATGCGCCAGTCAACACTTGGATTAACAAGATTAACTCATTCATAAGAGTTTTCTGAGTACAAATCACAGTAAAAGGATTTAATGAAAAGGAAACCTGCTGTTCCCTGTTTTCTTATAATCTCACAAATAAACACAAACACTCTTAGTTATGTATGTATTAATCAAATGGCGTATGGTTTTTGTAGTGGATGAATTCTACTAAACAGCTCATAAATGCAGCAAAACACCAAAGTTTACCTGCAAAAGCTGAATCTCAGCCCACACAACTTTTTTTTTTTTTTTTTTTTTTTTTTATGTCAGCCTGTCTAGACTTTGAAATATATTTTGAAATATACTCCATGTATTTCCAAGGACTAAAGCTTTTGACCAGCGTAAATAAATCACCGAAATGCTTAACCAGAAGTGCAAAACCCATGAGGAGAATTTTTACATTTATAAAACCCACTGAAATTCACACCGATGCCTTTTTATGATATACAAAAGCAAATAAGACCATCAGGGACGAGACTGATTAATTTTGTTCTGTAATTTTAATGCCTGAGACCTACACCTGCAAGGTGGTAGGTGCTGGTGCAGCTGCTGAAGAAAAACCCCTGTCTTCATATTTTCCACTTTAAATATCCACAAAAATGATATGACTATCCAAAGTCAGGAATATTGAGTTTTTAGAAAGATGATACTGTTTAGGCATGTTGAGGGCAAAATATGCAAAGACTGCTCCGTCCAAGGGGGGCGCCAAAACTGACACAAACTAAAAGCTCCCTACAGGAGCTTTAAATCCCGAACTAACAGTGCAACCAGGTTTTATTTTTTAACTTTTACATGATCTGGGGCTGCAGCTACTGTTGCACAGTGTATCTGTATTTCTGTTCAGCACATTTCTCTCCACAATTGTGTTTAATTCAAAAACCTCTTACCATCCCACCTCTTCAGTCTGGATGTGCCTCGTAGCCCCCGGCAGCCCCTGCCTTTTGACTGTCATTAGCACAGACACTGTTAGCATGGCTTTCCCGGCTGACACAGAATCAAAAGGCACATTGGGTTTCCAGAGGGACCTATTTATAGTTGTGATGAGCTGTGCCATACATTTCAAACACACGGTCAGAAGCTTTTTTAAGTGCTGAGTGAGGCTGGCTCCATCATCCTCTTGTCCTCCCTCTTCTCCTGAACTCTTTGATCCAGTCAGCCTCTGTCATTAGGGAGTGCTGGATGTAATCAGAAGGTTTTTGATGTAAAACTGACTCGTCTTTCCCTTAATTCTGCTTCAACTCCAGGTCCAAGTGAACCTGTCGTGATCCCTGAAATCTATTATTAATTTTTCCCAGATTCAATTTTTTCACTGTAATTTTTCTGAGTCTGTGTTTTGCATAGTGATGCATTTCATCACCCATTTCAAAATTTCAGCCCAAAGACAGTCTAAATTTAATGTTTATTAATTTCAACACTTTATTAGGAATGACTTTGAATAATGTGTTTTGCAGTTGCTGATGCACTGATGGCTCTGTCAGGACCTGTGTCCACTAATGGTGTTTTTTTTAATTTTGTCTTTGCAGTATCAACCACTTCAGTTTAAAAGTGCCTCTTACTAACACTTACTGTTTCAAGATAACCAAAGTTGTTCTGCTGCTGCTGCTTCTCCCATCTCACAGAGTAGAGACCATTAAGTCTGCTTTAAAATGCTTTGAATGCTTTGTATTTGCTGTCATTCGAAGAAATACAATGAGAAAATTGTGAAGATAAGTCACTGGAAATTCTGTCATAGTTTTGGCAGCAGCTCTAAAGCTGGCAATAGAGCCTCATGAGTTGAGTCTGAGTGAGTTTTTCCTGTACCATCAGTTTATAGCACAAGTCTTGCCTTGTCTTGGTTTTGGTTGGTCAGGATAAGAAAAGTGACAATTTCGAGTGTGGCATTTTCCCAAAACTGGAACTCTCCACCTGTGAGTGCTGTGAGCACAGCCACAAAATCAGCTGAGGACCTCTTTGCACTATTGACACTGAGCACTGAAACTGCTGAACCGTAATGGTTTTGTGCAGGAAGCAGGCCCTACCCATACCAAAATGAAGATCTTTAGTGGACACAGGCCCTAATCTAACCAAAATTACAGTGGACAATTTTAGACTTGGATACTCTGTTTTCTTTCCTGATGATGAGACTTTCAGATTTAAATTTTGATTTTGCACGTCTTTATTTTGGAGCTCATTTGTACATCGTAGTTTTTTGTTGTTGTTGTTTGAAGGCACTCTTGTTACCGAGGGAACGTCCTGAAATCCAGCATCTCTGCCTGCCACAAACCAATTATCTGTCTGTTTGTTTTAGAATTAAAATTCTTCAAATGTTTGGACGTGTCTAATTGCAATGCTGCTTTGATGTGAGGATAAAAGTGCAGCAAGATCTGCCATGGGAGTGTGTAATAATAGACACCATGTACAATAGTGGATCCAAACATCAGACAGTGTTCTTGAGGTTGTTGTATAATTTATGATGACACAAACCGTTTTGGCACCTCTGGCTTTGCTGCATAAATATCAAGTAAAACACAAGTGACTGAATGATGTCGTGTCACTGCTGCCCGTCAGACATTTGGAAGCTGCTGCGGGTTGGATGACTGCAGTGAAAGACTGTGAGATCACGCTCCTCCACAACAAGAAGTTGATTGTGGGGAAAGTTAACTTAAGTGCAGGGCATGTGTCAGACAGATAGTTTTGTTACGGTCTTTTGGTTTAGTCAGTGGTGGGAAAAACTCCCTTTTTAAGAATTATTTGACCTTTATTCATCAGGTTAGTCCCACTGAGATTTAAGATCTCTTTTTCAAGGAAGACCTAGCCAAGATACCAGTAAAAACACAAAGTTTTGCCTTATGTCTGGCAGAGGCACATTGAAGAATTACATAAAGGGCTCTATTTTCGTGCCTCGCCAGCGACGCGGCGCATGCGCGGCGTAATTGAGGTCCGCCGCGCCAACAAGGCGTTCCCAAGCACAATTTGGTATTTTGGTGAGCGATGCAGCCCGGCGTAAGTATCCCCCCTCCCTAGCTCAGCTTCTCCCAGCGGTGTAAGTCGTAGCGAGGGAGGAGAGAGGGCGGAGAGTGGGTTTAACACAGCCGAGACCTGTTTTCACCAATCACATAAGCTCCTCTCCTTGCCTTTAAATCCGCCACCGGCGAGGCGTATTACAATTTTCATGAAGTAGTCAGAGAGATCAAGAGATGTCTGAAGACAGTTATGCCACACGATGGCGACAAAGGGCAGCTCCTCAACAAGTGTCACTGTAAGCGCTGCATTGGGCGTCCTCCACACTCTCTCATATGAGCACAGATGGATTTGGTGTGTGTAATGTTTTCCACAAATAAAGACACTCACATAAAGTTGCATATATTCAAACCTCACGTGACAAAGGTGGGTTGTGCGCACAGATCACAACATAAACTCCAAAAATGGCATTAAAATCGGAACCACCTGTGCGTAAATGACGCATCGCGCTCCGTGGCCTGGCTCTTTCTTTCATAGATGTTGGCATATAAAAAAAAAATTTGGCTCACAAAACTGAATATTATAATATTCGTATGTAAGCTTAAAGTAGATAACTCATCTGATAACTGAAACAAATCATCTGTTCAGCCGCCGCTGCAGCAGGACGGGGAGAGGACACAGAGACATGTCCAGGTCGAGCTGCGTGAGAAATAAGAGGAAGAGGAAGAAAGAAAAGGAGGGAGACGAATTACATATCTAGTTAACTTCATCATGTGTGTTTATTTACTAGATATTTAATTTAATTTAATGCGGTTTCAGCTGTGTTGATTCGGTCAGGTTGTGTGTCCAAACGCGTGCCAAACGCGCTCATCAGATCACATATAGATCAGAATATATCGATATAGATCTAAATGTATGTGCTGACTCAGATTATTAGTTGTTGATGATTATTTATTGCACTGAAATGTGCCTGACAATGTGGAAACCTGCCGGTGAGGCATCAGTGACGTATGCAGATACGCCGCCGGTCTACCAAAATACCACTAGACCAGCTGCGTTCCGCCTGCGCTGAAAGCTGAGCAGGTTTGAATCGGCAAGCTTTCAGCTCATTTTACACGCCGGTGGCGAGCACGAAAATGTCACTGCGCCCGCTGATCTTGTCGACACCTCCCCCTGCCACGCCACCACGCCCAGCTTGGCGGATCTCGGCTCGCCTCCGTGCGCCTCAGTCCACGAAAATACCAAACTGGCTGTACGCCGGGCTGCGGCAGATGAAAAATACAACTGCGTGGGGCTTGCCGCCCTCCGCCGCCTCACAGGCGTACACGAAAATAGAGCCCATATTATTTAAAGGAGTAGTCTGCAGGATTTTATCCAGATATAAAACCATTATTTAATCATTATTTTGATGTTTTGGTTGACTCATGATGTTTCTGGGTGGGGCAGCTGGCGTGGTCACCCCAGCCAATGGCAACGTGCACAGTATGCAAGTGTCTTTGGGAGTTGATAAAGAAAAGAAAAGAGAAGAAAATTCATTTAAGATGAGTTAAAACACTAAGTCGGTAAAGCCTCCTTCCAAGACCAGGGTGAACTCCGAGTTGGCTTTTGTTAACATTGTGTTGTTACCATTTAATGTATGGTGTTGTTCCTTGTTTGCATTATTGCACCCCCTAGGGTCCTACTGGGACGGTTCAAGGTTCAGACATGCGCATTGGGGAGGGGAATGATTTTGGCTTTTGGGGGGAAAAGCTGTCGGGTGTAACGGTTCAGAATTAGTTAGCAAAAGGATATAAACGCAGTTTTTACTGAACAGTAGTTAAAATTGGTAGCAGAGGATGGTTAGAGGATGGCTGCTAACTACAAAATACCGCTGAAGCTTGACAAGACCAGACCATACAAATGTTGAAAAATGAAATCAACGTGTGGAAACGAATCACCAAGCTGGACAAGAAAAAGCAGGCACTTGCTGTGGCTTTGGGTCTGGAAGGAAGAGCACGCAAAATCGTCATGGAGATTCCAGCAGGCAGACTGGATAAGATAGGCTTTTGGGGGGAAAAGCTGTCGGGTGAAACAATACAAAATAAAGAGTTAGCAAAAGGATATAAACATTGTGTTTACTGAACAATAGTGAACAGCTTTCACTAAAGGCACTGAAGGAGCAGCTTCGTATTAAGAGTAAGGTGAAGTTCGCCTGATTTCGGTCCGACAGGTTGGTGCCAAAACACTGTGGTTAGCTTATGGTAACATGCTAAATCAGTTTTTTTTTCCATGTTAACAGAAGTAAGTCCTGCCATCAACTAATGCACATAATAACTTTATGTTTAAGGTCAAACATAGGCTTTTTCTTTAACAGACAATTGAGCGATGCTGAACCTAGTTGTGTGTCTAGGAAAACAGCTTGGTCCAGGTTTAGTGCTGCTTGCATGCATTACTATAGACTAATAATTCATTCACCAACCACAAACACAGAATGTATCACCCTGAGAAAATGCAAACTCATACTATGTGATTCAGTCCACATGAAATCAAGGCTGTACTTCACACAGGATTATGTCTGTCTGGTGTGATTTGACTGTCACATATGAGGCCTCAATGAGTCATACTTTTGATATGCAGCTGAGTCTCATATTGGCCTCCAATTGAAAGTAACTTTTATGTTGTAACTTTTTAAATATGATCGTAATACCTGGTAACCACTCTTTATAAATCCGTGCTGCATAAATAACAACAACACCACAAAAGGTAGCCCAAACCTATCCCCTTGTGTGTGCCTGTCCTTGGGTTGATCTGGCCTGCTTGTCCCTTTCTTGCGTTCTCCACAAGGTGCCCTCACTCAGCTTTTCCACAGGTGCTAAGTTCATCCATTAGTCTATACCTCTGAGTGGTTCATGGACACGTAGATGGACAAGACTGCTGCAAGAAGTCAGGTACACAGCTCTTGAGTCCAACCACATTACAACATATTGTCACACGGGGTTACGTGTCAGGTGGTTGTAATTTTACAACTGCTGTCAGGAAGGGGGCACGTGCTTCTGGTGGCAAGCAAGTTTGGATATTCATCAACATTACAAATTCCCGACCATCCTGTAGACTCCACCTTTAATTATGTAGCAACCAGTGCTTATTGTTGCATCAACTCACCTCGTCCACATCAGCCAACATGAATTTTCTTCTAACTGATTCTGTGAACAGTTTCTTCTTAGCCACAGAGAGAAGCTGTTGTGGCTCTCTAATGGGTCATGCAGGACCACACTGAGGTTGAGGCCTCTTTGTTCTTAACCTGCTGACAAACTATATTTTGGCCTCCCTCTGCTGATTTACTTGGGGAATTTTTTTTTTTTTTTTTTATCTTTTTGAACACCCAGTGCCTCTGGAAATGAGGTTTTGCATTTGGACTTGAAACACCACTATTTTGCAGCAGTCCAGTCAGGATTAAACTGCTGGTTTTTGCTGTGTATTTTCCTCTTACTGTTGGAGAACAACAATTTTTGGCTCGGATAAGTCCTGTGCAAGTGCAGCTCTAAACAAAGATAGGAATGAAGTAAGATGGCTCACTCGAGCTCCCTCACTTTCATACTCACTGTATTTGCTGTTTAATCGATTTTACTTCTATTAGATTCATGTACTCTGGTCTAGTCAGGGGCACTCAGAGGTTGCCTGTGGGCTAGGTTTTGCCCGGAAGACCGCTGACTGAATATGCCAGGTCAGTGGCTTGGACTTGCATCACCCAGCCTCTGCAGAACTTGTGTTGACAGCTCTTATGCTTTCTTCCGCTAGCCCCCTCTCCTCCTGATGCTGGTAGCAAAGTGGAATCAAAATCAGAGTTGAGTTTTACACATGTGTGGTTACATGGTGTTCTGGTGCCAAACAGTGAAAATGGAATCACAAAAGATATAGAGATAAGTTTATATAAAACTGATTTACAATGGGAAAAAGAAAAACAGTATAAAAGTTGTTTAAATGGAATATGAACATGAATTATGGATGGATTCAAGGTAACAGAGGGAGAGAGAGTAGTCATCATGATAGCAAAATGACTTTAATCTTGTAAAGCAAGTTCAGTAACCATTAAGACAATGTGTCAAAATGGGCGGCAGTAGCTCAGGAGGTAAAGCGGTCGGCCAATAACTGGAAGGTTGGCGGTCCGAGCCCCGTCCTATCCCTAGTCTGTCCGTTGTGTCCTTGGGCAACACACTTAACCCACCTTGCTCCCAGTGTGTGTCCTCCACTGGTGTATGATTGTGAGTGTTGTGTGGTGGTGGTCAGAGAGGCCGTAGGCACAAACTGGCAGCCATATTTCCGTCAGTCTGCCCCAGGTCAGCTGTGACTACTAAGGTAGTTTGCCACTACCAGGTTGTGACTGTGTGAGCGAATAAATTATTATTATTATTATTATTATTATTATTATTATTATTATTATTATTATTATTATTATTATCATTATTATTATTATTATTATTATTATTATTATTGAGACAGACTCTTCTATAAGGTGCAACAAAAGGCAGTATTATTATAAAGTAACAATAAGGAGTACAGCAGTTAAAACAGAGCATCAAGGTCCTAAATTAATAGAAATTATATAGTACAGTATGCTACTGTAGCTATGTATATAATGCACTATGCTGTACAACATGGAGTAGTAAAAGCCATAGAAGGAATATAGTAATGATTTAGTAAAATACAGAATAAAAAAGTCCAATCTAATGTTTGATACATGATTTCATATTTTATGGCAAAGTGTTGGAAGTCTCACTGGATGATACGTATTTCTCACCAATGCTGAAGTGCTAACTACAGTGTCATATGATGATTTTATTCTGAATTCTTGGAGGTATAGTCTTTCATTAGTTGCTTTAATTCTTGTTCATATGAAACGAAATTCAGCTACACAGATAATGCAGAAAGTGCCTTACTGTTGATGTAAAAATCCCCACAGCTCATTTTTGAGCTGTAATTAGATCAGGATTTGGATGTCCCCAATAACACAATGTTTTTTAACCACCATTTGTATTTTCCTCTTTGTTTTAACCAAACAGTGTTTTAACTGGAGCTGTGTGTACACAGATAGGAGAACATCATTCTCTGTAATTACCCTGAATATGAGGTGCAGAGTTGTAAAGTCAATCATGACTTTTTTGCATGACTAATAAGCCTGTCTATATAAATGACACGCTGTTTAAATATGACCCCATTAAAGCAAACCTGATGTGTTAATTAGCGAGCACAACCTTTGATCTGAGGCTGGGGTTGATCCTTTTTTAATCAAGGACTAATTATGTCTGAAGACCTGTGATTAACCAGCAGAGGATCCGTCTCATGAGGAGAGGAGAAACAGAGGAAGATTAAAGCCTCATATAGAAATCTCATGTTTGTGTTCAGATATTTATGACTGCAGGGTTTCTGGAGTGCACGAAACAAAGAAGATAAGACGGCAAAGTGTTGAAGAAACCCAGATACACACTGTGAGATGATGTGAGTCTACTGTGAGCCATTATCTCTTCAACCGTCATCCTCACAAAAGCTCATATTCCAAAAAAGGACAAAAACAGTTCAACCAGGTAAAATTGCAGGCTTTAAATAGTCTGAAATACTTTTTCATGAGTGTGCTTTTAGAGGTGAATCATACTGGGAGCACACAAATGATCAAATAATGCAGATGAGTCAGTTTTTTATGCTTTTCCTGTAACAAATTCAACCCACATTTTCAGCACATCCAGAGGGACCAATATAGGACCTATCAGAGCTCATATTTAAGAAAGTTTCCAGATAACTGACATTAAAGCTCCTGAGAGGTGTTATTAGTTTAAACAAAAAATAGACTGGAAAGCACTCAGTTTATTTGTCCTTTTTAACTGCAATTACAATATACACTGATGTGGCAGCACTCTATCCAGATCAGATCATTGCAGCAGACAAAGCACGACCAAAAGACAATGAAAAGTAGAGTATTTTCTCCAAAGAGTGCCTTTTTTAAATGCTGATGGTGAAAACGTCCACGCCAACATCTAAATGTCATGGAAGATTGTTTGAATGAAAAAGTGGCCCTTCGTTTCTGCCAACAGAGACTCTAAGCTGCAGCTAATCCTCACGCTAATTATCCTTTGTTACACAGAGTAGAGTAACACCCAACTTTGGGATCAAATGTCTCTTTTTTTAATAATATGTCAGCACTTATGTCCATATTCCACATTGTCTGTCTGTGACGGGACTATCAGAGTGCTCAATATGCACGAGTATTGTAGAAGAATACGTACATACTAACAACAAATACCCCTATCATGGGTAAATTTGATCATTCATTACTCTGTTGAATGAGAGTACTAACAAGAGAATAATGATATATAGTCCATGAGCCAAACCAGATGTCGGTACCACTTGGGTGGGCAAAACCTTACATATACTAAATTGTTTTTAGGGTCAATATAAGTAAATTAAAATATGATAGACTTTTCATAGGGGTAGCTTTTTATATTTTTTCTCATTTTGTTATTTTCCTCAATAGGCGAATTTTTGTTAACTCCAAAAGCAACACAGAAAGTCAAAAGCACATTAAAAGTCATTCTCTTTTTGGGTCACACTGCTCTTTTCTATAAATGAATCAAACCTGTGTCTAATTAAATGAGTTGATGAAGTGGGAGTGGCCCAATTTGATGGTGGAGCAGTTCTTTCAGGTATCATAGCACTTGAGCCAAGAACCAAAATTTCACATATCGGTACCACCTGGGTGGGCAAATTCTAGTTGTGATTTTTTTATTGCTATACATCCCTACAATAAGTTTTTATATGATAGACCTTGGTAACTGGTAGCTTTATTGTAGTTATCACTCATTAAAGTAATAGAGTGCAGCTTTCAAAAATGAAAAATCGCCTTCCTTCAAAATTAGCTTTCTTTCATTTTAACCTCTCATTTAGCTGTGTTTGAACTATTGGCTAGCCATAGAGACTTGTATTAACCCCCTAAGTGGTATTTCAAGTAATTTATCTAATACAGGTGTGTATATATAAGCTTCAATTAGCCAATTGTCAGGTCTACATTTTTTACTTAGAAGTAAAGTAAAGTAAATGCAGACTAATAGCATTATAATAACACAACTTTAATATGACACTGACATATTTTAAATGCAGGCACTCAATATACAATCATCCTGGCTGGTGCAGGGCAAGAAGACATTAGCAACAAAATAAGATCTTCTGATGTATACACTCTATACAATCATCTGAGAAAAACTCAAATTCCTATTCAAAGTCCTATTCTTTCCATAAGGAACAGTGACAGCAAATATGACTGTCAAGTTTTGGCTTAGTACGTAATACTGTCACTGAGTCACAGTGGGTCTGTTAACATAGCTCCCTTTGGTCATCACTTATTAATCAACATCAGTAATCGACATCAGTATCTGTATCTTCTTCTACATCTGAATCTGCCGGTGTGCAAGGGGCTCTTCCTCACTGTATTGGTTGGCACAAGTTTGTAATTTGCACAGGTTTGTGCACTTCAGCCCATTGCTGAGACAGGTGCAGTCTGGTGGTTTGCATGTCCTCACACACTTGCAGGATAGCAACTGCAAGACCGAAGAAGTAAAGTAAATGCAGACTAATAGCATTATCATAACACAACTTTAATATGACACTGACATATTTTCAATGCAGGAACTCAATATACAATCATCCTGGCTGGTGCAGGGCAAGAAGACATTAGCAACAAAATAAGATCTACTGATGTATACACTCTATACAATCATCTGAGAAAAACTCCATTCCTCCACCAAGAACTTGATGAGACTGGCTTTGTTGGCAGGGCTGCAGAGAAGTTTCCTCCACTGCTGAATATTGTGGCCAGAAACAATGTTTCTGAACTGGATCCCCATGTCTGCACCTCTGTTTAGTCTTTCTGAATTTTTGATTGACTTGTCCTTGTAAACGTCAAAGACAACATCAGTCTTTTCACTATCACCACCTTCATGCAGGACCTTGGCTAAAGTTGAGTCCAGCCAGCTTCCACCATGTCAGGATTGCCTATTAATGCAACCGATTCGTGCCAACTACCAGGCTGCTATCTGGAGACGGTCTCTTCATACCAAGCCATCTGTACCAAGCCCCAAGGACCATGCGTGGACCATAAATGACGAAGGGCAGCTGGAAATACAGTGGATGCGTGGTTCCCCAGCACCAGATGCAGTCTTGCAGTTGCTATCCTGCAAGTGTGTGAGGACATGCAAACCACCAGACTGCACCTGTCTCAGCAATGGGCTGAAGCGCACAAACCTGTGCAAATTACAAACTTGTGCCAACCAATACAGTGAGGAAGAGCCCCTTGCACACCGGCAGATTCAGATGTAGAAGAAGATACAGATACTGATGTCGATTACTGATGTTGATTAATAAACAATGACCAAAGGGAGCTATGTTAACAGACCCACTGTGACTCAGTGACAGTAATATGTACTAAGCCAAAACTTGACAGTCATATTTGCTGTCACTGTTCCTTATGGAAAGAATAGGGCTTTGAATAGAAATTTGAGTTTTTCTCAGATGATTATGAAGAGTGTATACATCAGTAGATCGTATTTTGTTGCTAATGTCTTCTTGCCCTGCACCAGCCAGGATGATTGTATATTGAGTGCCTACATTTAAAATATGTCAGTGTCATATTAAAGTTGTGTTATAATAATGCTATTAGTCTGCATTTATTTTACTTCTACTTCTAAGTCAAAAAATATCCTTAATTTAGACCTTGATTTAGACCTGACAATTGGCTAATTGAAGCTTATATATACACACCTGTATTAGATAAATTACTTGAAATACTTCTTAGGGGGTTAATACAAGTCTCTATGGCTAGCCAATAGTTCAAACACACCTAAATGAGAGGTTAAAATGAAAGAAAGCTGATTTTGAAGGAAGGCGATTTTTCGTTTTTGAACAGCTGCACTCTATTACTTCAATGAGTGATAACTACAATAAAGCTACCAGTTACCAAGGTCTATCATATAAAAACTTATTGTAGGGATGTATAGCAATAGAGAAATCACAACTAGAATTTGCCCACCCAGGTGGTACCGATATGTGAAATTTTGGTTCTTGGCTCAAGGACTAATAGTAAATCTTCCAAAATGTTAAATCTGATGCATATTGCACAAGTGCTAGAGACATGATGCGACATTGTGTGGCGTGACGCAATGTAACGCGGCATAACATGACGTGATGTAACTTGACCTTTTTTGATGGTATGCTTCATCACATTACACACTCAACATATCTTTACATTACATTTGGTTACATTACTTGGTGTTGTTACCTTACTTAATATTACATTATGTTACTTAATGTACAGTTTGGGGTTTTTAGCTTCATATAATTGTACGTACATTGCGTTATGTGATAAACAGCCATCAAACAGCTGAATCTTGATCTCTAGATCGTCACATTATCATACATGTTTTCTCTCTGCAGAGATAATTTGCTGAACCCCAGACGGATACAAAACCTTCTCTTCAGGCCACTGCTCCTCAAGTGACCATGTCTGCTGTATATAAACAAAGGTAAGATGATATATTTCACTTTTATTTGTTGCTTTTATTAAAAATGTTACATCATTTCAGTCCCATTGATCCATACACAAATGAGCTTACATGCTAAGCAGCAACCAAATGTCCTCCTTTTATACTCTTCAGCAGAGAATATTTAAAACGGCTTTCTCTATGAGGTCTCTGAACCTTCTTATTTACATCACACAACCAACCGACTGCCTTATTTATGCTTTAACATAAAAATTTAATATGTTGATATTATGTTTTTGCACCAATGGGCATTAAATAAAGACTGGAAAATTACTTTAAAGAAATACAGTCGCAGAACTAACACCTCCATTCTCTGCCAAATTTAATAATTTTTCAGAGCTGGAGAACAAAATGTGTTTTCAGGCATGTTGATGTTATCAGTAATGAATCGTGTTAGTTCAGGCAGGCCACATAGTCAAGCTCAGTCCATGGTACATCAGTTAATCCTCACATCAATTAGCAAAATGCTTAAATCGGCAATTTAATGTAAAGCTCCTATGTTAAACTTTATGTTTTTATGAATTTTTGCGACCCCCTGTGGACTAAGCAGTATTTGCATATCTTTTCCTTTACGTGCTTAAACAGTTTCTTCTGACAAAACTTTTGATGATCAGATGTGTCGTTTATTGTGAACATGTTTTGTGGGAATGTTAAAATTAGACTGTTTCTTCAGCTACTTTATTCACCAGTTTCAGGCATTAAAAATGACAATATAAGAATCATCAATCATGTCCCTGCGATCTTGTGTGCTCATAGATTTCCCACAGAGGCATCAGTAAGAATGTCAGTGTATTTCATAATGCCAAAAAACTCCTTACAGGAGCTTTAAACTGCTCTGGGTTACCTACTCTCCCAACCTTTTGTGTCTGATTTTTCTGGTGTTATGAATGTTATCACTGATACCTGCTCTGCTTTATGCTGCGGGGGTCTTTGCTGCTGCCCTCAATGTTCCAGGACTTTATGGACTCCTGTTCAAAAGTCATGAACCTTCTCCTCTTTCTTAATACCTGCTGAGTACATTTTGCACACAGTGTCTAACACGTGGTCTTGCTGCTAGCTCTGTTTGAATCTAGCTATAAATGTTCTCGGTGCACCAGCAAGCTTTCAAATGAAAAAAGAAAACCTGAGCTGGGAGCCTTTTCTGACCTATTTTCATTTGTGCAGCATTTCCAGCAGGCTTGTTCTGATCCTCAACACAATGAGTCCTTGTGCCTTGCAGCTACAATATGACGGCCTTCAATAGAGAGCCACGATCTCTGGATGACAGAATGAAATTCATTTAAGTGTGTACAGTGATGGGTTAAAAAAAAAACAACAGCAGCAGCTGATGCTTCAGTCCACCAAATGTGAACATATAAGCAATGGAGGTTATTTTGCTTCTGCTTCAAAATCTTTTGCAAAATCAATAAATAATATTGAGATAAAATTATCCCAAAAATATGTCTTAAGTTTCTCAGACATAGTCAAAATAACATATTTTTGATTTAGTTGTAACCTATTGTTTTTGTTAATTTGCAGAGAAGTAATCAGAGTTTTACTTCCAACAATACTGAAAACCATTTTTGCAGGGTTTCCACTTTGTCAGACCGTTTTTTTTCTGATTTGAATGTGGAGATATTTATCAGTAAAGCTCAGACAGCTAAGCTCTCAGCTGTCTGTTTTCTGATATGCTGTCATTCTGACCCAGTTCATTCATCATTTTCCATTCATGTAGTGCAATGACTCAGGTCTGACCCTGGAGATGCCGAAGAGACGAGACATCGTCGCCATCGTGTTGATCGTGTTGCCGTGGACACTGCTCATCACAGTTTGGCACCAGAACACCATCACCCCTCTGCTTGCTACTCGAAAGGGTAAAGGAACAAGGACTTGAGAGTCTGGATATTTTGATTTTCCACTCTTGTCTGTCAGAGCAGCTTGTAATTGTTGCATACAGTATTTACACTTTAAAGTTGTACATTGTGTGATATTTACAGTATATAATAACATGGAGTCATGGTGTAACAAAAGAAGAATGAACCTTCTACACCCGTTGTTTTTGGAATAATATTATCCTTTTTCCTCATCATCCTGCTGTGTCAAATGCTGGATTCTGATTGATCCAATTTCCTCTGATTAGCAAAGCTGACAGAGATTGATTTTTTTTTGGAGAACAGAAATTTAGTTTGGTGGTCAATGACTGACCAGACAGCAAGAAAGAGAAGAAACACTTAGAAACACTGATGGATGTTTAAACACACAAGGAGGTGAGTGAAAGAGACATCCACTAAATTGAAGAAATCAGAGTGAACTTTGGCAGTGTATCAGGACAGGCTGAGTGAGAGGAGAAGTTACAGGACAGAGGACCTCATACAGGTGCTTCTGTTATTTTCTATAGCTGCTAAGAATGCCAATAGGAAACCCTCATGTTCTGACTTTGTTGTGTTTGTAGATGAAAAGGTTGAGTTGAAGCTTAATTAGACCCACAAGCAGGGCAATAAGAATACTGTTGGCATAGAGGCACCACAAATCTGAGGCACTTCCTTATTGGACCCCTACCTTTGGAAGTATTCCAGGCATGTCCATCTTGAAGAAGACACCGGGTAGACCCAGAACAGGATGGAGAGATAATATATCCCATCTGGCAAAATGCCTCAGGATTCCCCAGGTGGATCTGTGAAGCCCGGCTGGGCAGAGAGATGTCTGGTGTAACTTGTTTAGCCTGCTGCCACTGCGACCCCTTAAACTCCCAGGATGGATATTGTTTCAGATAGAATTTTAAAAAAATTGTTTTCTGCTTAATTGCATTTTTTATTTCCATGCTTATTCCAGTTGTTATTTTTTGCAATTTCTCTTCTTCTGTGCAAACTTTGAAGTTTCTGTGTTTCTAAATATGCAGCATCAATCAATCTGCGCCAGCAGACAGAGGCTCATTGTCTTCATTTCACTCTTTAGATGACAGACGTGACGGTCGGTCCAGCTCCAGAAACACTTTTGCCTTCAAGGAGTCCTGCTCTCTTCAGAACCGGGACATTGTGGAGGTGGTCCGCACTGAGTATGTCTACAGCCGACCACCATGGTCTGACATCCTGGCCACCATTCATGTCATCACCCCCACCTACAGCCGGCCGGTGCAGAAAGCTGAGCTGACACGTCTCGCCAACACTCTGCTGCACGTCCCCAACCTTCACTGGATCCTGGTGGAGGACTCCCAGAGGAGGACCACTCTGGTCAGCCGTCTTCTGCAGGATACAGGACTTAACTACACCCATCTGAATGTGGAGACACCTAGGAACTATAAAATACGAGGGGACACCAGGGATCCTAGAATACCTCGGGGGACTATCCAGAGGAACCTGGCTCTGCGATGGCTCAGGGAGACGTTTGGGTCGAACAGCAGCCAAGCAGGGATTGTCTACTTTGCAGATGATGACAACACCTACAGTCTGGAGCTGTTTGATGAGGTGAGATGATGATTGTTGATTATATCTATGATAAGCCTCTAAGTGTCAAACTATGGCAGGTGGAACTAAGAGGTAACTTTATGATGTTTGCTTCACATCTGGTTAGCAAAGAGTAAAGGCTTATTTATGCTCAACGTTACATATGGATACGGACAGAGCTCTTAGTCCATGCTTCGCGTTCTTTTCGTCCATATGTTTGCACATATTCTTGAAGTTTATGGATACAGGGCACATGGAGCAGTAACAGAAACAGTAAGCGGAAGTGTTGATGCTGTCACTACCCAATACGTTTCTTTAGAAAGAAATAAAGAAGACAATGGCAGGGCTTTTTGAGAATTGTTGTCAATTTCTCTCATCAGTACAACCAGAGAAAAGAATTCTCCGTTCTCCAACCACGAGGCATTTAGAGGCCTGACCGACCACTGCCTTCTTCAACGCTGCCTCCGTTTCTGTCTCCTATGCAAAGTATACATTATCACTCGCTCCTCCACAGTCGCCGTGTTTCTTTTTGTTTTTTGTTGTCAGAAACTTTGTTGGCAGTGATGGCACCATCGTTTGAAACGGACGTGTACATTTTCATACGTATGGCGAGTGTAAATGAGCCTTTAATTGTTTTGTACTGCGTCAACATTTCTTTAAATAAAAACTGCAGACAAACTAAGACTATCTTGTAAAGTTATCTTTAAAGCATTGAAATCAATTCTGAATCTAACAGTATGCTAAAACTGTGTTAATTTGATATTTTCTATTAAACCAGTTAGAACTGAAAAACTGCAGGTCTTTGAGTGTCCACTTGACGTCTGCTGCAGAAGCCAGGGAATCCCCAATAGGTCTACTATTCAAAAGTGAATTCTTTTTGCCAAATTTAATAGGATTAAAGCTTACAGACATGTATCTTATCAAAAATCATGATGAACCTTTGCCACCCTGAGGTGTACTAAATAGTGAAATTCTGGCCTCTGGCCCATAGCCTAAAATTGTAATGAACGCTGTAAGGGAGAGGAACAATGTCGTGGGAGAGATAAAAGTAAGTAAAAAAGTGAGTAAAAAACACCCCAAATATGTTTAGAACAACAAATGAACTTTATTCTGTCGATTCTTCTTTTTTTAATGTCACAACTACAGCCCTCCTCCTTTATCCGGGCTGGGGACCGGCAAAATTGACTCAATTGAGACAATTTGGCAGAGTTACTGTTTTGTTTTTTTTTTGTTTTTTTTTTTAATTTTACTTGTTTTATTTTTTATATTTATTTATTATTATTATTTATTTTTTTTATTGTTTTTTTTAAATTGTTTTTCTTTTTCTTTATTTGATTTTTTTAATATATTTTTTGCTGCTAGTATGGGTACTGGTTAAATGGTTCAGTTGCAGATGGTGCACTTTTCCTCATCCTTTTCTTTTTCTTGCCCTGAAAAACAACATAACATTGTTACTTTTCTGACCTGCTAACACCAGACTATGCAGTGTCAGTAGTAGAAAGCTGCTTTTGAAATCTCACATCACATCACAACATTTGTGATGCTGCTGTGCATAGATTGTGTACTTACATAGTTGTTGATGGCTGACCAACCAGGGTACAGCCGACTGTGTTCTACCTTTTCCACTCTGGCCATTTCTTTAAAGTCCCCTCGCTGTTCCTCTGTAAGCTTCTTCCACTGTGAACAGACAAAAACATATTGTCAGAAACACACTTATTTCCAAACTGGATCATCCACTTGCGCATGAACAACGCCTGGTGCACACCAGGTACTCATTAGTGAGTGTACGACATTTCCTCTATGCAAACTTCATACCTTTAAAAGTTCTTTACATGAGACAGTGAATAAAAAGCAACATTAACAGTTACAGTGAAAAGATAAAGTAAAAATCTTTGATTTATTTAAACCCGAGTGAACCATGTCCTGACACACTTACCCACTGGCCGAGGAAAGCATTCATCTCTGCACTCCCTTTCTCTGCAACTTCAGCTGGTACATTTTTTCGGTACATCCTCATAAACATCATGAAGGCATTTGGTGGCTTTTTGATATATGAGCTGTCCTCCTGCTCCATTTCCCTTTTTCTTTTCCTGTTGGTCAAAATCAGAGAGAAAGTTAATGTTGTTGCTCTATCAAACTTTTTTAATTGAATAATTGTTAAGGTATGTCTAATGTCATTTCCATTCTCTTTGCTTATTATCATGATCGTTTATGAATAAAATAAAGTTTGAGTGATTTGAATCAATACTTACCTTGAGTTGGAGGCTGTGGGAAGAGAAACAGCGGGCTCATTTGATGGTAAAGTTCCAGTGAATTCTACACACAGTGGCTTAAACGCTGTGTAGGGACTGGCACATGCACGCTGATGGTCAAAGAGCTGAAGAGCATCTTCAACACTTGTGACCTCTGCAAACTGTCCAGCCCCACTGTTTGCTGGGTGAGGGGTGGTGTTAAACCCCAAACCAGCAGAGTATGTTTGGGATGGAGGTGGAGGTGAAAAGGAAGGCAGAGGGTCAGTGTACTGGATCTGGAGCGTGTCATCTGTCAGCAGATCACCATCTTCAGCCAGTGTCTTTAACACTGTGCGGGGACTGTCCAATGGGCTCTGTAGGTCAAAAAGCTCGAGTACATCCTCAGATGTGAACTCCATAGCCTCTTCATTGGAACTTTCTGCTGAATGGGGGGGGGGGGGGTTAAACCCAAAACCAGCAGGGTGTGTTGGGGATGAAGGTAGAGGTGAAAAGGAAGGCAGATGATCAGTGGTCTGGCTCTGCGTTGTAAGGTGGTTTGCCTCAAAGAGCATGTTGTCACACAGTGTCTTGAACACTGTGTGGGGACTGTCCAATGGGCTCTGTAGATCAAGCCTGAGTAGATCTTCAAATGTCAACTCCTCAAAATCTCCACTGGAACTTTTTGCTGCGGGAGGGGGGGTGTTAAACCCCAAACCCGCAGGGTATGTTGGTGATGGAGGTGGAGTTGAAAATGAAGGCAGAGTGTCAGTGGTCTGGCTCTGCGCGGTAAGGTGGTTTGCCCACCTGTGTTTCTCGGCACAACACCGCTAACAACAACAACGATTGCAAAATGAGCAACGAACAAGAGAAAACCACCAAAAATGAAGATTTGTTGCCAAAAAGAAAAGGAAAGTCAGTTATCTGGAATTATTTCAGTTACAAGATGGATGATGTTGACCAAAACACGTTCTGTGTTCATCTTTTTTCCACAATAACGTCCCAGAACAATAAAAGCTAAAAATATCTCTGAGACAGACAGAAGCCATTCCACTAACATTCACAAAAAGAGGTAAGATCAGAGCAGAGCAGGTCAAACCCTGGACCTGTCCTCAAGACTTCAGCGGTGCAGCATAACATTAAATGCTATTCAGGTCATCTGGTGAAAATTCCTATATTTTTAATATCGCAATATATATCGCAGGGTTGAAAAAAATCGCAATGTTAGTTTTTTCCAATATTGAGCAGCCTTGCTTATTATGATTATTATTTTGGTCCTATTCTTCTTTTTTATTCCTAACATACAGGGACACGTTCAAAACACATGTGACAGTCCAAAACAAATGCAAAACATGGTGCAAATAAAAATGCTGTTACAAAATTCACAAAAGCAGAAGGCAGCTGCAAATTGAGGAAAAAAAGCAGCAATAAAGACTTTTTAATCAAAGGGCTTCTCACCTCTAGGGGCACTGAGTGAAGGAACTTTATTACTGACAAAAAAAAGAAGAAGACCAGTTATTGGATCTTGAAAGAATAGAATAGAATAGAAACAGGAATGAATAAGAATACAAAAGAATTGCAGTGGTTAGTAAAAAGTGCAGAATATTAGAAATAAGATATTTACAAAGCGCAATGTTTTTAGGAAATAAGCTATGTATAAAGCATAAAGAGTAGAACGTGTATACAAAAACCAGTTTGTAGCAATGGATATTGAACAGAGTCTTTTAGCCTACAGTTAAACAAAGAATTTATGTGGGTTTGAGGTCCTTCTTCAGTGGTCTCACTTATCGACCAAATACTAAAACAACTTATTTTATCAAGTCTAGTATTAAAACTGTCATGCTCAAATTGGAGGGTGTTCTTGGACAACATGTTTCCTGATGTTTTAGTTAAAAAAATTGGGGCTGTCTTAACATACCAGTAACAATGATTACTGAGTTCATACAAAAAATTCATAACTGGTTGATGCGGGGCAGCAGTAGTCCTCTATGTTGGTTAACACCCACCATAAACCAGGAGGATGATGAAGGAGAAAACTCAGCAGCAAGCTAGATAGGTGTAGCAGCCCTCAGAAATATGGTTAAACATTTCAAAACTGATCCTCCAACATTTGTTGTGAATTAAAAACAGTGCCAGTGCCTGTGTCTCCATTAGAGGTGCTAAAAAAGAGCTTTCACTGTTTTCTAACTGTTCTTGCAGCATTTAAATCAGTTGTATCACTTATTTTCTACAAGGAGTAGCATGTGCTTAATTTCAAAATAAAAGCACATTTTCGTTGTTCAGAAAATAAAGCCATCTCAAAGCAGGACAGTGAAATTATCTTAATAAAAGCACCATAAAAAGTCATTTCATTAGGTAATGTCTTCTCTGAATATGTTTCTGTTATGGGGCTGATTTAAGATAACATAAGTAGGTCCACTGCATTTATTAGTAAAGTTTATAATGGAGGGTTTCACTCCACCTTTGTCTGGTCCTTACTTAACTGATGGATAGTGTTGTTTTTCTCCTCCAGGGTTTTCCAAAAATACTTAAATGATATTGTTACAGCAAAATTATGTGACCAGGATAAACGGGAGAGGAAATGTGATGTTGTAACAGCTCTACTTGGAAACTTAGATTCACTTTTTTCTTTCTCCTTTGTTTTTTAGTCCTTTTGTTTTTGTTTTGTTTTTTCTCCTTTTGTCAGTTTTTTCTCTGCTTTGAATGTAATTTTAAATAATAAGTGACTCTTTCTTCTCAGACACCTTATTGTCTATGATATGCTTTGTGTAACACTGGTATTGTTGTCATAGTTTTGCGCAATTAAAAAAATCTATATATATCAAAGGAAACATTATTCTAAAATATCTGTTGACAGGCTCCACATACGCAGATAAGACACCAAGTCCTCACACAGAGACACTGATGGGGTTTCACAGTTTCATAGCTCACAGTATTTACTTCCATTCTTTTAACTTCCAGATGAGGTTGACCAAAAAGGTGTCCGTGTGGCCTGTGGCCTTTGTGGGCGGCCTTCGATATGAGTCCCCAAAAGTCAACAGCTTTGGAAAGGTGTACGGCTGGAAGACTGTGTTTGACCCCCACCGGCCGTTTGCCATAGACATGGCTGGTTTTGCAGTGAACCTGCACCTCATCCTGTCCAAACCTCAGGCTTACTTCAAACTACGAGGAGTGAAGGGAGGTTATCAGGAGAGCAGTTTATTAAAGGAGCTGGTCACTCTCAACGACCTGGAGCCTAAAGCTGCTAACTGCACCAAGGTAAGAGCAGGAAGCTCTCTGCATGTCTGAGATGTGATGCAACCTTTGTGACTTAAGATAAAACCTGCTGCTTCTGTAAACCCTGAGGATGAGTTTCAAGATCCCTGACTGTCAAAACAATTTGCTCTCAAATTCAGTTAAGTGTCAGATTAAAGCTCATTTGAATGATGTTACTTTCTTCTTCTAGACGTTTTGTAGCAGGTGTGATGTAATATGAAGAACTGCACAGCGTTTGGAGCCAGATCTCTTTTTAAGTGTTTCATCACGCGGACTGTTTTTCAGCTCGTCTCCTTCCCCTCCTCCCTCCCCGCAGGTATTAGTATGGCACACACGGACGGAGAAGCCTGTGCTCGTAAATGAGGGCAAGAAAGGATTTACAGACTCTAATGTGGAGATATGACAGACTTCATCTGACACAGGTAAGAGCAGAGATTTAAAATGCAAATGAATGTATTTCCACAACGTGTTTACTCTGGAGGTCAGGTCAAGGGGGAAACATTATCCTAAATATACATCATGAGATATGGACCATACAAAGGCTGTGTGATACATATCATCGAAGAAAACTCCTCATTGTTGTTTTAACAATATGTGAAATTATGATTTCCCCAGAATTAAACAAAGACAGGACAACCACTTTAAACATTTTGTTAAATGAGGGGAAGTAAGATTAATTTCTAAAGAAGCTTAGGTGTTGCCTCAGATCTGTTAAAATGTTTGTTTCGTAAGTGTGTTTTTTATCTATCCAGAGTCCAAGATATTAACAGCGATTACTGTATTTTCCACAGTTTTAAATACAGATCTGTCAAAGTCAGCATGACTTACATTTGCATATACCATCAATTTGGTCTTTGTGTAAATGAGCACTAGTTGGTCATGCTGGCGGTTTTAGAGGAGGTAAAAAACTGCAAAATAAGAGTGTTATCATGTGGGTTAATGATAGTGTCATCTGTATAAAGATGAACTATTAGTTGGTCATGTCATTTACATCAGTGGTGAATCACAAAGTTTCAGGAAATAAACCTTTGAGGAACTCCCTTTGAAACGTTCACCTACCTTGACTCTACAGCAGTCTTCCCAAACTAAGGGTCAAGACCCAAAGTGGGTCCACAGCCAGTTTTTACAAAGTGACCAGCTGGCAGAGCAGGAATTCAAGCGATTGGGTTAGAGTGTTTCTATGTGTTATAATTGAAGAGTGTACCTCGCAATAGCTGTGAGAGAAGCTGTAACTCTCAACACCTCAGTAGGTTACCATTAATATGATAGGGTAGTGTTGTATATGAAGCTTTGACTAAAATGATCAAATACATTTAATTGACTAATTTTATTACTGATTTGATGATATCTGTAGCATTATTTTATGGATGTTTAGGAAATTCTCTTTTTGTTGTTGTTGTTGTTGTTGTTGTTGTTGTTGTTTTATTTACCTGAGGTCCCAGAGAAACACCTTTTTTTTTCTTTTGGGTCCTTTATAAAAAATGTTCATTATAATAATAATAATAATAATAATAATGATAATAATAATAATAATAATAATAATAGTTTTTAAAAAATGCAACACCCCTCAGTTGTAAAGCCTACCACAGCTTTCTTTGAAGGAGACCTATTTTACTCACTTTCACCTTTTATTAGTCTTGGGCACCTAAAGTGATGCATGACTAAGGGCTCAAAAACTCCTTAATTATCCTATAATAAAAACCCTGATTTTCATTTTGGATTCTCAAAACTCTGGGCCTCTTATAAATGCATGATTATGGGACACTAGTTTGGCCCGGTGGTTAAGTCACGTACCCCATAGACAGAGGCGATAGTCCATGAAGGGGGCAACCTTGGTAAAACTCCAGCAGACTTTTGCAGACCAAATAAATTGTACCAGAGGATGCTATCAGTGTCGAGAGAGCTATAAAACTTGGCTTTCGTTGATATTTGAGGTAGACCAAAAAACGTGCTTAGAGTTTAGCCTTTTGAAGTCATGCTGTTGAAATATGAGCTCCAAGTTTTCAGAAAGTTCAAATTTTGTGTATAAAATCAGGGGAAAAGTGTATGTTCCTCCATGTGATCCATTCCTTATTTCTGAAAAGCGAGATGTTCATGAAACCATGTTCACAGATGGCAATCAGCAGGCATGAATTATGAATCTGTCTATTGACTCTGTTTTATTTTCCTCTGGTGACACCAGAGGGGCCCACAGACAGCAACAATGAGTATGTACAAATCTGTCACTTCCCAAATGCTCCTCCCTATTAAAAGGGTTTTCCTTCCTTAGACCTGAAAGGTGTTTCCAAATCTACATCTACACTGACAGACAGTGTAGTGTGGTCCTTGCTTTAGCTTCGACCACAAACATTCTGCCTGTGACATCCTTTTCTCTGTCTCTCTTTCAGGTTAGGCTTTTCTTCATTATATTCTATCTGGATTCACATCCTCAGAGCTCCTCAAAGCAATAGCCGGGGTCAGATCCATTATCACAGTATCACGGTAGCTGATCTTCATCACAGCTCAGAAATGGAGGCACACACTCGTCCACCCTGGGAGGACACATAAGCCATGTGCGTGATCCGAATCAAAGCACAACTGCACAAAAACAAACAGGCCTGTTCTGCTCGGAGCTCCGGCTGATGCGAGACGCTGGTTTGAGGTGCCAAAAGGAGCTTGCCAACTGATGTCTCCCTGGAGAGATTTCAAACTGCATGAAGAGATGGCACAGCAAGCAATAAAGAGCCTTGTGAGCGCAGAAAACACCAGCCTACCATCCAATTAGCATTAAATAGGGCCCTTTTGTTCTGGAGCGAGCTGGCTGTCGGGCACAAGGCTGCACAGAGGAATAAAAGGGTCCTTGTTTAAAGTGAGTCAGCAGTGACTGACAGACTGCATTGAGGGGATCTGAGCCCTCCCCACATGTACTGTACAACACTGAGCTATTTAGATAGCACCCTGAACCCAGCACTAATTAGGAGTCCTGTTACTCCTCAATACACACTCACTCTGAACACGATGAGCACACACACACACATACACACACTTAGAAACACAGAGCAATGATTCACTGCAGCACTCTCTTGTTTGTTCCTGATATGCTGTAACACTACTGAAGTCTGCTCCTGTTCAAGAGAAGATTCAGTATTTCTAAGGACCTGTCTACTTCACAGACTTCTTCATAAGCTAATTAAGATCCCACTGGGAGCACTGACGGTTTCTCAGCCGAATTATTTATTGTTTTAGGGTAACTGGTTCATCCACTTCTTAGTCTGAGCGCTGCTTGTGTGAGTCAACGGGATATGAGGCCATTATTAAGAAAATTCATGTGCATCCTCTCAAAAAGCTGTATTACACAATCTAATTATCCCACCATGGATGGCTGGGTGAAAGTGATGATTTCATGCACTGACTTGCAGCTTAAAATGCTAATGTCCTCATAATCTGTTTGAGTTTGGTTAGTAAGTTATTAGTAACAGACATCTAAAGTCTTGAACTTCTATGTAGACAAGGTCTAATGCTGCTGCTGTTTGTTTTCAAAGTTTAAACACTCCTTCCTCTTCTGACTGTATCTTATTTTATTTGGTACAATGCTCATCATTTTAATCTAAAAAGAGGATTTTTTTACACTCAGGGTAGGATGCTTGAATGTTTTTATAATGTTTACACCTATGTTTCAGGTTTGCTAATTTAAAAAATATATAATATATGGATTTAATCTTTTTTTTCTGTAAGTCTGGGCCACCAATAGAGCACCTCTGCATGGATTGCAGTTTAAAGCTCATATAAGGTGTTTTTTTACCTTAATGAAATAGACTGAAATTCATATTAATGCTTTTTCATAATACCTAAAAGCAAACAAGATCATCAGTGACAAGACTGATTGGTTTAACAGTCTAATTTCTAATGTCTGAAACTGGTTCAAGAGGAAAGGTGTGCAGACACAGCCCTGTTTTCACAATCTCCACATAAAATATTTGCATTAAATAATATGTTTGATTGTCTTGAATTAGCAGGATGACCTTTTTTGTCACAATATGCTATTGGAGCATGCAGAAGGTGAGATAAGCTAAGACTGCTTTTTGCACAGGGGGCACCAGTGTAACACAAATTAAAAAGTCACTTAAAGGAGCTTTAAGTAAGAAGAACTTAATTTATCTCTGAGGGAAAATTCCACATCAGAGTAGTGTCTTCTAACTAAAAATAATTCTTATCATGCTGACTTTTTACTCTCAAATTCACCATTTATTGTGAACTATTTGTGTGGAAATTGTAAAAACAGGGCTCTTTCTGCACAACTGACCCCACCCCTTTGGACCAGTTTTAGGCATTAAAAATTACATTATAAAAACCTTTAATCTTGTCACTGATGGTCTTTTTTTGCTTTTGTCTATCATTAAAAGGTATCAGTAAGAATTCAAATCAATCAATCAAATTTTATTTTTAAAGCGCCAATTCACAACAGTCGTCATCCGTAGATGCTTTTCAAAGAACAAGCACAGGTCTAGACCGTGATTATTGTTTGATGAATTATCAAATTATCAAGAATTTCAATCATAAACATCAAAAAACTGCTCTGCTTTGTTTTAACAGATTTTCCTTTAAATAAAAGGTTGGACACAAGTTGTGGTTGTAACTTACACAGCTTTGCGGTCACAAAATGACCCAAAAGTTGAGCCTCTATAGAAACGCTGACCGTCAGCAGTACCGCAAGTAGGCTACCTAACTACATGTTAGCTGCTATGTTACTGACAGCTTGCGTTTATGAAGCTTTTGTAAGATCTTTATAGATGGAACGGCCACAGGTTTCAGTAACCAATGAGACACAAATCCAGCTCATACTACTAGCCTTTGTTGGCAAAAGAGTGATTTGTGCCATAGCAAGTGCAGACAGCTTTTTCGTAGTTGTTGCTATCCTGAAAATATAAAATCCTCCCATCTTCTTTACTGGCACAAACCACAGTCATCACACACCATTGTGGCCAACACATAGCCAGTACAAATAAGGGGTTAGCCAGCAGCAGCGTTAGCTAAAATTTTGGTTAAAACTTAAGTTATTAATGATGACTTAACTGCTCGTACTTTTTAAGTTTATGTATTTGTGGCTTAAACTGCAAATAAATCAGTTAAAATGCTAGCTAAAATTAATATGCGAGCACTTTTTCACATAAGCTAACAATGTTAGCTAAGATATATGAATGAAAACTAACAGCTGTTATGACCTCTCTGACTGTATTTTATGGTGTTTTAATTTGATATGTTTTGTACATCTTTACAATCTCTTATCAACAAGAAAAATGTATTGCATTGAAACACTTGGCCTAATTTCTTACTTTTATTTCATTTGCAAACCTGAAACAGTAAATTTAAACATTATAAAGGCATTTGTGCTTCTCCTTTCAGAGGTAAACAGTTGTTGTGTGAACATGTGATATTTTCATACCTGCATCATCCAAAATATTCACACAAGCAATACAAACCTCACAACATTGAAAATTACTGCCATCCACAGGCATAAATGAGCAGAAACCCATGGCTAAGAGGAAAAACTTGGTTCTTTTGTTCTGTGTAAAGAGTCACTGTAATTTAAGGTACTGTATCTGCATAGCTATAAACTGCTCCCAAAAACAAACACGCTTCTCTCTGTTTTTGACACGTTTCTTTGTATATATTAACTTATATATATATTTATATGACAAAGATTTACAACATTGATACCCCTAAATATAAAGGTTTAACTTCATAAAAAAGAACTTAGTCTGTTGATCTATTTTAATATGAAACACAGTTGTCATGGTGATGAAATTCACTGAATGTCTGCTGCCATGCCGAGGTCAGGTGTGTCTTCAAAGTGGACCTTGTAGTCGCCCTCCTGCTCCTCAAATAAAACAACCTAACCAGAGAAAACAAAGACAGAGAAAAAGTGGGAGTTACAGCCTTGAGACATAACCATGAACAGCTGAAAGTTTTTGAAGTAAATGAAAGTAAAGATTTATCTTCTGAGTAACTCTTCTGTGAGGATTTTTTTTTTAAATCATAATGTTCCAGTACTTTTTGGAAATTATTTCTTTTCTTGCGAGAAATGAGTTGTAAATAATTTGCATGTTCTCTATGAATAAGCTTGGAGCTGGTGAATCGTTTACCTAGCAGAGCACAAAGACTAGAAAATAAAGTTGGCCTGGTTCTTTCCAAAAATATACTTCATTGTGTCCAGAAACAGATGTAAAGCTCATTAATTTCTAAACATGCTGTTACTCATGCATCTGTTCAGAGAGTGAAATGAGCAACAGGTTTTTTCCGTCTTAATTCATGTAGGGGTCGCTATGAGAGTATTTTTTTTTCTTAAAGACAATTTTTAGTATCGGCTTGATCAACATGAGCCCCTGCTTACTTATAATAATAATAACTTTATTTATATAGCACTTTTAAAAAACAGAAGTTTACAAAGTGTTTTGACAATAGTTGCAAGCACAGAACATCAGCACATGAAAATTAAAAACAAAAGCTCTGTTAAAAACAAGGCCTCTGAATTGAAGGCCAATTTCATTTTTCATAAGAAACCCAGGCAATACAAGAACCCTACAACATAAAATGAGACCATGAGGACCAACATAAATACATAAAATAGGTAAGAAGAAGAATGAAATAGAAAAGGAGGGCAGAAAGTAAGAAACAGGATAGTAAGTATAAGTAAGGATCGGATAGTAAGTATAAAAGAGGATATTAATAATGATAATACAATCATAATAAAATAATAATGATGGTAATATTAATGATAAAATGGAATAATAAAAATGAACAGGAAAAAAAAACATTAAAATCAATAAAGGACCTAAAAGTTAAAATAAGAAAAGATTATAAGTAAAACCAAGGCTAAAAGGATAGTAAGTCGAAATAAGATAGAGGTAAAAGAGATTTAAAAAGGAGAAAAAAGGTAAAAGACAGCATCACATAAAAGCAAGTCTGTAAAAATGAGTACTTATGTCGCCACAAAGCTACAAAAGCATTTTGGAAGTCACTGTAGAAAAAATCGTAAAATGTTCTCTATGGTGCCTTTACAGAGGATAGAATCTAAAGAAAATGCCCTCTAAATGCTTTACCAGTGGATATAATGTAACTAAACTGCCCCTGTTAGATGCCCCTTTGGTGATTAAAATGGAATAATGCACCCTATGAATGCCCTCATGGTTGATCAAATGTAAACTAAGTGCCCATTGAACACTATCCCAGTGGATAAAATATCAAACAAGTGCTATCTGGAAGCCTTTAAGTGGTTTGAATATATAAAGACATGTCTGCTGAATGTCCTTGTAAAGATGAAAGTGTAAATAAAGTACACTTAAGATGCTCTTCTTGTGTTAAATTGTAAATGAAGTGCCCTGTAGATGCCCTTCATGTGGTTTAAATGTTCATGAAGTGCCTATAAGATCACCTTCCAGTGATTAAAATGTAAACCAATAGCCCTTAAGATGCCAACCTTGTAGTAAAAAAAATGTAGAATAAGTGCAACTAGAAGCCCTTCCAGTTGTTTTCATTTATATAAAGTGCCCTCTAGGTGGTCTTCTAGTGGTTAAAATTCAAATAAAGGGGCCTTTAGATGTCCTTACAGTTGTTTAAATAATAGTCAGTTGCCCTTTTGATGATCTTCTGATGGATAAATTGTAAATAAAGTACCCTCTAAAGGACCATCCAGTGATTAAAATTAAACAAAGTGCCTTCTAAATGTTCTTTTACTGGCTCTAATGTAAAAACTGCCCTCTTGATGCCCCTCTTGTGGTCAAAAATTAAATTAAGTGCCCACTGATGCATTTCCAGTGGTTAAAATGTTACTCGAGCACCCACTAGATGCCTTTGAAGTGGTTCAAATGTAAATGAAGCGCCCTCTTGATTCTCTTCCAGTGGTCAAAATGTAGTTATGTGTCCTGTGAATGCCCTTGCTGTTGATAAAATCTTAGCAAAGCGCCCACTGGATGTTCTTCCACTGAATAGAATGTATCAATGTGCCCACTCAAGTCCCTTGACAATGGTAGATGTGGCTACCATGTAATGAGTTTTGATTGACTAAAACTAGAAAATATTTGGAGTTTCGGTCATGTAAATCATGTAAATCTATAGGAGCAAAAAAGATTACAGAGTAACTGAATTTGATAGGAATTTTCATCAAAAGACAAAAAAAAACATCCAAATTAGTTGCCAAATTAAACACTGCATATCAACATACAGAAACCCAATGCAGGCTTCACTTATCAAGAGACTCCTCCATGGTACACTCGAACACACATACTCAACTAACTTTTGGCATTAGGAAAACAAACAAACAAAATCCTCATAAATAAAGTTTGTGCTTCGCTGTACCTGATTTATCCCACTGTTAAGAAAAGGACCAGGGAGGTAGAGGGCCTGCTGGGGGCCGATGGACCAGTAGCGACCCAGATTTAGCCCGTTTATGAAAACAACACCTTTCTCCCAGCCCTGTAGACAAACACAGAGACCATTGTATTTTCTTTACAATGCAAAATTTAGTATTACTAAATCAAACACCAGGAACATTTTGTACATATATTATTTGACTTACTGGGAGTTTAACAAATGTGTCACTTGGATATCCATATGCAAAAAGCCTCCCCATGAAAAACCCAGGAAAACTTGGGTTTTCAGGTAAAGTTTTCCAAGGAGCCTGATAGAGACTGAAATAAGACATCCACTTCACACACAGTATTACAGCAAAATGAAAGTGATATGCGCTGTCTTAAATTTAATAAAGCAAACAAACCTATCAATAAAGCTGGGTTTCATATCCAGGCTGTATATTATAAAATCTCGCAAGGGGATATTGTTTAATAAGATATCTCCCACAAGGCCTGCAAGAACACAAATCAAAACTGGCTCATTCACTGAACTCTTAGAGCCAGAGTGGTTTATTAGCAGGCGTAGCAATGAACTGCATATTGTCTGTCAATCACCTTTATGTTGTTTGTCAAGGTCTTTTCCCTGATGAACTCGCCCACAGTTTTCCACCAATAAACTCAAAGTGCGCCGTCCCTGCATGGAGTGATAGCTGTTATGTCTTTGACAAGTTTTACAGCCAACACTTCAGTATCTATCACATCAGATTACTGTGAATTTATGTTTGTTTTTTGGTCATTTGCTTTCATCGTCAAACATGATGCCGTACCTTACCATCAGGAACCGCCAGCTCCAGACTTTTACGCTTGAAAAGGCCGATGTAGCTTCTGTCCACAAACACCTGTGAAAAATGATGCTGTCAAACTAATTGTATTGTTGTGCGTTCAGCTCCGCTTCAGTGTAGTAAAATGTTTAAGGTGACTTAAAGTTTGCACATTTCACACACAATCATCTTTTCTTCACAGCTTTTATGTGCAGCATGTCCTGCAATATCTTTCTCAGGTGTTTGGGCATTACAGCTTAGACCTTGTAAAAGTCACTCACATTTTTTCACTTTAGGGGCAAAATATTTGTTCTCACTGTTACTAATTTAACAACAAGATACAATGAGAGATTGAAACATTTCTTATGAGAATAATTCTGAGTATTTATGCAGTAACTTAAGAAAATACAGAAGTTTATCCTGTATTATAAAAATATATTAGACAGTTTACAAAAATACACTTTTGGCAATCAAATGGAAAAAATAAATAAATAAACACTTTCATACAAAAACATACAGTTTATTAGGTAAGCAAGTTTGAGTTTTTTATTTAGCTAACACTTTAAAAATAGTCAGCTACTCCTGGTGGCTGATACCAGTAACATTACAAATTTATTTCACATTGTTGTGTTATAAAATGTGTAGTTCATTCACACTTGCAGGTATGCAAATTTAAGACTACATTCACAGGTTAATAGATTTATTGAACAACAGAGTTTTTCCCCAGATTTAAAAGAGGAAAACAGTTTCCACACAGAGGTGTTCATGAAAATTTGAAAAGGACCACATAACCATGTCAGACCAGCAGGTGGTAATAATGTGCAGTCAGTCTGTCACGTCAAATATCAAAATTTTATCTTTCACGTGTGTCATTTATTGATGGTTTTTACTGTGACCCCCTTTAAATATATCAGGGATTATGATCTGTGAAATGGATATTGCATAAGCCAGCATGAACTCACCAGAGCTCGGTCTCTGACGTTGTCTCCAGACTTCAACAGCCCCCCTCTGGTGATGGTGGTCTCATACAGAGTGTACCCATAGGACTGCCCGTTCTTGTTGTTCACAGGTAGGTTCTCCATGCTCACTGGCACTGGAGACTTAAATGGCTGCAGGAAATAAAAACAAACAAATAAATGAGTGGACCTCCTTGATTGATAAGCATGAATATTATCATCAGACACACAGACAACAGATAATCTTACATAAACATACTCCCTCAGTGAAGCTCAGAGCGTCCCATAAGGACAGGTGCTGGTACATGATGGCCGGCTCATAAGACTCTCTGTAATGTAGAGCTGGCATGTCGGGGAAACTTTCTCCTTCTGCACAAACAAGAACAGGATGAGAGATCAGTGCATTCACATGAGATAAGAGATGAGACAACACAATATATTTACTTTATTGAGCCCACACGAAGGGTTTACTCACGACAGCAACCCATATAAGGAATAATTAACTACAGCTGGGTTCTTTAAGCAGAGGAAATTAACTTACACAGTTCAAAACAAAAGGGTTTGAGCTCAGCTATGATGTTAAGTTTGTGGTGTTTTAAAAGAAATCCAACTTTGAGACACAAGGCTTTCACTGGCAGACTAACAACGCCTCCTCCCCTTACGTAAAAATGCTACACCACTGGTGTACAGTCCATTGCCTGAGAATGAAGAGACTAAATCCACAATATCTGGTGAACAGATTCAATGAAGCAACTTTAGGCTGATGCATTTGTAACTGAAAGAAATGAACACATCCAACAACAAGAGATGTTATTTTGATTAACGTCGCAGGGGTTTGATTGAAATGAAGCCACAATCTCTTTGGATGAACCTAGAAGGGAAAGGCCTGCATGCTGTATCAATGAAGCATTTAAATAACATTTGATTCTCTCTATCTAATATTCTGAATGATAAAGAGCATATTTAGATGTAAACAAAATCCATGTCCATCTAATTACCCAAGCCTTTCTGAATTTATAACAGCATACAAGCTTATCTCCAGTAAAACTTGGCAGTGTGAGATTGCAGCCTCTTTGCAGAGAGAACTGCCCCTCTATAGATGTAAAAGGCTCATTTTAAAACAATATAAGTTTTTATTCAGGTGATACAGACATATTAAGGCATAAAAATAAACATCGTGTTCAGTTTTTACACAGCTCATTCTGCTAAATAATGCTAAATATACTAATACTACATACGTCACCAATGTTTAATGTAAGGAGACTAACCAAATCAACCAACAGCAAAGATAAATTTGCATTAATCTGTGGAAATAAATAATGCGTGATCAAATGAATCAGTGTAATAGGTGTAAATGTTATGACTGATGGATGATGGTAACAGGGGAGATCATGCATCACACTGTGTCAGGGTTTGTTGTGCAGGCTGAGTCTTAATGAAGGACCTGTGGTAGTGCTCTCTCTTACAGTGGTGAGTATCAAATACATTGATAGCAGTTTAATGTTTAACTTACTGTTATATCTGGAGAGTAAATCTCTCAGGAGGTGATACTTTGGTGTGTATTCTCCATCTTCAGACAAAGGAGCATCATAATCTGGAAAACAAAACTATGTAATATAGATTAACCGTCATGTACTGCCACCTGCTGGCTGTCAGAGTCAGTGCTGACCATCCAGTGTGACAGTGTCTTCTCGTTTTAATGGAATCTCTGTAAATTTGCATCAAAGTCGCAGCTGCTTTGTTTACCGTAGCTGGGGACTAAAGCTCTGTACGAAGGATGAGCTAGAGCTCCACTCATGAAGCCGAAACTGGATCCTCCGTGAAACATGTAAAGGTTCACTGATATGCCTCGCCTTAGGATTTCTCTCACTGTGGAAACCATGTCTGACAAAGAGATCAACAGTTTCTCTCTTAACAACTTTAGATTAATAAAAGACTTCATGAAAACCTCTCTGACACTCATTATCAGGAGCTGTCGGTGCTCGAACAAAAGTAGGTTGCACCTGGCTCTCACATTTGCATCCACATTTACATTGTTGGTGTGCAGCTGGCATTCATTATGCAAAAGACAAAGCACTTGGTAAATAAATAGGTACCATTAGCACATGGGAAAAGAGTGGATGTGTTTATTTAGCAAAGTGACATGAGATTAAACATCGCAAGTGAGGTTTAAAAAAGGAAAGATATGAAGTCCCCTGATTGAACTGATTTGTTTACTTTGAGCCCATGACAGCACTCCAAAGAACATTTGTAATACAATTTCACAAAATGTTAAAATAGAAATGACAATCAAAAAGTCATCAGAAGAACATTAAAGATTTTACATTATATTTCTCATAAAGTTGTAAATTGGCTTAATTAAGGTGATATTCACCTGAAAAGTCCAGAAAAATGTCTTTATTCAGGATATCACAAGCCAAAACGTAAGAGCTGGGCTGCTTGTAAGGAGTGGAAATATATATGCCAGTGGAATAATGGAAAATTTTAATTGTCAAGTTCTTGAAATTAGACATTTTCTTATTCATTATTATTATTATTAATAATAATAATAATAATAATAATAATAATAATAATAATTTTCTGTCTCACTTAAACATTTGTGCCATTGACCTTCAGGGCCCTGGTAAAATTTTCTAAAGCTTTTGCAAAATCCTGTTTAAGTGTCTTGAGTTCAACATCACTTTTTCCCTTCATATTCTTTTAGGTGTTTCATAGAATAATGCATACAGAAAACAACAACCAGGGACGTCTCTGCCAATCAATTATCTCATCAAAAGGTGTAGAATTGATCCCCACAGACTAAAGAGTAGAGCCTTCTTTACCTTCTGGAGGGAGCACATGGTGCAGCTCACCCCACACATCATACCAGCCGGTCCAGTAGTCCATCACCATGGTAGGGCTGTTGGGCTGGAAACAGTACAGAGAAAACAAAGACATCACACAAGCTCAGAGTGACAGATTGGATAGGAAAACTTAATACACACCTGGAGAGCAGTCAGATCCTGGATGTCTCTCCGATTCAGCTTCTGCAGCTTCACTGATCTGATCGCTGCGACACATGAACACAGAGGTGAGCTGTGGGTGTCTGTGGGTGTAAATGAGCATATTTTTCTCTGTGTTTAAATCCCTGTACCTCCATCCACACCTCCTGACTTTAATGTGTTGTGGTTGTCTGATGTGAACAAGAGCTCACTGATCCCTCTGGACTGCAAAGCCTTTCAAAATAAAACAGATGATAAATACAGTTAATAAAGATGGTCATTTTATGAAGAAAAGTTTCAATGGAGAGTAAAATCTGTGTCTACCTCTTTGATGAAATTCATGTAACCTTCATCTTTTGCATGAGATCCATATTCGTTTTCCACCTGCACTGCAATTATGGGTCCTCCTTTCTTGAACTGAAATAGACATTTTTTTAAATGTCTAATCAAAAATTTGCTGCTACAAAAATCTCCTTTTTGAACATCAGTCACAAGCATTTACCTGAAGAGGAACCACTTTTGGAATGAGTTTGTCAAAGAAAATATTGACACCCTCAACAAAGCCGGGGTGCGTTGTCCTCAGCCTGATGCTGCTGTCTCTGAGGAGCCAGCTGTGTGAAAGTGACAGGATGAGAGGTTTTCACTCAAGATAAACAACTGCAGGAACACGGGTACAGAGGATAATTATGGACAATGCGCAAGACTCTAGTTCCTGCTTTTGAGCCATTTGTGCAAAACAGTTTAGACTTGGGTTTGAATATTAGTTAAATTGAGTTGTGTGTTTTTCCTTTTTTTTTTTTTTTCTGTATGTTTTCATTTGATCTGGTTAAAGCTCCCGTGGGTGACTTTTTTTGTGTTAATTTTGCGCCCCCCTGTGGACAAATACTTCTTATCACTGATCTTGTTCTTGATATGTGACAGTGTAACCACTTTACAAAGAAAGTGAGACTCACCAGACACAGATATTCAGGTGCTTCTTTAGATAATGTTATGAAATAATAAATAACAGCATTTATTTTGCAGAGAGACAGATAGACAAAGGGAGAAATTTGACTTTCTTCTGATCTGAACACGCCATTGTGTCTCCAGTTACTGGTTGGACTGGGAGTCTTAGCTGGAAGTCATCTATCCCTAAGCACTGGCCTCATTGGAAATACCAAGAAGCTGGCCATTGTCTCACATCATCAGAGAACAAATAGGTTAACTCAACATTTGTGAGTTTGTGCGTGTGTAACGAGCAGAAGTTCACATATTTCATTAGTCCCACAGTCATTTCTTGGTTCAGTTCCTGGGAAGCTGATTATGAGTGTCTGGTGAGCCTCAGTTTGAGAAGAAGTTTACATATTTTGTTAGTCCCACAGTCATTTCTTGGTTCAGTTCTGGAGGAGCTGATTATGAGTGTCTGGTGAGTCTCAGTTTGAGTGAAAGTTCATCCAATTGTACCCAAATCTGGTATCCCTTGAGAGGAGTGCTTTGAATCTTTTTAAGCTGGTGTTTTGATCTGTTTTGAAGCTGTTTCAACGTGTTATGGTTGGCTAGTGACAAACTGGGTACACAATAGTTCAGATATGAATAAAACAGATAAAAAAATGTCCTTCTATGGTTGTGTGTCAGGATTACAAACCTTGGCAGTCCCCCGAGGTCCAGCTCAGAGGAAATGTAGGGTCCTGGACGTAAAATCACCCAAAGGCCCAATTCAGCAGCAAGGTTGATGTAGGCCCTGAAACATGATCAGAGTGTAGGGTAATTAAGCAGTTTGTACCTGTAAAAACACAAAGTTTGGTGGAGCAATACCCTGCTGTTTGAGGTGAAATGGGTTCAGTGTATTTGGAAACATCAGCAGCAGACTGAGGCGTGTCATCCCTCTTCATTTATCACTGCTGTGTTGTTAATTGCTCAGTGTGTTGTTGTTGTTTGGGAGGTATTGCTGTTGTCAGGTGGGACCTCTCTCCCTTAAGACCCCCCCCCCCTGAGTACTGAGGGATTAGACGATGAGGACAAAGAGAGAATTTTCCCAACACACCTGAGAGCAGATAGCATTGTCAGGGCAACCAGAAAGGTCACATAATGTTTGTTTCACACAGTATTTAAGTTTCATATTTGGTTTATAGAGAGTATTGCGCTTTGTTTCTGTGGTCCACACAGTCTTAATGTGCGCTAGAAATTGTCACCACATGACCACCTGTTTCTACAAAACAGCTTTGATATGCATTTGAGGATGCCGCAAGCAGCTTTGTTCACAGGTCATTGTTTTCAGATGTAATTATGAGCCTATACAGTGATTTCCACTACAGAGTCACATCTGTTTTAGATGCAGTGACACGTAAGTGGATAAAGATCTCAGCCATTCAGTATTGGTTTTCTCTTTTTTTGTTGTTAAATATAGACCGCAAATGATTTGCAAACCATGAAATTTTCTTTTTTTTTACATTTCACTTAGAGCCCCAAATCTATGGAATTCGGCTTAATTTCAAAATCCAAAAAAATTATTTTACTGACTGTTTAAATCTATGATACAGTTGATCCTGTGCTTTAGGTATTAGCCACATATTTACAAAAAAATAGTTTATTTTATCCTTACGCTCTCATTTTTGGATATTTGTTTGGATTTAATTTCCAACTGATTCTTACTGTTCCGCTCATTCCTATTTCCTCATTCTACAAATGACTTGTTTTATCTAACCAACAATCCAAACCTAAAAACACACTGTCATAGAAGTCAAGACAAGCAGCAAATCACCACACTTTGGAAGCTGATACTAACAAATATTTTCTGCTTTTAAAATGCTAAAAATATATTGACTAAAATTGATTTTCTTGAGACTGACACAATGATGGATTGTGGACATTATGGACATTTTTAAGTTGCACTCGGGCTCTCAGGCTAAACTCCTTGAAGTAGTAAACTGTGTAGTGATCATATGGGCGTCTACTTTGTACTCAGGACACAAAGGACTGAAACTACTCACTCTAAATCCAGCTGTGTGTGGAAGTTAAAGACCCCTCTCTCTGGCTGATGCAGACTCCATGGCACAAACCTGCAAAGATTGAGATTCAGGAAGGTTTTTGTGAATATTCAGAATTAGAGTGAATGTGAAATAACTGTAATTGTGATTTTTGTTTACGTGCCAAAAACAGAAACGCTGTTTTACCTTCTGAATGAAAACACAAAAGCAAATAAAAATTTGTCTTTTCTTTTTGTTTTGTTTTTTCTTTTGAAATGAATATTGACAAATTTCTCTGATTTATTTTTAGAAACAAAAACAGAATCATGCTTATTCTGTTTTAGGATCACAGATATGTTACGGATTATCACATGATACTGTGACCCAAAATACATCCATATTTGTTTTCATACGTAGTGAGGGTGTTGAGTCCACAGGCCTTCATCTTCATCAGCCGGTCCCTCCAGTAGGCCCTCGGCACCCGGAAATAGTGGACTGACCCCCCCAGGATGCAGAAAGGTTCTCCATCCAAGGTGAACTGAGTCGAGTTGGCACTCAGGCCCACCTTCCTGCTCATTTTGCGTCCCCCTGCTGGCATGCTGGAACAAGAGGTGTAGTTTGTGTCACACTCACATTATGCAGCACACTGGCTATTGTGCCTGTATGACCACATGATGTGCCTGACAGGAATTTGAAAGTCTTTTGTAGGCAAACAAAACCACAACAGTGCATGGATACATTCAAATCAACAGACAAAATACTGATCAACGCACAACTTAAGCACACTATGTTTTTATTTTGTTGCTAAAAATGTATTTTTTCTTCTAAACTCATTGTGCTGCAGTTATGCATTTTGATCTTTCTCTTCCTTTTAATCAAAGATGTAATTTTTTAAACAACTCTTAAGCCTTACGGTAAGTGACGATCATTTTTTAAACTTCATTATAGCATTATCAAATAAAATAACAAAAATAATATTGCTACATAGATAAAATTCTTGCTTGAGTGAAGTTTAACACACTGTATCTCTGTCCCTAAAGAGAAATGCAGCTTAATGAACATTAAGTGTGTTTTATTTTGCAGTACTAAAGTACTACATCTAGTTCAAGTTGCAAAACAGCTCATATGGTATTCATAGTATTCAAAAGTATCAAGAAACATTACTTACCCGAGATATCTGTACATAATGATGCCAACAATGAACAGGCTGATAAGAGCATATTTCCTTTTGTGTGCATTTCTAATCCTCAGGACAACCATCGATAGGATGTGATTGAGTTTCCCTCCAGGGTCAGCGTCTGCAGTAGAGTCAAATTTTCAGCAGCATCTGAGCTCAGATGAACGTGTGTTACTGGTTACTGGTGTTAGTAATGCACCGCCTCTTGGGAGTGACCCTGCAGAGCCATGGAGACCTTGCACTTCTCATTAACAGGGTTTGTGTGTGTCTTTGTATGCGTGCCTACTCGGGAGATTGCAAAGCATTGTGAGCATTTGGTTGGAATGATGAATGAGCTGCACCAACTACAGTTATTTCCCCTGCAGTTATACTTATTTATTACAATAAAAACCTCAACATTAAAACCTCCTCCGTCTTCTTTGTTTGCTGGTAGCCAAAAAAGAGAGAGAAAAAAAACGTCTTATTCTTGTTTGGGGACGTCTTAATCAGCATTACTAATAACCATTTGTTACTTGAGGGCAAGACTGTTAATTTTGTTGCAGGAGAAATCCACCACCCTTCTTTACAGCCAGCTCAATGCACAGCCTTTACAGGCAGACACCAGCGCCATGCTCCTGAGGGTCTGAGCCCCAGACCTTTTCAGTGAAGAACTAGAACTGTGAACCTTACAAAAAAAATGTCTCATTCCCCTTGGCTCAATTGCCACACAACATAAATGTTGACTGTAGCTCAGTGGCAGAGTCGGGTGGTTGTCTCTCAATAAGAAGGTCAGAGGTTTGGCCCCAGGTCCTGTTAGCTACATGCCAAAGTGTCCTTGGGCGCATTACATGAAGGCCTGCTATGTGGGTGAATGTGGCAAGTAATGAAAAATGCTTTAAGTGTTCATTAGACTAGAGAAAGAGCTACATAAACATGGTCCATTTACCATTTACACAGCTAAAGAAATCTGTAAGACATGAAAATCTATTCTGTAAATAGCTATGAAACTGACAGTTTGTCTGCCACAGTAAAAAGAAAAGCAATAAGCCTGTTGTGACCCTGCTCAAATAGTCTCACCTAATAAGTCTCACCTCTGATGAGTGTAGTTATGGTTAAATTTTGAGGGGCAAAAAAGGAGGCCAGACATCTCAGACCTTATATGCCTCCCATGGACATCTCACTGGACACAGCCCTGTTTGGGGTATCAGGATGCCTTATCTTGCCAAGAGCATCTAGATAGCCAGAACTTCTCATGCTCATTGGACTTAATCTGATTTACAGTATAAAAATTGAGAAAAGAAGACACAATCAGACGGAGTCTTAAAACAAAGTACAAAACCCAATTCCATTGAAGTTGGGAAATTGTGATAAACATAAATAAAAACAGAATACAATGATTTGCAAATAATAATTAACTCAGAATTTGATGGCTGCAACATGTGTCAAAGAAGTTGGGAAAGGTGGCAAAAAATACTTAGAAATTTGAGGAATGCTCATCAAACACCTATTTGGAATATCCCACAGGTGAGAAGGCTATTTGGGAACAGGTTGGTGCCATGACTGGGTATAAAAGCAGTTTCCCCAAAAATTCTCAGTCATTCATAAGCAAGGATGGGGCGAGGTTCACCACTTTGTGAACAACTGCATGAGCAAATACTCGAACAGTTTAAGAACAACATTTCTCAAAGTACAATTGCAAGGAATTTAGGGATTTCAACATCTACAGTCCATAATATCATCAAAAGGTTCAGAGAATCTGGAGAAATCACTGCACGTAAGTGGCACGGCCGGAAACCAACATTGAATGCTCCTGACCTTTGATCCCTCAGGCGGCACTGTATCAAAAACCAACATCAATGTGTAAAGGATATCACCACATGGACTCAGGAACACTTCAGAAATCCACTGTCAGTAAATACAGTTTGTCGCTACATCTACAAGTTAAAACTCTATGTAAAATGAAAGCCATTTATCAACAACATCCAGAAATGCCACCAGCTTCTCTCGGCCCGAGCTCATTTAAGATGGACTGATGCAAAGTGGAAAAGTGTTCTGTGGTCTGACGAGTCCACATTTCAAATTGTTTTTGGAAATAGTGGACGCCGTGTCCTCCAGGCCATAGAGGAAAAGAACCATCCAGATTGTTATCAACACAAAGTTCAAAAGCCAGCATCTGTGATGGGGGTGTATTAGTGCCCAAGGCATGGGTAACTTAAACATCTGTGAAGGCAACATTAATGCTGAAAGGTACATACAGGTTTTGGAGTAACGTATGCTGCCATCGAAGCAACGTCTTTTTCATGGACGCCCCTGCTTATTTCAGCATGGGAATGGGAAAGAATTCCACCTTCAAAGCTTCAACAATTAGTCTCCTCAGTTCCCAAACGTTCATTGAGTGTTGTTAAAAGGAAAGGTGATGTAACACAGTGGTAAACATGCCCCTGTCCCAACTACTTTGGCATGTGTTGCAGCCATGAAATTCTGAGTTAGTTATTTTTTGCAAAAAATATATAGTTTATGAGTTTGAACATTAAATATCTTGTCTTTGTAGTGTATTCAATTGAATATAGGTTGAAAAGGATTTGATTTATTTACGTTTATCACAATTTCCCAACTTCAATGGAATTGGGTTTTGTATATGCTGTGTGTATGTCTATAAACTATATCAAATTAGTTTATCCAGTCAGCATTGTCTTTTTTTCTGGGGGTTTTTTTTCTGTCTGTGTGAAGATATATTTTTATTTTTCCCCTTTCTCTCCCTGCTTAGTTTTGAGACCTTCATTGCGCTGCATTTTATCCCCATTACGTCTTCCGTTGTAAATGACTACATTACCCATGAGCCTTGGGAGTTGGAGTTTGCGCAATCTGTTTTCCACGGCCCAGGCTGCTGCTAGTATCTGTTTAGGGTTGTTGTTGTCACAGTAAAGGGGGGCACAAGAAAGAATTGACGAAGTTATTTTAACCCTGAGCCTGTCGCATGAGGTAAGAGAGATATCTCGATGAAATGTATGCCCTGACTCTTACTTTACTTGTTTTTTTCAAGCGTTGTCCCTGGAAAACATAACAGTTAAATTAGTTGTTGAGCGTCAACGTCTAGCCAGTGACACAGACAGACAAGCTAGCAGAGATCTGAAGAAACCTACTGAAGTTAAAGATCATGACACCGGAGACCTCTTTATGGCCACAGTGAATCTAAACTGAGGGTTTTTACACACCACATTTTTAGGACTGTTTTGTCGGTCAGAGAGAGAGAGAGAGCAAGCTAACATTGCTGAGTGTTAGCTATCATGTATCTGAGCTAACATACTGAGTCAGCTTGCTAACGGTAACTTACACAAACAGAGAGAATCACAAAGAAACTCATACAGGGAGGATTTCATCTTCATGTTGTCACGAAGGCTGTGTCACTAACAGACAGATTTACAGATAAAAAATGTCCCTGCTTTTTTGTAGTGTCACCATAAAATCAAATTAATGATGATTTATAAATAAGTCAGCAGTAGTTACTGAGCAGGTTAGCTAAACAGGGGCGTGTCCACACTATTTCTGACTAGGGTGGCTCATCTGGGGTATTTACTGTAGAGGTGATATGGAAGAATAACATTTATCACTATTTCTGTTTTCAGTAATCATATTTGTTCGAATTACACTGAAGCATGCTTTGTAAACTTTGAAGAGTTTCCCACCAGAGCCGAAACTAATTTGCTCATAATTTCAAGTAGAAATGTCCCAATTAGCTTGACTGGCCTTAATTCTTATTTGATTTTTTTTTTTTTTTTTTTTTTTACTGTATATCGGCCAACAGTAAATATAAGGGGATGACACTCATAGGCTTGCTTTCAATTTGTGCCAAAAAAAGAAAAAAGGTTTGGTGCTGTGTGTTATGCTGTCCCTCATCTTGCCAGACACACACAAGTACACACACATACACCATATACACTTCCCTTCCTCATGCCTCTCTCCCTGCTCTCCTCTCTTCACCTGTGGCTGCATGATAGATTGTGCTACTGTAGCACAACATGTTTAAAATAATTAAATCCACATCGTCCTCTTGTTCCCAAACTCTTGTTGCACATTGATCTGAGCTTATAATGAAAGTGAAGTGAGAGTTGTTTGAGGGGAGGGGCAGAGCTCATGCCTCGCTTTGAAGGAGAAAAGGGAGGGTGTGTTTGATGAATCACCCAGTCCTAGTGTAAAGTCTTTGTTCTTTTCAGAATGATAAACTTTTTAGCAACACACTGTTGTCATAAAGACAAGTGTTGTCGTAATGACAAGCATAGGTCAAAGGGAAACTTGTTATTGAACAATAGGAGCCACCCTGGACAGAAGTGACATAAGCACAAAGGCACAAAATAGCATGACTATTACGTTATGTGTAATTAAAGTGGGAGGCAGAAAAGATTTCTATATGAAACAGGTAAACTAACATCAGGTGTGATGATTCAGCAAACATCAGCGGTTTGGAAAAAGATGCTAAAAAGGCAGTCTGACACTGACTCAGCTCATCTGCAGCAATATTTACTTGTTAATTGATACAAGTTGGTTAGTTCTCTCTAAATGTAAAACAAACAGTGAACGTCACAGAACGAGGGTTGAGAGCAGTGATCTCAGACCTGCTGTTTTCCTTCAGTACAGTCATGTTTGACCAACAGTTACTGCTGAAATATCAAACCCTTTAATATACCTTTCAGCTGAGCTGCTCCACTGTAGCTGTAGTTTAAAAGTAAAGAACAACTTGATCTCCTAGTACATCTTATAGTGGTGTTTATGCTGTTTCTTGGCTCTCATTTGTTTTCAGAAAGAGTTCCACTGCCGGCGGTTGTCTTCATTTCACTTTTATTTCTCTGTTTTGTGTTGTTGCAGGTTACTGGGTGAGCCCCTCCCTGCCATGAGAGCTGACCACCAGGTCACCAGCCCCCCCTCCTTCTGCAGTTGATGGATCTGCAGCTGGTCCAGAGATGACAGACAGCGTCAGGGCCTTCCTCCGCAATGTTGCGACGGTCAGTACACGCCGAAGCGTACACATTTTACTCACATTCGCAGTTCATCACGACATCACAGGTCTGTGCCGTTACAGGCCCGTTTAGCTTTCCTCTTTCTGAGTTACACACATTAAAATGTTTGTCCACTATTCTGCCTATTCTGTGTATGCCAAGTCAAAATTTTGAGAAACCTTTATAAAAAAAAAAGCTTTTATGACTGTAATTCTTTAATTTTACGTCTCTGACTGATGCCTATATGCTGTATGAAAAGGAAATATTTACATAAACATTCCTCAAAGTTTCAGTCTGTTTTGTGGGATTTGGTCCTTGACAAATGAGAACCACACTTTCTATTAGTGACCTTGAACTTTATCATTGTGTACCATCTGCTTGATTGTGAACTGGCTGATCTCCAAACGAGTCCAAAGATAATGTTTGTTTTTGGCGTAATCCCAGCTGCCCTTCTTGTTATTCCACTGATGGTGTCTTTGTCTCACGATCAAATTAGAGCAGAACGGATCCTCGTGAAAGATTTCACAAAAACCCCAGTGTGTTTAATGTTAAATTGTATATTTAAGAAAACATTATCTACAAACAACACTTGATAAACTCTGTGAAAGATAAATGTACACATCTGTTTATTCACAGCAGCTACCTCTGGTTATTTTTACAGTATGAAATCAATCTATCATTGTTGTTCCTCCAGCTAACAGGAGCTGTGTGGGTTTACATATGATTGACTGAAAGGTGAAGGAGTGTTAACAACACTGCCATGATTAGCATAAATTATTAATGCATTTCATACGACAACAATGGGGCTCCATGTAATCTACTAAACATGTACAGTTTACATTGACCCTGCTGGACAAACAGGCAGCTTGATAAAAAGACAATTTCAGCACATCACCCTGTCCTCACTCCGCCTCCATTATCCATGTCTGATGTGATGGAGGCCTCCACCTTAACATAAATAATCCATGTGTGAGTGTATATTTTTAGAAAGCTGGTAGGGAAAGATAATGTGGCGGAGGGTTCAACTGAATAGCATCTGTGTGAGCATTTCAGGACAGCTGTCAGGAAATCTGCCTGACAATAAAAATCTGGTCACTATGATATTTGTTTTGACTAGGAGAAGCTAAATATTGGCTTTAAACACTAACTGTTCACTGCTTTCGGTGTATAATTTGACAACTCTATAAAATATTTTCTACTTTAGTATTGTGTGGAAAAACATATACTCAGAAATGTTTATATTTTGTTCAGAAGTTTGCAGGGAGTGTAAACACCTCACTTGTACTCTGTCTTTCTGGACTCTGTAGGGGATCAAGGACTCCATATTGGGGATTGGAACAATCTCCAAGCTGGATGCCCGCATCCAGCAGAAAAGGGAAGAGCAGCGGAGGAGACGGGCCAGCGGGGCCCTGGCACAGAGACGGGCACAGAGTGAGGAGCGCAAACCAGACAAGTAGGCCATGAAGAAAAATGCTGCAGATTAGGACTGATGCAATTTAACCAGAGTCTGATATTAGCTCATGGATGTTTTTTAATGTCCAGTTCTTCTTTAGAAGTTTGTTCATACAACCTTTTTCTGACAGGGGGGGAGTTGTATGAACAAAGCGCTTGCAATTTACCCTCTATGGTGTGCAAATTTTCCGATTAGCTTCAAAATGCAAAACTGGAAAGTAAGTGCTGACCTCAGGTTGACAAAATCCCCTCAGTGTGTGTTGTGGCTCTTTGTGGTTGGAAACTGTTCAGTTTCATGTCAGGTCTGTGCTGAACGTGACTGTAACAAGTTTTAAATGGTCTTGCTTTCTTTCTGAATCAGAAAGACTGTTTAATCATTGGTGCATGCCTCATTTTAAAAATGAAAATCTTTGAATCAGTATTTTTATCAGTTCGTTCATGACTTCTAGTTAGTTGCCAGGTAACAAGTGGAGTAACGCTCAGTGAACAGGTAGTTCTGTAAATTAGAATCCTGTCAGGGTGGAGTTTCACTGTGAAGGGATTCAGATTTACATGACTACCATGCCACCGTGCATTAACCCTTACACAATAAAGTGTATCACATCAAGTGATTTGTTGAATCTGAGCAGTGATTTACATACACAATGCTTTTACTTGGAAGAACTTGTACTTGGAAGTAAATCAACCGTTCCTAATCCCAACAAAAGACTTTTAGATTAGATTAGAGATTAGATTCAACTTTATTTATCCTTTTTGAAAGAATTCTTTATTTTATTTTATTTTTTCTATTTTTAACTGCATCCATGAGTTTGTTTGACTCTGGTTAGATTCAAATTAGAATATCAAAATGAAACTAAAATATTGTTTGAATATTGAACAGCAATAAAAGTTGTTTTGACCTAATTTGTCTTTCAGTGAACCCAAAGTAGCCAGCAGGATTTTCCAGTGCTGTGCCTGGAATGGAGGAGTGTTCTGGGTAAGACAGTTCACCTCTTATTTTCAGGTTTATTAGTGCATTTATAACTGGTCATTACTTTTTCTTGTTAATCCTCACACCACACACTTCTCTGTCATCCCACACGAGCGTCACTTTTTATCTGGAGCACACATCATGTGATGTTTTTCTCTGAAATGCTGTTTCTACACGGTCAGAGAAAATAAGTATGTGTCCTGCTCATATTTGATGATAAAATTGAGGCGCATCACGCCTCTCCTCCTGGGCTGCTAATAGCGCTCTCTGTCAAAGAGTCAATCACAGAGAACAGCAGTCAATGGGGTTCCAGCTACACTCCTCCAGTTCAGGAGTGTTTAAGCAGACTTAGCTGACAGTCATTGATGGAAAGACAACAAACTGTAGTTTGACTGGATGAAGCTGGCCTTCACCTCTTTCACTGTGGGCGTAAGTTCAGTGTGATAGAGGTTTTTTGTTTTTGTGTGTTTGGTGTGATTTTAAATGCTGCAACAAACACCAAAAGTTTTTGCCCTTTTGATATCTACAAATATTTCTTTGCAAAGTGTCGAACTTAGAGGAAAAAAAAAACATGTTGTTGGGATACATGACGAAGAATAACTAACATGTCATTTCCTTTCTTCAGCTCAGTCTGTTTCTCTTCTACCGGGTGTTTATCCCTCTGCTGCAGACTCTCACAGCAAGAATCATCGGTATGTATGACTGCTTTTAAGCCTCAAGCTGCTCCTCGGGGTTGTGAAAGAAACAGTCTGTCAACAAGTTTCTTTTTTGCTGCAGGTGACCCCTCCCTTCATGGCAGTGTGTGGTCCTGGTTAGAGTTCATCCTGACTTCTGTCTTCAGCGCCCTCTGGGTTCTCCCTCTGTTTGTCCTCAGCAAGATAGTCAACGCCATCTGGTTCCAGGTGAGGCCCTGCTCTAGAGGACCACTATAGACTTTCTGACACATATCCATCAAATTATCAGATATGTTTTCCTTCTGAACCATTTAATGTGCCTGTTATGACCAGGGTTGTTGTTATACTGAAAGGCCAGTATTATAATACCTCTGATACTGTCTAAAATGAAATTAAAATCAAGACACTGTGAAGAAATCATAATACAATAGAAATTGAGCAGAGTTATACAAGAACACCTGCACAACAGCTAACAGGTTCAAGTACATATTGTACACTGCCTGTAATGTGATTTGATTTGGTATGTGTTGCTTTGGTTAAAGATGTATAAAACATTAAATCGCTGATTTAGTTAAAATACAGCTGAATTCAACAACGGGCTGAATTTCATGAAATCTGATCTGTCTTCCCTTTTAAGGCCATAATACTCCAGTTTAAATTGACCCTTCATTGTAAAAAAGAAGCGAGTAATTTTTGTGAAATATTTGTCGGCACACAGCACCATGCACACCCGAGTGTTTGGGTCTGATGTACTGTAGGTGGTTGAAAAACTATTCAGGACTTTTTCCTGTAGCTTATCAAAGAAAGTTATGATGTTATGGGACTGATGTAGATATCTGGGTGGGTTTTCTGTTGCAGGATATAGCCGACCTGGCATTTGAAGTGTCAGGATGTAAAGCTCAGCCGTTCCCCAGCGTTAGTAAGATCATCGCAGACATGCTCTTTAACCTCCTCCTCCAGGCACTCTTCCTCATTCAGGCAAGTTTTCTGGTCTTCTCTTTAAGATTTCTTTATTGAGAAATAATGTCTCTCCCTCTCTCTCCCTTTCTCTCTCTCTCCTTCTTAATCTTTCTGTGTTCCTCTGTATCAACACAGTAGAGTCACATTGCAGGTCTTATATTAGAAACTCCTCACACATAACTTTTGAGTTCAGCAGTAAAAAGTACAGCTGCGGTTGTGGTCTATGACTGCAGGACCAGATTCCGAAAAAGTTTGTTAATGTTGTCACTTTTTTCATTAACTAAACAAGTTGTGCCATTTATAATCAAAATGCAAATTGCCTGATTTCCTTTGTCACTATTAGCAGCATAACCTCCTGCAGGAAAACATTTTTATAGACCTTAAAGCCATTTCAGAGAAATTAGTAAGGTTTTTTCCTGAAATGGTTTCAGGAACTTGTAAAAATGGTTGTTTCTTGTTATTTTTCTCCACAGCTTGACCCACAACTTTATAACAAAACCTCTTTTCTTAAGGCTGAAGCCAATAAAACAGAACACACATGTCCCTCTCCCAGAGCAGTCAGTGAATGTAACTGTCTGGCATATCTTTATGATGCTGTAGGGTATGATTGTGAGCCTCTTCCCCATCGATGCCATTGGACAGATGGTCAGCCTCCTCCACATGTCTCTGCTCTACTCTCTGTACTGCTTCGAGTATCGCTGGTTTAATAACGGTAGGATATGCACGTTTAATGCTACAGTCTAAAAAATAAACATTACTGAGTCTTATTTCTGGATTTGATGTGGTACTTGTTTATAATCTGGCTATAATCTGGTGTTTATGTTTGTTTTAGGCATTGAGATGCACCAGCGTCTGTCCAACATTGAGAGGAACTGGCCCTATTATTTCGGCTTTGGTTTACCCATGGCCCTGTTGACCGCCCTGCCCTCCTCATATATCATCAGGTAAGACCTGCAACTCTGAACAAACCCTAAAAATAAGTCAGGGTTTTATTTTATTTTTTTACTTAAAACTTGAGCTGAACCTTTAAATCCAACCTAATCTCATCCTGTGGTGTGTCAACCATAATAATGTTCTCGTTCTCCTTCCACTCAGCGGCTGCTTGTTCTCCATCCTCTTCCCTCTCTTCATCATCAGCGCTAATGAGGCCAAGACACCAACAAAGCTGTAGTGAGTAAAATAAAATCCTCTTCTCTAAAGGTCGGTGTCTCTAAATGCAGACTCACTCATCGGGTTTGTGTCTCCTGCTCCTCCAGCCACTTCCAGCTGCGTCTCTTCTCTCTGGTCGTGATGATCAGCAACAAACTTTTCCACAAGACGGTCCACCTTCAGTCCTCGCTCACATCCTCCGCCTCCTCAGAGAGACTGTCCTCCCCCCACACCTCCCCTACCCGCCAGAGACCCCTGCCCACCCAGTGATGACTCCTGGGAGGAGAGAGGAAAGCAGATGCAGGAGGGTCTCACTCGTAGATGATGTGCGGTTTAGATCAAAGGGTTTACATGTTTTGATCTCCTCTCTGGCCCTTTGGTTCTCATTCACAGACACGTTTTCAGTGTGACACAAAACTCGACTGCCCTGTGCCTCACACTCAAAACACGTTATATACTCAGCTCTTCTTGTTTTCTTTTGTGAATTTTCTTTTTCTTTTTCTTTTTTTTTTGTATAATGTGCCATTTGAGTGACTCTCCTTTTAATAAATGACAGCACAAGAACTCATGTAGTGTTACTATGTAAAAGCAAAAGAAGGTTTTTTTAAACTTTGAAGGGTTTGCGATGAGATGCAAAGCACAGTGTTGTTTTCTTGATGTTGCAAGTTGCATTTCTTCCTCACAGATTGAAGGCTTTCTTGCACATGGATGTGTTTCTCTGTCATATGACGGTATCCCAGAAGCTCCAGGAATAACCTTGTATAATAAAAAGGGAGGTTTTTATCCTGTAAGAGCTTTCTTTTTTATAATATTTATATAAAGAGAAGAGCTGCTGCTGCTGGATACTGATACCAAAAAAATTAAGTCACTCTTTTTTGTGTGTCAACTTGAGAAGTTGCTCAGTGTCTCGTCAAAGGCTTAGTCTTTCCCCAGTGTTTTAAAAACCCCAAGGTGATACCAGGGAAAGAAAAAGCTGCCTAAGTGTCTGATAAAGAAGAAACTAGGTGATATAGCACTGCCAAACTGCTGCTTCTATTTCTGTTTATTCCACTCAAACCACTACAGCTCTGTGATACAGGTGAGGGTCTTTTTATCTGAACTCATCAGCCTTGACGTGCTCGCTCTAATTTCCCCCGAGAGCTGAAGCAGATCTAATTGGTCCCTACAGATCATCAGCTGTTTGTTTTTGTGCTGTTTTTAATGTTCACACATCCTGAATGTTAAACCAGGAGCCCACCATCACACGGTCACCAACTACCTTTCTCTCACTTATCACAGCACCTCGAGGTCACGGGGGAGCAGGCCACATTTTTGGAACAGTGTGCAATCATTGTAAAAGAAGAGCTTAGTGTTTGTGCAGACTGACATTTGTGAGTGAGGTTTTTGTAAAAGTAATACGTCTAATTTCAATAAAATTGGTCAGTATTCAATATTTGGATCATTGTGTTCAGGGTTTTGCTACAACGGGGACGGTGAAAAGGATGCGTTAAAAGTTGAAGAGGTGGAGGACAAGCAATCACACCACAAATATGAAGAATGATATTGTGTTATAACTTCTCAACAGATATGGACTCAGTACTCAGGTTTTCACTTACCTCATTCTAAGAAAACATGTGCTCCCGGGATAATAATAAAGCTGCAGGATTTAAGTAAATGGATATAGTAGGTCTTGCTCCATCATGGTAAGGGTTTACTCTGAAGCTGTGAAAATTCACTGCAGCTGAAAATTATTCATAAGTTTAGAAAAAATGCTGCCCAACACTTAGTTGTAAATATCCTGATATAAACCAAACAATCTGACAGTCTGGAGTTGTTGGAATAACTATATAAGTCCCGTGAGGAACATCTAGTTTGTTGACTTTGGCGCCCCCTGTGGACTTAAGGGTACCACTTACCTGGTTTTGCCCATGGTATATAACAGCTGCAGTCTCAGGTATCACCTACTGGTTTCCAAAGCAGAGTTCTGAGGCAGATGAACAGCAGTTGCCATATTGGAAATGTTAACTTAATGTAACTTTTGGTTGACAGTTGATGTGAGTGTGGAAGATCCCACAGAACAGTCCAAGAACAAGCACAGTAATATTTTGGTCAGCAAACCACTTTGGTAGTAGTGTTGGCGCTGTGGGCAGACGCTAAATTCTGCTGAAAAATGATCTGTACCTTTATAAAGTTTCTTCTCAGATGGAAGCATAAAGGTCTCTAAAATCACCTTGTAGACTTCAGGCTGCGTTGACTTTGGACTTTATAAAACACAGTGGACCAATAGTAGGGGTGGTAGAAAAAATGTACATAGCATTGTATCACAATATTTTTTCTGGTGTTATATTGTATCATCTCATTGACCAAGTATCGATTTTTTAAAATTAATTGTTAATATGAACTCAAATCTATGATAATGGAAAAATAAAATCAACTGTTTGTCCAGTGAGGTTGGTAGAGGTGACAGAGCAGGAGAAAGTTAGTGCAACAAATATAGCAGCACCTGCATGAAAATAAAATACTGTGCAAATAAGACAAACACAAAGGAAAGACAAATGCTTAATCAGCTAAACAGTTAAAACATGTATAAATCATTTTATATCAGAATATTTGTATCGCAATACTCACTGTATTGCAAAATATTAAAAATCACAATAATGTCGTATCGTGGCCCAAGTATTGTGATAATATCGTACCGTTGATTACCACCCCTAACCAACAGAAGCAGATGACATGGCACCCTGAATCCTCACAGACTGTGGAAACTTCACTCTGAACTTCAAGCACCTTGGATTCTGGGCCTCTCTGATCCTTCCCCAGACTCTTGGACCTTGATCTCCAAATGATGTGCTTAATTTACTTTCATCTGAAAACAGAACTTTGGACCACTGAGAACTAGTCCAGCACTTTTTCTTCTTAACCCAGATGAGATGCTTCTGCACGCCTCTGTTACAAGAGTAGCCTTATATCAGGAATGTAACAGAAGGGGGCGCTACGTTTCTTTCCCCCACTAAGGACACGTCACTACACTCAAGCGGCAAGTTAGAGAAGAACATGTGACTGGCAGCCAAAGAACCAATCAGATACACGTAGGATTACCGACCGCTGACGCTTAACCAATAACCGCGTTGGATGGCGTGGTTGGGGCGGGACCTGTTCACGGCGAAGTTAGTGTGTGCTAGTGTATGAGAAGCAGGAGCGGAGCGGGTAAGTGTTACAGAACTTTACATATTAAACCAGTCAGCCTGTTAGTTACAATCAATATTTAAGCCTGTGGTTCTGGTGACAAATGTGGAGAAGACACAGGTATTTGTGAATGAAGCCAGGGAAGAGAGGCAAGGCTAGGTTCATTGTAGAGTAAGCAGCAGCATTAGCCTCTGTAGCTAACGTTACTTAGACATAAGAGCAGCAGCAGCTTTTGTAAAGCTTTCTGTCCTTTTAAATGTACCCTTCTCTCTACATATCTGCATGCATTCAGTTAAGATATGCACAAAGTAAATGTTGGCTCGTTATTGTCCAGTCTCTTTCTCTAAGGTGTACTAAGCCTGGCTGTCAGAACTTGTAAGGCTCTCTCTGACAGTAAGTTGCTGTCATTAAAGTTAGCAATTATCAGAGCTCTGTGTTGTCTAGACTTATTGTACTTTTGAGTTTTCCCTTCATAAAAACGGGAAAAAAGGTGGACCTGGTTGGCACAGATCCCTGCAGAAGTTTCCCATTGTGGGTGCTTCCTGGTTCCTGACGCCACATCTTGGTGCGTGGCCTTATCTGGTTGGACTGGAGGAGGAAGTTCACTCAGAGTTTTGAGGCAGAGATACACTTCATGTATATTAGACCAGTGTTGGTACTGACCAGTATCAGACCTGTTGGCACATATTGACCATCTGCAAACAGTGTAGCATTCACTGAAAAATAATTGTTGCTTCACATCCTTTTAATGATGGTCAGCCACATGTTTTAGCCTCTTGAAATGAAAGAATGTACTCTGTGTGAAAGTATTATAAAATTTTAATTTTAAAGTGGAAAATGAACTTAGAAGGCCTGAATGACTTGACTAGAGAACACTGTCCACAGACATTTTTAGAAGATGAAGAGATGTGTGATATTGGACAATATTGTGGTTGATATCAGTGCAAGAACATTATCACTCTGTAGAAACCTGCATTTTCTGAGCAATAAATTCTCAGATTTTGTTGTTAAACCACCTTACCTTTTGGTCACAGCTGCTATATTTCTTAGCTTTGTGAAATGAATGAAGTAGAGGCTGCTGACAAGTTTTTGTGGACGTCAACACTTTTTTCTGTTTACATTTCATAAAGTCTTCGTACAACAGGATGAGAGATCCTTTTTTAGGTTTTAATTTTGGCATTTTTTTGCCTTCATTTGATAGGACAGCTGAAGAAAGACATTAAACTTAGGGAAGCAAAGAGTGGGAGTGGAAGATATGCAGCACAGGGTTATGGCCAAGAATTTACCTGTAACTACTTTGATTTGATTTGATTTATTTGGGATCCACATTACCCTTGGCCGAACCTCAGCCATTCTTCCGGGGGTCCTTAAACCAACTCACAACTAATCAATGCAAATATCTGATGTGTATAATATGCCCCATGTAAAAATAATAGTAATAATAATTAAAAAAAATAATAATACATAAAATAAACACAAAACAAATGATGACCATGGGCAGAAATCTTCATATCTGCTATTGCAGTTAATATTCTAAGCGTTTATTTGCTGATACTTTTACTACACTGACAATAACTTGCATCCCTAATAATAAGGAATTATTTTGAGTCCCTGGTCCAGTTAAGGATTCCATAATGAAATTTAAAAAAAGCTAAAACAGTGCATAGAAATAAAAATCATACTAGAATCTACCTCTTGCATTGATTATTTCCACATTGACACCAGATTTTCTCAATCAGTACATCCTTTAAAGACCCTGATTGTTGTTTTTTTGTCCATCTTGCTCGCATATAAACTAAATTGAATCAAAAAGGTTCTTCATTGGCAGGATTTACTGGTCTGTAACCACAACTTGTATAAACTGAAGTTAAATATTTAAATAGTATACTGAAAATTTTTTAAAACAAAGTGGAAAAACAAACTTTTGAGCTCAATCAGCTCTATTCAGTGTGCACTTTAGAGGCATTGACCTATATTCAGAGAAAGAAGTATAAGAGCTGAATAATAGTTATCTTTTTCACCATCTCAGAGTCCTCTCATTTGACTTCCCTGTCTGTTTCTTACAGTTCTTCTGTCTTTGTCTCATCAGGTAGTACGGTGAGCTGTCCCTAATCCCGCCAAAATGACCAAGCTGGGCTTCCTGCGGTTGTCCTATGAAAAACAGGACACGCTGCTGAAGCTGCTCATCCTGTCTATGGCTGCTATCCTCTGTGAGTTTGCCGCACATCACATTATCTTTTCCCTAACAACAATGATAAAAATAACGTTGTGAACTCACCTGACCTGATGATTTTGTCCTCTTCAGCATTTTCCACAAGGCTTTTTTCCGTCTTGAGGTTTGAAAGTGTCATCCATGAGTTTGATCCGTAAGTAATGCTTCTGTGATTTCTGAGGATTAGAAATAGATTTACTCTGTTATGCAATACCTCAAATCCACTTTCACCTCACCTGCAGGTACTTCAACTACCGTACCACCCGCTTCTTGGCAGAAGAAGGATTTTATAAGTTTCATAACTGGTTTGATGACAGGGCATGGTATCCTCTGGGGAGGATTATTGGAGGCACCATTTATCCAGGTACAGATCAGGATGTGTGGTTTTCAAATCTGTCATGTGGAGCTGTACAAGTGTTGTGTAAAGTTTAGAGGAGGGATGTCAGTGAACCTTGAATAAAATTGTCTTTTCTTTCTCTCTTGTCTCTCTTCAGGACTGATGATCACCTCCGCTGTTCTGTACCATGTCCTTCATTTTTTCCACATTACTATTGACATCCGAAATGTCTGTGTCTTCCTGGCTCCTTTGTTCTCCTCCTTCACTGCAATAGTCACCTACCACTTCACCAAGGAGCTCAAGGTAAAACACGAACTACTGTCTGCAACTATTTTTCTATTACAGGGCATTTAAGCGGTTAAGCATTGGCTTTTGATGAATGTTCTCAGAATCAAAGAAACCAGTGTCAAATTTATCTGGACTTACTTTTTGTGCTTTTTATACTTGAACTCTGATTTCTCTCACATCTTGTACTAAACAGCTGCTGTAGATGTGGCTGTGAATCAGCTTTAGACTTAAATGTCTACATGACTTTATCACTGCCCTGCTGTCATTTTCTTTTGTTTGCATCAAGCCCATAAAAACCACTTTGATTGATTAAACCTGCACAGTTCAAAATGAAATGCAACCAAAACTGATACCACTTCTTTGAGAGGAGAAGCAGATTGTTGTCTAGCTGTTGTCAATATAGGAGAGAAGGCACTTAAACAACACATCATCTCAGCTTTTCCTCTTCAAGTGTTTGTTTTTTGCTCAGCCGAAGTCAACAGATAAAAATCTTTAAAAACACAAACTCCCTTTACTGGTTCTGCTTTGTCAATCAATGCCATTTCATGAGACTGTCACGTCGCTTGTATTTCTATCTACTGTTTACTTAAAAGTTTAGCTGCCTGTCATTTATTGATATTCTCAACAGTGTCACTCTGACATTTGGTCATGTAGGTGACCAGTGTGTGTAAAACACTGAAAAAAGCTAACATTATCTTTCAAAAGGGCTCTAGTTTACCTATCAAAGTGACTCAATGGCCCTTCAGTGTATACAGTAAATGTTTTACAACATCGATTCACTGCATTAGTCCAACTAAAACTGGACATGCTAGTTTGACTAAAATTGCTTTGACCCTGAAGTCTCCATTGTTGTCTGCTGCTGATGATCACCATAAATCTATGTGATAGCATGCGTCTTATTTGTACCAAAAGTAAAGTGTAGAGTATGTCACAATGGTACAGGGCTGCAGAGTAGTCCACATTTTCACTGTTAGACTCACAATTCGTTAGTCTCTTGTAAACTTGTTTGTTGATCTTTTTGGTTTGTGATGTAAAAAGTAATTTTCCTTTAGTTACAACTGAAATAAGGGCACATTGTCACTTCCTGTAGCAGAGGCAGACATGTTTTTGTCAGTGAACCGATTCTTGCTTTTTGTTTAATAGTAGAAGGACAGTAGTCAGCCAATTGATCAAGCTATAGCTGTAGCTCAGCTTACTTGTGCATGTAAACGTGACTCAGGGGACCAATGAAACATGGGGTCCTTCACATGTTTAGCATCACTGATGAATATACTGTTCTCTAAAATGCTCAGTTTGGTTTGTGTCCAATACTTGTTGTTCAGTCTTTTGCCAGTGTTCAGATTATCAGGCTTAAAACTGTGACTTTTTAAAGTCACAGAAAACACAACAATAGTGTTCTTAGGGTAACTCATACACTTTGTGATGAATAAAGAGATCTGAGAAATGTTTCTTTATTATCCTTTTAGTAGCAGTTTCAGAAGCAATCTTTTTTTAAAGATTTGCCCATTTTGTCGTCTTATCTGGTCTAACTAGTCTTGTGTGTGTATAGGATGCAGGTGCTGGCCTCCTGGCTGCTGCCATGATTGCAGTGGTGCCTGGTTACATCTCCAGATCTGTTGCTGGCTCCTATGATAATGAAGGTAAACACCTGATGTTCATGATAATATTTTTTTTAAAGTAATTATGACTTGAATTGGTCTGAATCTCCTCTGTGCTATCTCACTCAGGTATTGCCATCTTCTGCATGCTGCTGACGTATTACATGTGGATCAAGGCGGTGAAAACAGGGTCCGTTTACTGGGCCTCTGTGTGTGCACTGGCCTACTTCTACATGGTGAGGAGTCCTGGAAATAAGCGTATTCTATATAATTCATAATTCAGCTCTCTGAGGTCCTGATGGAAGATTTGTGTGTGTCTAGGTTTCCTCTTGGGGTGGCTACGTGTTCCTGATCAACCTGATCCCCCTCCACGTCCTGGTTCTGATGCTCACAGGACGATTCTCTCACCGCATCTACGTGGCGTACTGCACTGTCTACTGCCTGGGCACCATCCTCTCCATGCAGATCTCTTTTGTTGGTTTCCAGGTAGGGTGAACAAATCTTATCCTGAGTTACTCTCAACTTGTTTACAGAGAAACTGTTAAACAAAAAAAAAATCCTCCCATTTATTGTTTTATGAAAAAAAGTGCTCATTTTAAATTTGGTGCCTGCAGCATGTTTACCATTTTACTGCATCACCTCTTCTTTAACTACTACCTGTTAGTGTTTGGGAACAGAGGAGACACTAAAATACTGTCCTGTTCCTGCCTGCTACAGGATTTCAGCTGCGCCGTGTCTGCTTTATATCGTTTTTGTCACAATGCACCAAATGTTTTGATAGTTGACAAGCCATGGCTACAGGCAGGCCAATTTATCACCCAGACTCTGTTGCTATGGAGTCATGCTGTTGTAATGCATGCAGAATGTGTCCTGTTGTCTTGCTGAAACTGCAAAGTTTCCCCTGAAAAAGCCATTTGTGTGGATGGCAGTATGTTGCTCCACATTCCTCCCATACTGTTCAGAATGAATGAAGCCCTCTCAGATGTGGGCACATGGACAACCTCATACTATCAAGGATACTTTTATACAGTAAGCTGATAACACACCTCTCCTTTTGAGAGTGAAGGACATGGCATCCATGATTCTCTCGTCCTTTCTGAACAGAAATCTGGTTTCTCTAAATCTTTTAATGATACTGTACTTCAGACCATGAAATCCACAAACAAAGTCTCTCATAGAGTGGTGAACCTCTTCCCATCTTAACTTCTGAGAGGCTCTGCCTGTTTGGAAAGCCTTTTTTATTTCCAGTCATGTTAATTGTTATAAATTATCTTTTCATTAGTATGGAGATGTTGGAGATGTTCCTTCACATGTTTGTTTTCACCGTGCTGCGGGCATATATTTAAAATTAAAATACATTTTTCATAGATTTTCTTTTTTTTTAAGTTCAACTTTGATTTGTTGTCTTTTCTGTCTGCAGTAGAATATTGGCTTTACAATATTTGAAAACCCTCAAAAATGAGTTTTATCAACATGTCGCAAAGCATCCTAACTTTTTTTCAAAGTTTTTAAGTGATAAAGGTAACAGGTGTTTCATCTGTACTGTTGCACACAGCTCACCTCCCTTCCTCTCTCCTCTGTGTCATATCCAGCCGGTACAGTCTTCAGAGCACATGGCAGCCTTCGGCATGTTTGGCTTGTGCCAGATTCATGCCTTTGTGGACTACCTGCGCAGCAAACTCAACGCCCAGCAGTTTGAGGTTCTGTTCAAGAGCGTCATCTCCCTGGTGGGCTTCATCTTGCTCTCTGCGGGCGCTGTACTCATGCTGACGGGTACGATGATTGAGACAGTCCTTGCGTATATTGACCTTGTATAGCAATCTTGTGTATATTCTTTCTGTCTTTTTTTGCTCTGTGAGAGAAATTTCAGGAAAACTGTGATTTGCTCTTGACTATGACTGACCCAGAGCTAACTTTCCTCCAGGTAAGATCTCTCCATGGACGGGCCGTTTCTACTCTCTGCTGGATCCCTCTTATGCCAAGAATAATATCCCCATCATAGCCTCTGTGTCTGAGCATCAGCCCACCACCTGGTCCTCCTACTACTTTGATCTGCAGCTGCTGGTCTTCATGTTTCCAGGTGTGCACTCTGCAGCAAAACACACAATCACTGTCTTTTCTGTACCGAGACAGCTTTCAGTTCATGTGTTTGCCTTTAAATGACGGTTGGATATCTTCCCTCTTCTTGCAGTTGGTCTTTATTACTGTTTCAATAACCTGTCAGACGCCAGGATCTTCATCATCATGTATGGGGTCACCAGCATGTACTTCTCAGCCGTCATGGTACGTCCAGTTCAGCCTCAGTGAACTTGATAAAGCCAGTTGTGTCTCGAGACATCTATTTTCACCTCTGCAGCAGTGTAAACAGATTTTTTTTCTGCCCCCTCAGGTGCGTCTGATGTTGGTTCTGGCTCCTGTCATGTGCATCCTGTCAGGTATCGGCGTGTCTCAGGTGTTAACCACGTACATGAAGAATTTGGACGTTAGCCGGCCAGACAAGAAAACCAAGAAGCAGCAGGACTCCACCTATCCCATTAAGAACGAGGTAGGAGACCAGTTAAAGGTGCAGTAAGAGGGCGATGTTTCCTGCAGTGCATGTTCAATGGACAATATGGATTGAGAGGATTTTTATCCTTCTGTCTCTGATCTTTTTTTTTATGTTTTGTGGTTCTCTAGAGTTAAAGGCTTTCTTTAGTTCAATATTTTTACACAGACACAAATCATGTACAGAAAAGAGAAGCAAAGGGAAACGGGGAAAAAAAAGTTGAAGATAACTTGGCTTTAAGATGAGAGAATACAGTAGTGGTTGGCTGATAAACAGCACTTAGAAGTAGCTTTCTAAGCTAAGCAGTAAAAGATGCCTCTCTTTTGCAGTTTGTTCTGCTATGCCAAAAATCAAACTTATTTTTTATCATCAGGGGCCTTAAAATACTCTTGAACTCTTTGATTTCAATGTCAAAAAGTGTGCAGCAACCCTATTTTCTTGATACTGAGGGTAGCGAAGAGATCAGACTAAGATCAGATGTTTTGTTGGCCTTTAAAAAAAAAAAGGTATTTAGGGTTAAAGCTCCAGTTAACAACCATGTCCACTGACACTGGTCCCACAGAGAGTGTAAAACCCTAAAACCCGTGTTTCATGTCCTTGTCCTCGTAGGTTGCCAGTGGGATGATCCTGGTCATGGCCTTCTTCCTCATCACATACACCTTCCACTCCACTTGGGTGACCAGCGAAGCTTACTCCTCTCCATCAATTGTCCTGTCAGCCCGCGGAGGAGACGGCAGCCGCATCATCTTTGACGACTTCAGAGAGGCTTATTACTGGCTCCGCCACAACACACCTGAGGTCAGCCATCCACCCATGAAAGAAGTTATTCATTTACAACTATTAAGATTTCCACCTCAGGCTTCATGTTGTCCGACTTACTGATAAACTAATGCATCATCATAGATGCTGAAGAGCTTGACTCAGTTTTATTGTGTTTTTGTAGGACGCGAAAGTCATGTCATGGTGGGATTACGGCTATCAGATAACGGCGATGGCGAATCGAACTATTTTAGTGGACAACAACACGTGGAACAACACACACATCTCCAGAGTTGGACAGGTGAGCCAAGTCGCTCAGTGGATGTTGGTGTTTATAAAGAGCTGCTGTGTTGATTGAGCTGTTTGTTGTTCTTCAGGCGATGGCGTCCACAGAGGAGCGGGCTTATGAGATCATGAGGGAGCTGGACGTCAGTTATGTCCTGGTCATCTTCGGAGGACTGACGGGATATTCCTCAGACGGTACGTCCTTTGGATCAGATTGTTACACGTTGAGTTTAAACCTACATGTCTACACACACCCTTCTTTACAGAGGCTTCCTCAAGGCCTGTTGTGCTCTTCTTTAAAGCAATTTTGGGGGAACATGTCACTCATTCTGTCATCTGCCCCCTTTACAGACATCAACAAGTTCCTGTGGATGGTCCGTATCGGTGGCAGCACAGACACGGGCAAACACATCAAGGAGCACGACTACTACACTCCCACTGGAGAGTTCAGAGTGGACCGTGAGGGCTCCCCCGTCCTGCTCAACTGCCTCATGTACAAGATGTGCTATTACCGCTTTGGACAGGTCTACACAGAGGCCAGTGAGTATCTGTTTAAAACCAGTGAGAAGAGTCACTGCTTTTACCCTGAAATCAGAGGCAGTCTGTGGATGATCTAAAAAGGAGAACTGTAAATGATGCAGCTCCTTAGTTGATGTCATTTAATTCTATGTTTGAATCATAATTACACAAAAGTTTTAACACAAACTTGAGCCATTTTTAACCTAATGATGTGGATGTTTTCTGCAGAGCGCCCTCCTGGTTACGACAGAGTGAGGAACGCTGAGATTGGAAACAAAGACTTTGAGCTGGATGTGTTGGAGGAGGCCTACACAACAGAGCACTGGCTCGTTAGGATATACAAGGTAACGTGGTCTCCTGTTCTCTTATGTATCAGGTACTTCATAGTCTATTATTCTTGTTTTGTAACTTCATATTATTCTAGGAAAGATCACATATAGTCTTAGGTGGAAAATTAAGGAAGTATCGTTTGAAGACCTGAAAAATCAAGGCTGAAATGTTCATAGCACCACAAAATAGGTCTTTCCCTACATTCAGAAGCAAATTTTGAACTCCAAACAACTGTAATTCAACAGATCTTTTCACTAAATCTTGTGTTTCGTGTTCTAGGTTAAAGATCTGGATAACCGGGGTCTCTCGAGGACATAAAACCTTCAAACTGCAATGAATGGAGCCTCTTAGCGCACAGCACTGAACACCTTCCCCTGTGGTCTGCAGATGAGCGAGAAAGAATACTTTTTATACTTTTGTTTGGGGGGAAGAAATTTGCATCCAAGAGATTTCGTTTTGGTTTCGTTTTTGTGGATGATTTTGATTTTTTTATTTTGTTATAATGAAATGTCTCATCTGGAATCAGTGGGAGTGGGTGTCAATCATCCAGTCTGATGTCAGGAAGTGAAATTTTGTCATGAAGCGTTCAAAAGAAAGCAGTGTTCATTTCAGGGCGCTTTGGATTTTTACAATGTGGTCAATAAAAGTGGGGTTATACACAACCAAGCTGCTGTTTGCCTCTTTTTACTCAAAAATGTTCTTTCAAAAAAGTTACACAATGAGGGCAACTGAAAACTTACTGAAATACAGTTTCCGTCTCAATTTTACAAAAAGTTCAATGTCAACATCAACAAACCTTTAAGTGTACCTTTGATAAAAGGTAAGTATTTTAAGATATAATTTTCTGACTTCATTTGTGATAATAAAATTAAGGGGAATAAACCAAGTTTTCTGCTCATTTATGTCTACAAAGCAAAAGTTCTGTAGGACTATTTCACATGGTGACATTTCTGTTATTAAAGACAGTTTCTAACATGTTTGTTGGTAATTTTTTTCTAGTTATATCAATGTTATTTGCATCAACAGTGTTTAAACATAAAGGAACTGCATCTTGTTTTTTTATATCCCTTCATTATAGTTGACCTGAGTCAAATAGATCCTTAATATAAAGCCCTCACATCAACGTTTGGCGACCCCACAGTCGCTCTGACGGTTCAAGCACCTGTCTGCTACACCACTAGATCTAATGTGGGCTTAATGCTTTAGTACTGGAGGTAATATGGCAAATAACCTTGCATTGTCACAAAGCCCGAATAATCTATTGTTTATTTTCACAGATGTAAAACATTTTAAAACCTGTTATTGTACGAGCAGCTACTTAGTTGTGCTCATTCCGCACATTCAGCTCTTCATTGTATGGCAGGTCATAGTATCAATGTAAGGCTGTGAAGTCTCTTCAAGACTTAAAATCATGTATTTAAAATGGCAGAAACTTTAATCATGGAATGAAATAATGCAATTTTACTTTTGGGTGTAGTCATCTTTGAATGTTATCGATCACGTGACTTTTTTAAAATCTTTGACAGAAGTTTGATTATTGTGTGGATCATCAAAACTGCTGCAAACGTAAGTACAAAAATCCCTGGAGGTAGATTTAGTATTAAAGTCATGTAAAAATGCACAAGTTTGTTTAAAAGACATTATAACTTAAGACAAGACTCTTTATTTAAGTGTTTTGGGCAACCTTTCAACTTTACATATCAATGAACAATAGTGTTACTGAACAAAGAATAAGAAATAAAATCTGTTAAATTAAGCTGTTAAAATGCTTAAAAGGATGTACAATTCTTATTTTTTACACATTGAGGTTAGTAAAAACTGAAAAAGTAACATTTAAAAGTGTCACAGTCCAATAATATCTTTTAAAGGATTATTTTTGAACAGGGTATTAACACAGAGCTCTTTACACCCTGGGCTGGTCAGGCAGCTCTTCCAACAGAGCAGGGTTTTTCCTGTAGATGTAGGCGTTTTGATCGTCGTCGAGTTTCACCAGTTCAGCCAGTGATGTCACACAGGGATCGTGGTCCACCAGCATCGTGGGCAGGCGGGACGATTTCCGCTCGATGCGACTGGAGCGACGCACAGGTGTCAGAAACTTCAGATCTTTGATGTTGCTCTTCCTCTTGGAGGTGCTGACCTCACCTTCAATCGTTTTCTTGACACTAAAACAGACATTTAAATTTGAACAAAAAAAAAATCAGACCATGTGGCATTTTTCTTTGTGATTTTCTGACTTAACAGTGGGATGAAACTGTTGTTGATGGACTCACCTCTGCAGGTATGGTGTGGTCTTCACACTGTACTTAACCACTGATGCATCCTCTCTCTGTGGCGTTGTCTCCATCACGCCCGCTGCTTTCTCTGTATCATCCATCTCCGCCTCACTTTCCTCACTGTCTTCTTCATCCTTCAATTGCTCAATCTTCATTTGCTCACTTACATCTTCAGGCTTTTCATTCTTCAGCTCCTCTTCTTCACATCCATACATGGGTTCACTCTCTTCAACCTCACTGCAGACGTTTGACACCAGAGAAACTCCTAGAGGGAAAGAGAATAACACTTGTGGGTATAAGCAAGTGTACACAGACTTTTATGATAAATTACTTGCAGATAGTCACATCTCTAATTAAACAAAAAGGTGCCCCCATTAAAAAAAATTATTCAGAAAATAAAAATACACTTTCTGAAAAAGGAACAAAAAAATTATTTGTCTTAATTCGAAGTTCTCTAGTGTCTGTATTTCATTTGCTTTTTGTAATGAACGATCAATTTATCCTGATGACTGGTGGGATCTGCTCCTGCTCCCTCTGTCAATGATTAATGGATTGGTTCATTTTATTAGATTTCTCATCTTTGCTTCACTATAACTGACACCTACCTCTTTCGGTTTTATGACTCGTCTGTTTTGTTTGAACTTTTTGTGGCACATTGTAGCCTGGATTTTAAAAATTGCTCTATGAATAAAAGGTTTTTATCAATTAAAGCTCCTGTGTGTTATTGAATTTCCCTTCAATGATGAATAAAGTTCTTGTTCTTAACTGTGAGAAATCTTTAGCTGGTTATGAAACAGAATTAAATGAAAACTGGTGACTGTGTATGACCTACAATAGCAATTAAGACTATGAGCAACAACATATAGTATATTTTGGTCATTCTCAGTGCCTGGGTCTACTGCTGCAGCAGGTGTCAAACCATGGCAGCTTGATTTTCTTTATTTAGAGATACACAATGGGACACCACTCTTGCTCTCATTGAGCTGCTGTTCACACCAGGAGGCCCTGCAGCAGCTTTGTAGATAATTTGGAGAAAACCTGAGATTGCTATTTAGACACTTGAATTGAAAGTAAACTGGATATTTTTGTTTTTTATTCTTTATGTTAAGATATCATACGTTATTTACTTATTTTTCTGATCACCCCGGGATACCAAAGCTGGTTTCCCCTTCATAACAGATTAATCTTTATGAATAAAAAATTCCTCTGGCAACAGTATAATTTTCTATAACTCCAGAAAACAATAAAACAATATAAATGAGCTAGAATCACAATAATCTGTGCCACCACTGCCGATACTATTCAGCTAAATGAAACATGTTTGTGTTTGTCTTTTGATAATCCGAGGATGTAAAGTATGATCTAACTTTAAGTCTAGATTTGGAGGAAATGACTTACACCTTCTTTTATTGTAGGTAAAAAGATAGTACAATGCATCAGTGTCTTTCTGCTTTGGGGCTTCCATAATTCCCAGTCATCGTTAACATGCATTTGGGTGGGAATTTTTAATTCAACGACTGACATCAGGTTCATTAAGTATGCCAATTTTGCACCTGAGTTTAGTTCTAAGAAAGCCCTCAAAAGGTTGTAAAAAATTGTCACATCTGTTGAATTACACTTTGTTCATTTTCATGTGTTTATACAAGGAAACAGAGTCCAAATCTCCCATTTGAAATCCCCTTACTTTAATTGGTCACTTTCACCTCACTGTGGTATTATCTGGCTGTGTTTGGACCTTAAATGTTGCTAACATAAGTAGATCAGTTTTTTTTGCAGTGTCATACTTCACATCACACCCATAGACTGTATATGATCACACCCTTGAACTCATGAAAGACACAACTGAACTTACCTTCACTGCATTGTGAGGGTGTTCCCATGGCCTCCAAAGCATCACACAGGTTCACTACAATCTGTCAGAAGAGACAAGACCAAAAACAGGATTCATCACTGTGGGGGGAAAGATTGAAATCTGCTCAAAAGCATAAGAAAATATTCTGCTTGTTTTCTTACATCATCCACTCTTTCCTGCTGGCCTCCAAATAAATCTTCATCAGAGTTCTCCAGCAGGTCCAGAGTTGTATTCATGATCACTGGAGTCTGGATCTGCTCCGTCACCTCTGCTCTCTGGGTGTCTGCACAAAGAGCAGCAGCAGCGTCTGGCCTCTCATCGTCCAGACTAGGTTTAGGGTCAGTGCTATGTTGGTTGACTTGCTGAGGCTTAAACTGAGACTGCGGTTTAGGCTCAGCTTTGGGTTTTACTGAGACTTTGGTTTTTGATTGTGCTGCCGTCATAGCTGGTCTCTTAAATGTTTTGCCTTTGGAAGCAAGCCAGTCCGCTAGTTTTGCTCTGCAGTGTAAATAAAAAAAACATTAGAGTGTTTCTTAAAGACAGCAACACTTCAAGACAAGCATCATATGAAGTGAATGTTACCTTCTTTCCTCAGCTGTCTCCATGTTTAATCTGTACTGACTGATGGTGCTCATGGGGGGAGGTTTGTTGACCTTCACGTCTGTAACTGCAACCTTTGGCTTTGAGATTGGGCCTCCTTTGATGGGAGCAGCTTTAGTGTTTCTGGTGCCGGTACTTGTCAGTGTAGCTGTGACAGTTCTGGCAGGAGGGCGAGCGGAACGGAATCCAGCAGGAGGACGGCTGGTGACAGGAGGCTTGGACACTTGAGGTCTTTCAGATGCAGACTTGGACCGTGTAGGTGCAGGTTTTTGTGTGATATTCCTTGGCTGGTCAACCACGGATTTGGACCTGCTTTTCATCATGTGTCCAACCCTTTGGCTCTCTGGTTTTGGTGCAGATGGTTTTGAATCTGTATCAGTTATACTGTTACTTGACTTCCAGATGGATCCGATTTTTGACTGAACAATCTTGCCTTTGTACATGCCTGGAGCAGGTTTTGATGATGGCCCAGCAGCTGGAGGCTTTGGAGCTTCTGCAACCATTTTCCTGTGTTTGACAGCCTGTTCAGAGAGGAAGGCCTGGCTGTGTGTTTGACGCGGTTTGACATCAGAAACAGCAGCTCCTTTCTTGTTTCTTTGTACAGTCTTTTTCAAAGCCTCAGCTGTTGTCGACTTCAGCTCTGCTTGTTTTTCCTTGGGTTTAAGGGGACCATTTCTCACTGAGGTTTCCTTTCTAGTGTTGCTTTTCAGTTGGAAAGGAGGAGCCAACGCTTTTTCTCTTTTGATGACAGCCTTGCCTCCAAATGCTGGCTGAGTGTTTTCCTTGTTTTCCTGAGAGAAAATTCAAACAAGCCTTTATTAACACAAGATCGTTTTGAGCTCCAACTTGACTAGGTCAAAATAAAGAGAGAAATCTTATATATGGGGATACACAATATTGGACTTTTGCTGATATTCAATAGTCCTTTCGGTCAATACTGATAGATACAAATATACATGCACCATTTTTTCCCACCATAAAGAATCTATCGTTTCTCTAGTAACAGATTTACATGCTACTTTTTATACTTTTCTATGACACTGTGTTTGATTAAAGACAGATAAACAAGACACATATTGTTTGATTATACTGGAGAAAACACATTTTCGCTTTTTAGAAATGGGCAGTTATGTGTCTGTCTGTTTCCGACACTTCAAAGTGCTTGGCTATAGAGCCAAAATGGGTAAGATGTCACAGTGTCACAGTGTGCACATCACTAATGCATCATTTTTTGGGCAATCTGTATTCATAATTGCTGATATCAATAATGACCTGTTTCAGCTATTATCAACCAATACTGCTTTTATGCTGATAAAATTGAGCATTGCTAGTACCATATAAAAGTTGTTCAAATGGACTTGCCTTCTTACTGACGTGGTCTCGTCTCGACACTGTGACTATGTCCATGATGACGCTTCTGCCGGGTAAGTCAATCACCTAGTGATGGCAAACAAAAGAACATGTATATTGCATGATTTCATTGTTTACATTTTGCTTTAACTAAGCAAATTTTGTGCTAGGATGACATCTTAAAGTAACACAGTAGTTTTAAGACGGTTAAGTAATTCAATGAATTCTTCTCTTGTCTATCTGAAAGTAACTACGCTGTGTATTTTCTGTGAAGTTCTGGTAAGTCTATGGTTTTATTTGGAGCACTGGACTTAGTTGTGCTTATTTGTCAGAAAGTAACCAAACATTCATGTAAACACAACGTCCATTAGTTCAAGTCAAAATCCTGTATCAGCTGACATACAGGGAGAGGTCTGGGTAAGCTGAACGTTATTAGGCGTTAACTGTACATACATAGACAGTCTTCTCCGGCGCCCTGACTGTTTCTACACCACAAACATTCTGCACTAACTTTATGAAAGTATAAAAATGTTGAATGTTTACTTACCCTGTTGTCCGCCTTTGTAGTGTTAAACGCAAGGAGAAATCCCCTCCACCTGTAGCTCAGAGAAACAGTAACACGTCTGTCTGGGTGCGGAAAACTCGCTCGATTTGACTTAGCGCGGCTGCGCTGCGATTGGTCAACGAAGTACCACGTGACTTTGAAATTAACCAATAGAGTGTTTCAAAAGAAAAAGCGAGAGTTGGAGAGGGGCAACTTCTCACGAGTTTTCATCAACTGCTGCCGCAGCTGCTGTTTAAATGTTTGAAACCAAATAGGATTCCTTTAGTACCGGTCCATGCGAACTGCTACACGCCCAATGTTTGACAGCCACTGTGAAAACAACCTTATTACCTCAGGCAGTGGAGAAACGTTAATAAAATGAATATTTGGGAGGAAAAAAGTATACTGAACAGCCATGACATCATACATCCCTGTGTAAATCTATGCACCCTAAAACAACAGCTTGATAAATCCTGCTTTTAGGAAGCTTGTAGCCTCTCTGTTTTTTTTTTCCAAACAGTTGATGACCACTGTATTATTTTTATACGTTTATATTTCTAAAGTTGTCCTGAGAAGCAGTGTGCTTTGTTGTATTACACTATGTTATATTCTTTACCTTCCATTAACAAAAATGTTAGGAGCACCTTTTTATAAAATGCTTTCAAGTGCACAACTAACACCCACCATAACTTCAACAATTAGTTTAAGGAACAATTATCACCTTCTGACCTTGTTAACAACAACTGAAAATGAAGAGAGAATTGTGAAAGTAGAATTGAAGTAAAGCTGTTGTGTTGGGTTCCACTAGCTAACCCAAGTGTTCATGGTGTTATTATCGGTCATTGTGTATCATGTGTTGGTCTAAATATATAAATGTCTAAAAAGCTTTTGTAGTGAAGCCATATGTAGACATGCAGAATACATCCTATCTGGTCTGTTTTGTGGTGGGAAGCTATTCTTATTTATTTTCAGGGCTCTACTTACTTATGTTACTAAAACAAAGCTAGTGTTTTCAAAAACAGGTTTATATTTCACTCTATTGCAGGGTGACATGACCTGTTTTTTCCCCATGATAATGGGAACCTGTTATCATGGTTAAATGAATTATTGTCCTCAAATAGTTAGAAAATCAGCTGAGAACTCATGTTAACTCAAATTTGGCTTCTGTGGAAAAATTACTGTACCTTTCTGCAGATAGTGAGAAAAGATCTTGGCAAAACATTCAGAAGTTACCTGTTATCACTGGAAAAATAGAGTAAACTAAATTAATGGTAAAATGTTCAATAAGGATTGAAATACTTGAGTATTATTTATTAGTGTATATCTGTCACGTGCTTATGAAAAATACAATCATTGATGTTATTGAGGCAAATACCAACTGTATTAAAAGAAGTTTTGTGTTATGATACTGTTGTGAAATTGGTTTGACTTAAAATTAACAGAAAATAATATTGTGTGTGTGTGTGTGTGTGTGTGTGTGTGTGTGTGTGTGTGTGTGTGTGTGTGTGTGTGTGTGTGTGTGTGTGTGTGTGTGTTAAAAATATGTCTGGGCATGTTTTAGCCTTAAAGTTTTGAAAATATTGCTGAGGATCATGGGAAAACGGAAGCGCGCGAGGTAGTGCTTTTTGTGAAATACATCAAGCTACACACCGTGACGGTTTGAATGGGTTCAGTGGTTGGACTTCAAAATAAAATACAAGTACGAGTAAAACAATAAAATGAGCCAGGTAATTTGACATTGGTTTTAAGTGCAAGTAGAAAATTTGTTTAAAATATCGAAATATCATGACCCGAGAAAAGATTATTTTGCAAAGATGCAAGGTTTAGTCAATTACTCGGACGCAAATATTTTACTTTGAAATGGAAGCGGAAATTGTCTTTCCCTTCACAAAGACTCATTGAGCTAGCGCTGTCACCAACGTTCACCATGCTGAAATAATTTTACAGCCAAAACTAGTTTTTTTGTACACAGTTGAAAATGCAGAGTCATTGTGCTGTGCGAAATTGTTCCGGTGGCGTATCGGACTCGCAACCACTCTTCAGGTTCCCGCTTGATCCTGAAAGGTAACTTCTGCTAATACCGATGCTAACGGAGACAAGCACCTCTGAAGTTTATCATGGACGCTGGTTGTAAGGTGTCGACTTAAAGGCATCTGTTTGAACACTGTGTACATTTTGTTGATATACGTGTTGAATAAGGGTAATTTCAGCAGCCTTTAGTGTTTTTTTTCTTCTGAAACCCCGTTTACATTAGTAAGTAGCACTGCAACTGTCAACATGCAGACTCCATTCAGATCCACGTGCTTCTCTGTTTACACAACCGACACTTTACTACATGCAGGTGGTTGTTATTTAATTTGACAAAGCCAATGTTATAAATAACTTTTTTTGTTTGTTTTAATTAGAAGAATTCTAGTACTAGCCATACACTGTATTTGCTAGAGGTGCAGTTGTTGTTGACAAGGTTACAGAGGTGATTAATGTTCGCCATAGTAATTGTTGAAGTTGTAGTGGGTGTTAGTGGCGCATTAGGGTGCATTATGTTGAAAGATCGTCTTAATGTTTTGCTCCACTCATGTTTGTCAGTGAAATGAACAAAATATGAGAACACTTTGTAAATAAAACTCTCTCCAGTATGACACCTGCATCTATTTCAATAATAGATATAAAGAGCATAATTACCTGTTGCAGATTTTTGAATCTTCCTCAAAGTTGAGTTTCTGGTGGACTGGGTTGTCTTTAACTGCTTAGGTGTTCAGAATAGTGTGACTGACTAATGTATATTGGTCTCTTAGTAAGTATTCAGTGAAGTTTCAGTGGTATCAGACTAATTATCTAATATTTGTTCTTGAATTCAGTGATGGCACCAAACCCAAACTGAACTAAAAATAAGCCAAAATTTCAATGAAGATGAGATGTGTTTTAATTTTGGATGAATTTTTCCCTTCAGGTCTAAGAAGTGGGTCGAAATATGCCAGAGGGAGGAACTCACAGAGAAATCACCCGACCAGTTGTTCAGATACCACAGACTCTGTGGGAAACATTTTGAGGCATCTATGATTGAAAAAGTGAGAAACATCTTTAAGATCCAATGACTAACTTTTAAACTGCAAGGCCCCAGACTTTTGATACTGCTGCCAATCATTGAGTCAAATATTGTTTTAGCAATTATTTATTAAATCTTTTCTTTTTAGTTTTCATTAGATCTGTTAATGATTAAATACAGGTTGCATTTCTTTGTGAAGGCTTTAAGAACGTGGTTCGATCATCTTTTGTTGGCTTGTCTTTATCTCTAGGATGAACAGAGAGCAGTGTTGAAGGGTGACGCCATACCAACAGTCTTTGATGCATCAAGCCAACCCAAAAATGGACAAGGGAAGCGCGCCAAAGTGACGGTGGGTTAGATGAATATTAAAAGTATGTATTTGTGAAAAAGAGGATCAACAATAAGTGTCTGAATTTTGTTAATTTTAAAAATTTCTTTAGACCAAAGAAGATGAAACAATGAGCAAGGGGAGAAAAAGTAAGTGGAAAAATCAACACCCAGTTGACTTTGTGATAAAACAAATGATTCTACTTGTGTCAAAGGAAAGTTGTTTGAATTTCGACTTCAGTCTGACTTTTGTTTTTATTTCCCTGTTTAGAAGTGAAGAAGGCAGAGGCAGCAAAGGAAGAAGTGCAGACGGTCCCAGAGGAGGACGGGCACAAAGAGTATCTGAAGTCTTTATTTGAAGTCCTTGTGCTGCTTGGAGAGCAGAGCATTCCTCCCACAGGGCCGGGTGATAACAAAGATGAAGGTTTGAGCAACTTTCAGGCTCTGTTAGAGTACCGTATGAACTGTGGAGATGAAGCGCTGAAGAAGAGATATGATGAGAATAAAGAGTGCTGCTCCTCGAGTCAGCTTAGTCAGCTGATCGAGGTGTGTGAGAAATACATCCACAGTGAGCTGGTGAAGGAAGTCAAACTGAACAGCTTTTTCTCATTGCTTACTGATAATCCCTTGAAGCTTTCAGGAGAATGGTTCCTCCCTGTCTTCCTCCGGTATGTGGACCAGTCCAACCATCAGAAGGAGAGGTTTGCTGGTTTCTTGCCATTTGAAGGAGATGGAGATGCATTGGCAGAAAGACTGCTCTCTGAAATTATGGAAAAATGGGGCTTGGATATGGAGCAATGTCGAGGGCAAGCCCACTACTGCTCTGGGACACATTTTAATAAAATTCAAAGCTTTGCTGCGAAACTGATGGAGAAATATCCAATGGCAGTGCTTACTCTAAGATCCACCTGTACTTTGAATGTGGCATTGGCTAGTAGCATGGCTTTGTCAGGGGTTCAGCTTGTCATGTCCACTTTAAAGAAGATTGACTCTTTCTTCAGCCAGTCCCCTCTACTGCAGCTGGAGCTGGAGCATGCCATCTCCATTTTCTATCCAGACAAAGAGGAGAAAGCCAAGGAGCTGAAAGAGATCTGTAAAACCAGTTGGACCAAACGAAATGATGCATTTGAGTTGGCAGTGGAAGTTCTTGAGGCATTGCTTCTCTGCGTAGACAGCGTGCAAGACAATGAAGACATGAGATGGAGCGACCAAGTCACTGAAGACGCCTTGGAGATTTCAAAAGCATTAACAGACTTTGAGTTTATCATGGCGCTGATGGTGCTGAAAAATGTTCTTACACTGACTCGAGCATTTGGGAACAATGTGCAAGGGAAAGCAGCAGAAGTGCATTTTGCAGCGACCAGTTTAAAAGCTGTACACCACTCCTTAAAAGAAGTGTTAGATAACATTGATGTGTACCACGAGTTTTGGAACGACGAGGCTGTGAACCTCGCTGCTGCGATGGAGATCCCAGTCAAGATTCCCCGCTTGTTCTTAAGGAAGCAGCAGTTAGAGCCTGGAGCCATCCGCCCAGAAAGTTACTACAAAGAGCACCTGTCTATTCCTGTGGTGAACCACATCATCAAAGAGTTGAATAACTTCTTCAGTGAGGATCACTTGAAGGCTCTGAGGTGTCTGTCTCTGGTCCCTGCAGTCATTGAGCAGCACAAATCTAATGAGCCTGAAGAAGAGTGTGTGCAGGTGTTTAAGAATGACATCCCTAATGCAGGATCCCTTTCTGCAGAGCTGCACTGCTGGTGTGTAAAATGGAGCAAAAAGGGCAAAGGGGAGACTGTGCCCACGAGTGTCCATGAGGCATTGCAGCTGGCCGACGTGAAGTTCTTCCCAAACATGCTGGCAGTTATGAGGCTGATCGGTGTCCTGCCTACTTTGGCCGTGGAGGATGACAGTGACGTGGCGTTCAAACGCTTTCAGATGTACGTGGAGAACACGCCTGACAGGTTCAAATCAAAGAGTCTGGCTCTTCTGAACATGAACTATGACATTGGGTTTGATCTGAATGCGATGGTGGAGCTCTACATGGAGACATATCCCAAGAAGGATGATAACTCAGAGTAAAATATGATGTGACAGTGTAAAGTTTGGACAAATGACCATAGGGTAGACTTCTCCGACTTTTTGTGTTACAGGTATTCTCTTGGGTTCAATCGCCTTCAGTCCCTCATTCCAGCTTGATGAGTGCACTTTTTTGCTCTTTTCCTGAAACATGTCTGGGTTTTTTTTTAATCAAAGACTTGGCAAAATTCAAAAAATTTACATGCTCAGAAGCTGTTGTCTTTGAGACAAACTGAACCATGTTGAATGAATGTTTTTCCAAACCAGAGTGCATTTTCATTCAACATCAGCTGGCATGTAAGTCAGTAAACCTTTATGAATATATGAGGCAGTAGTAAAATACATTTTTCAGTTTTAGGTTCTTTGAGTTTTTTCAGGTACATAATGAGTCATAGATTCAGACAAAGCAGTTTGAAGTCTCACTGTTCTTCCTGTGAGCGAGAAGCACAAAGTCTGTGCTAATCCCTTCAAAGTGAATCTGCTACTGTCTATTTTCCATTTTGGATGTTATGTCTGTATAAATTCTAGTGATTCAACAGTCTCTGAGACTCAAACTTCCTGTAGTTAGTTTAAATTGTGTTTGTTTGATGTGATTAAGACTGAATCTACTCAGCCTGCCTCCACTTTACGCAGCAGCGTCACAGTGGTAAAACACTGTTGTGCCCTCCATTGTAATATGTTCAAAATGCCTTTTTTTCATTGTGTCGTGAGTGGTTTACCTTAAATTAAAAACATCTGTCTCATGAATCACTCGAACCCTTCAGTCAGTGTATGAGGAAGGAGTTAGGGACTTTTACTTACAGTTAGATATGACAAAATAAACAAATTACACAGTAATTAGAGCCAATAACATACTGATAGTGAAGCATACTGATGTACTTTATGTTTAAGTCTCATTCATTCATTGCATTATTTCTTTTTGTATGATTAAGCCAGAATAAACATTTTCAAACAACTTGTATGGACTGATAACCAAACTTTGATTTGTCTGTGATGTATTGATCATGTCTTTCAATATAGTCTGATTTCTCTGCAGATATCCCCTTACTATTCTCCCATCTCCACTCTTTCTGTAGAAGACTGAATGTCTGACAACAGGAGAGATAACTTTAACATCAAAAATGAATAAACGAAACCCATGTATTCTGCTTAAAAAAAAAAAAACAAGTTGATATTTACCTTTTCTGTGTCACCGCTTTCAAACATACAGCTGAGAGTCACAGATGAAATTTGAATAAGATTCAATTTACAACAAGTAAATAAAGGAGCTGCAGAGGGACCAGTTGAGTCCTTGTTGCTTTAAAGGCTTTATTTTCTAAAAATTTTCTAACATTTAAGTAATTTTTTTTTCCCAAATTGTAAACTATGTAGAAATAGATTTTGAAAAGAGTGAAAATATGAGCATAAGAACACAAGTATTTAGGTTATGATAAAATGAAAAGGGACTTTGAGAACAAAAATGAACTGTTCAGTTTCTAGATTAAAATAAGTCAGGGCAAACTGTGTCAAAGTAATGTTGAACCCTTAGGTCATCTGACTCAAGCAGCTTAATGTCTGAGAAAGTATAAAATGCTCAAATTGCACCACTTAGACACTAAACTTGTTCTACTTGTTCAACAATCCTGTAAGACATCCTAATTTGTTTCTCAATTTCCAGAATTATAAACATAAGGCTGTTACCATCTGGACTATGCATGCTGAAAATCAAGACAAGAAGTGTAATAATGGGAGAAAGAAAGAGTAAATTCAAGGCTCATGAAAATGACTTGACTGATTCATTTCTTACTTGAACTTAATCATGTGCATCCAGTGGTGTACATATGCTGCTTGAGGGACACGGTAAAAATAACTAGTGGGTGCTCCAGCATATGAAGATGCAGCATTTTCGTTGACACTTTGTGAGATGTGAAGTTTGATATTTAGTGACCATAAGGTACAGTACTAGTATGTCATGAGGGCTAGTAAACTTAAAGGCAGCAACCTATGCAATAAGTAGTGTCTAGGTTACAGAATTAGACTAGTTTTTCAGAGCCCTGATACCTGCTGTGTAGGGTTAATTAAAACATATTGAGGTCAGAGTCATAAGAGGGAGGTCTGCCTCTGTATGCACCTATGTTGTGCACAATTTGATGATCATGGCTGAAAATAGTAACTGCAATGACATATAATTATCATTGATCATATTTGAGGTCATAATCTTGTTTCTATTATGAGCAGATAAATCAAAACTATTGACCAACTTCATGTTCATATAGGACACACAGTACAACCTCAATGACCCTGACTAGGGAAAAAACAGGATGACTTATCACTGTGTTTTTATAAAGATAATTGTTATATTCTTCATCATTTTTGTTCAGAAATAACATCTTCTATTGCACAATACTTCCTCGGTGCGCTAGAAGCTTCAGTACAGTACTCATTGTTCTTTTCAGCCTTGACACATGGTGCCATAAATGAATTAACATTTCACCCATAAAGGAAAAGGCTATAGATGGGATAAAAGCTACACTACCACAAAGACGTAGAAAATTGACATAAAAAAAATAGGAGGGGTGTATTTCATAAGAATAACTTGAATGAATTTCATCTACTAAGTGAGAAAACAAGGAAGCTGAAATTTTGAATCAGAGAGTATTGAGTTAGAGCAAGAGCAAACCTGTAGTTTAAACTAGACTACAGAACTGGCAGAGCTGTCATTCAGGCAGTCATCGTTACTGTTTTGCTAAAATTAACACTTTCTTTTCTATAAATACACTAGTCTATTTCTGGGACTTTTGAAAATCAAGTTCAAGCAAAGAGGAAGAAAATGTACATGCATTGACATACTTCGACACACCACACTGTACTGACAAGTACGCTTATTCTTGAGAAGATTTAACTGTACATGAGGGTGTGCTGGCCGGGTGTGAGTAAAAATGGACAGGGGGGATATTTGGGGGTTAATCTGCTTTTTTACAATAGAGGCGAGACGCCAACAACAAAATTGAACTTTCAAAACATGGAATACATTAGAGAAGTGACCATATTTGTTTGGACACCGATAAAAGAGTTTCCTTGGGTCTTGTCTTCATATTCTACCACACTTGTGACGAGTCGGTTTTTGTGTACTTCTTTGTCACTCGCCTGTTTTGCGCGAATAGAAAGAGGGGGTACTCATCTTGGCAGTGCTTACTCTTTGGTCTGGCCTGACGGTGCCACACCGCCCTCTGCTGGTGAACATTTTGTACTGCGTGGTCCAGTTCCTGGTTGATGGGATAACACGCTTTCGGCGAGTCTTGGCTCAGCACGGAACATCAACTTTTGAAAGCATGGAAATAGTGGGTTCTTAGTTTGCCAAAAGGACGATAAAAAGTGTCAATAACCTTAAAACTAGAGTGCGTCAGTTGCAGGTCTTGCCCGAGGCATGACTCTGTAGTCTCTCCTGCAGGTTTGCTCTTAGTAGGCTTGCTAGGCTAGCTAAGTTGCTAGCTAGCTCCATTGCAGTTCAAAATGACTGACTGCTGCGCTGCAGAGAACTGTGATTACCAGCGAGGAGAATCTACAAACTCCACTCCTCTGTTCAGCTTTCCTTTGGATCCGGAGCGGTAAGAGCTGGGCTTCTTTCATTGAGATTAGGGTGAAAAAACAGCCACTCAGCATGCAAAATGAATGTGTTAGCCCTCCACTGTTAGCACTGGCGTTAGCTTCACATCATGTTGGCTAACAGTGACACAACTGTGGAAAATGGCGCAGACTAACGTTACTCTGTGTAGAAAACTCCGAGTGAAATATGATCCTTTCTTTCATTCAAAGTCATTAAACTACTATATCGCGCGATATAGATATGGTATCTCAATTTAACGATTATTTCGATGTGAATAACCAACATAACTCGTAGTTAAAAACTTTTTCCAGCCCTAATTTAAATCGCCATCGATACACGACATCTGCCGCCTCAATGGTGTGGAAAGAGCTGACAGACACATCAGTACACCTGTTTACAGCTACATCACAACTGTTTTTGGTTGTTTCCAAAGACTTAACGTATTTGTAGAGTTACAGATTTCTGAAGTCGAAAATTCACATTAAAAAAGTAAAGACTGCATCTCAAAAAACCCCTGACTCATTATTGATGTAAACTCTTTTCAAACCTGGAAGCCGTAAAGACTCAACATTTCGATAGCAGCCCTTCCTGGTGATTCTTTTATTAGACTTGTAATGTTTTACTTAATTCTTTTATTTCTTTTCATGACAACGCTTTGATAAGTAATTATTTCTGATTGGTCAATGTTCCATAGTGATGGTCAGTTATTTTAGGACAGCACGCTGTTGCTAATGGATACGGTCCTATTCTCAGACTGCAGTGGACCGACTGCAGGTATCAGACTGTCAAAAGAGGTCTGGTAATTTGAGGTTTGTTGACACTGAAAAAATGTAAATAAATAAATAAATAAAAGCAAGAGACTAGATAGGAGAGGTTAATGATACACCTTACTATCACAATGATGTGGCAGAAAAAAAGGAAAGAAAAAAAACGTAATCTGGTGCACTAGTGATTTATGTTGCTTTGTATCACCCTGTCATTTAGAGATATTTTTATTTTGAAATGATTACAAAATGCAAAGCTACCTTATTTTAAGTCATTCCCAGTTTATTGTGACTAATAACTACGAGGTTAGCTCAATGTGAGAAGTGTACAGTCACAAATTATACAGCCTAATCAACTACTTTTTCAATATAAAAATAAAAATGTTTTTGTGTAACCCACATTTCAATCTTAATGAAAATTATTAACAACACATAATAGCACTGTTTCATCATAATTTTTTTTTTAGCTTTAAGTTTTATTTGATTATTTGGGTCATAAAAGTCTATTCAGCAGAGTTCAGTGTTATTTTAAAGCAGGAGTCTGCAGGGGGCAGTAGGGAGGTTGCAGAAACTTGGAAAATGAAACTAAAGTGGAAGTCAAGAGTGACTTGTTAAGTTTTCACTCTTTAACCATTGAGTATTATTTAAAAGGAACCATTAAGACTCTTTATACCAGAAGAAAGACATACTGGATATAATAACGATGTATAACAAGACCGAAAAGGACTGTAGCTGTTAATTAATGTCAAGACATTAATGATTTAGACCATCTATACAAAAAGACAGTAAAGAAAATGGGAAAAAAAGATAAATGCTTGAAAAGAAATACATCAATAAAAATTCACTTTGCATTTGCCTTGAAGAAGGGGGAGCCACAGGCTAGCACATACTAATGCTACACAGGGGTCTGTGGCATGGCAGATCTTGGGAACCCATGGTATAGTCAGTTTTGCATTAAATTATACCCCTGAACCCAAGACAGGAAATGCAGCCAGAGAAAAGAAGAAAAAACAGAACTGCATCACAGATTCTTAAAATATTTTGTCTTTCTTTGCAGTTCACTTATTTTTTGTTGTTACCACTCATTTTTAAAATAACACTTCTATAATAATGTGTTAAAATAAGACAAATTAATCCCATTTCCTTTTGGGGGGGAAATCGATCCACCTCCCTTGTGATGGTGCATCAGTAAAGTCAGCTGACAATCAGAGATCATTGAAATTAGGCAGGAAAAAAAAGAGCTGATGTAAAGAGGTAAAAGGAGGCTTCAGTCAGCTTTTTTCTTTCCTTTTATCAACAGTGCTGCTGAGGCTTGGCTCTATTATATTTAAAGCTAACCAAAGCAGATTGCTGTCAGTGGATGTGCCAAGTCTATATCATTGAAGCAGACACAAGCTCAAGTTAAACATCCCCATTAAACTCTGGAGCACTTTTACAACCTTTTAAAGCTCATGTTGTTTATCAAGTCATAATTTCATGCTTTGCAAGTTTATTAGATACATCTGAATAAATGTTTTGCTTTAAGGCCTGTTTACGTTGTATGGATGTGGGCCCATTGATTAACTCCTCTCTGCACACTTACCTTTCAGATGCAAACAGTGGTTGAAAAACTGTGGTCGACAGGATTTGGCAGCAGAACCTCCTGAACAGTTGCATCAACAGTACAGACTTTGTGCAAAGCACTTTGAGCCCTCTGTGATCTCTCAGCAGGTAAGACACAAACCTCTAGTCCTTTTCCTTTAGAGGATGCTCTGTTTTTAAATGGTAATAACTGTGGTTTGGTGAACTGTCTCTCTGTGTCATTACTCTGCTGTTACTATACTCCTACAACACAGTGGTGTCGCACAAGCAACGCCCACAGGTGCCAGTTTTGACTATTAATTGAAAATAGATCAGGTTGAGTATAAACTTTGAAAATAGCTCTGAAGTAGGGCTGTCCAGCACTTCTTCTCGTCAGCTGCTATGATTTACGCACATGTGATGAGAGAAATAGTGACTGCAGAGCTTAGATTATGGGTGACGTGCAGCTGCACTTAAGGAAACACACACGCTCATTGTGTGTTGACTTAACAGTCTCACAGTAATGTCACAATAATAATTAAGCATGGTTTTAATCCTTGTTTTCAGGACTTTTCAAACAGCTGTTGGCACGACTGGAGAAGACAAATATATCATTAATTTTTTTTTAGATGCTTATTAAATGTATTCACTTGCATAGCATGGTGCTTTTTGTATTATAAAAAAATACTGTAAAACCTTTTTATCAAATCAAATTATCTAAAAAGTCAGATAATTTTCTAGATATTGAAAATTTAGGATGGGTAAAGTCCTGCTCACTCTGTCCAATTCCAATTCCAGTCTACCATAACAACCCACCCACTTCATTTTATCCCTTCTTTATGCAGTTAAATTAAACATCACTTTTTCCTGCTGCCTTTTAAAACCACAGCATGGCACCAGCTCCTACCTGATACAGGTTGAGTGAAGAGTAAATATCCAGAGTTATAAGTTAACCAAACAAACGTGCATCTCTACAGGATTTTCACAAGTCCAGAAATAATGACTGATTTACAAAGATATTAAACCAGCCCACTTTTGTGAAACTTCACGAATAATTAAATGTGTTTTTTCTTCCCTAAAAAAAGTTTAAGGTCTATCAAGTCTAGCCAGAATGTTATTATTATTTTTTTTCTTTGCTGTTATGCCCACTGTGCAAACTTGTAACTGGAAAACGTCCCCATTCTGTGAAATATTACAGTGAAGAATAAAGGTCCGATCTCCTGTTTTTCCTTTTTTCAGAGCGGCTCCAGTTGTGTATTAAGGGAAGATGCTGTTCCAACAATATTTGACTCAACAGCGCCAGTGAATAATCAGTCAGCCTGCAACAGGAAACGAGCCCATGATCCTGTGAGTGTCCGTTTTTAACAGTACTCCTCTGCATTTTGGTATCAGACCATAAAGACATTAAAAGTATTAACCTGTGGTTGTCTTTTCCATTCACCCAGTCGGACGAGGGAGCTTCTTCTGTGAAGAAAACAAAAGGTACAGACACAGATGTCACTCATTCCTGAAACAGTTAGTAAGGTCCATCCCTGACAGGCATTACTTAACAATGAAACTCTTCATCCTCTCTTTGTTACCAGATATATTCATGCAAATGCTCTCAGTTTGTCTCACCTCTCAGGACTTTATTTATAAAACCAAAAGAGCTTTAACAACCAAAACACGGCAGCTCCCGAATTCACAACCTGAAATATCAACCCTCCAGACTTTCAGATATCCATGCAGGTGTTAGTTAATTTTAACTCCTCATTTTGCTGCCATAAAATGTGATGCACACAGCTCTGGAGTTTAAACAGACTTGCTTTTTATCTCTAATAAAACTTAAACAATTTTAATTCTACATACAAAACTACCATAAACACACATACACTCACAGATATATATATATATGTACTTCATTCTTAAAAGCTACAGATGAGCTACACAAATCCGTGTGCTGAAATTGTGCTAAAAAGGCCAGTGGTTAATTGCAATATTAGGATTAACTTCATGTGAACAGTGCCAGACACAAGAATAAAGAGGTTACATGTAAAAATAGATACACGGAAGAAAACTGAGAAAGTGAAACTAAACAGATGCTGAAACGATATAATTTAGTGCGGAAGAAATAAGCAAAACTGGGGAAAGTAAAGTTTTTATGCTCCAAATATTCTTGGAAGGACCCCCAGACCTAAATATTGCGTGTACTGGGGGAGCTATTGTTCTACTAAAACAAGTTTATTGTTAGTTTTTGTTAAACAGAGTGAGCTCAGGAAGCACATGTTGTCCCCTGATTCATCATAACACACTAATCTGAAACTCCTCAGCTGTAGAGAGTAACACATCAATAATGAGTTAATAATAATTTAACAGCTGAAGCTTTGTTGATATGTCAAGTATCTCTCCCTGGTATTTATCATTGGGAAATATGTGGGACAAGGTCGAACCAGCAGTCCCCTATGGAGTCATTTGTGTTTACTTTGTCTTTGCATGTACTTATTTACAAGTTTATAAAAAGGTTAAAATAAACCCAGGGCTGCGTATAACCAACCGTAAAAAAAAGAAAATACTTTGTCTCTTTAGTGTGATTAGTAACACAAATAAAAACAGAAGACATGGTAGAGTTTTTACTAAAATTGCAGTCAGCTGCAATATTGTTGCAAGATAGTTTTTGTGTGTCAGTAATGCGGCATTTGTCATAATTCCTTTTTATATATGATTTTGCACCTCATAGTTCGGAGGAAGAGTGTGTTAACATTTCAAAAGGCGTTTAATATCTTCTATTTTGCAGGTAGTGTGTAAAAAAAAAAAAAAAAAAGGTTAATAGGTTTTGGAAAGTGCACTCGGTGAAGATATCTGCACACAGAGAAAAAATGAGTCAGTCTGTTATTTTCATGCACGAGTAAAAATTATTCACTAAAGCTATGTTCACATGTGAACAAAACTCGACTTTTTATTTATTTGTTTATTTACAAAATCTTCAGTGTGGGGTGCATTTATAAATGCAAACAGCCAAAATCTGCACTGTGACTTAACTGCTCCTCTTCCCTGCAGGCCCCCTAATCACATTTCAGCATGTAGTCAGGGTGACGTTAGAACTCAGCAGGAGTTATAAAAGTGGGGACGATGTTTGTGTCATGTGACTAGTGCAGCAGTAACAGGAGTAATCAAAATATTCAGCATTGGCGGGGACAATCATGTTCATAAGAATAGAGAAGATGTCTGCACACCTGTCCATTTAAACAAAGCATTGATATAAATTAATGTACAGCATTCAGTACACTTACATGTGATTGTAAAAAGATATTTATTGCATTAATCGGACTGAAACTGCACTTTTAAAAATCTTGTAAACACATTAGTGTGACTGAATCAAACTTGTCATAGTTGGACTAACATGCCCGGATAATGCAACTGGGGATAGATTTCCTCCTCCATGTGTACGGCTCTGTTGAACTGAAACTGGCCTGAGCGCTTTGCCCAAACCCCAGTGATCACACACAAGGCTCTGAGCTGGAAGTTGAATATCATAAGTGTTGGATAAATGAAAGATGAAGAAAAGACGAAACTTTCCTAACGAACAGTGTGGAGCTGGGACAGTATTTTTAATGCTCAATAGACATCCTTTTAGCCTCTCTCTAACATGTTTTGCCAGGTGTTTGGATTTATAATACGTTAACCAGGAGGCGACCTGATAGAAACAAGCTGAAAGGGGGTGTGTCGCCACCTACCATAGCAGAGATGAACATGTTTGTGTCAATAATGGGATTCTTGCCCAGTGCTTGTAAACTGGGACAAGGACAATAGTCCAGTTAAACTGCCTAACCAAGCTATAACTGTAGCTCAGCTTAACTGTGCATGTAAAGGTGCTGAATGGTACATTTACAAAAGACTGTATCATGATGCTGGTCTCCATTGCTTTTTTTGTAACCAGTACAGTTTCCTTCTGGCCCCCTAGTATCATTTCTGGGTGCGCTTAGGTGAGAACTCAGCTGGCAGGATATGTTGATGTTTCTCATGCAGCAGGTTTTCTGTCAGGTTTTGCTACTTGGTTGAAAAATGTTGCTGTTGCATGAGTCAATAACAGAGGTGGTCTGCTTGTACTGTTTATTCATATTTTCAGTTTATGAACAGGGATACATTTGTTGTCAGGATAGGTAACATGTTTCTGTGAACTAATCTAAAACTTAAACTCAAGATTTTTAGGAGAGGTGTTTGTCTCTATACCAATATCCTGTATCGAGCTGAAATTACGCACTCAGGACAGAATCCCTTTTTATCAGGATCCCTTTTTCTCACCGCTTACCTTCAAAGACTGGTGCCTTTAATCAAATATTACCCCCACGGGTGACAAGCTCGGCACAACTTTAACAAGCTCAACTTTATTGCAGTCATTGCCAATTACAGCGATACATTTATGAACAGACACATTATCTAGAGGCTCAGAGGGAATCCAAAAAGAGAAGAAGATTGAAAGTGAATTAAAACTCAGGGAAGAGTTACATTAAAGGATCAGTGGTTTGATCTCGGATAAGGTTGTAGAACATTACATATAAAGCTGTGAGGGTGATTTTGTGAACAATACTGTTAGATCATTTTCTGAGGGAGAGAAGTTGAAATTTTCCGGTATGTCTGAAAACACCTCTCGACTCATCTCCTGTCCCTCACCTACCTCCAGTCCTCTAAATCAGGTTTGCGTGTTTAAAGGAGCCCAATGCAGATTGGGTTTTGATCAGTGCTTGTTGGCAAGTGACAGACTCATCATTTTGAGTTTAATTATATTGCTTTAACTCTCACTAAAATTGTTGCTCCTTTTATTTAATTAATTTTTAATCATCTTAATTTTTTCCTCTTCTTAATCAGAAAACACAGGAACAACAGAAGTGACGGAGGAGACGAGGGACGCCTCCGGAGAGAATAGTGCAAGGCCTGAACAGCAGAGAGAAAACCAAACTCCAGAGGATGTAGCCAGTTCCAAAGCAAAAGAGACTCTGAAAGTATATTTTAAGGAAATCCTGGCATTGACTGGATTCAGCATCAATGGTGCAAATATCAGCGCTGATGAGCCAATCGGAGGAGCCAGGGGTCAGCAGACTCTCAATCGAATCTGTGTGGAGAAAGTCGACAAGAAAGAAATCCTCCAGTTTGGTGAAGACCTCATGCGGGAGGAGATCAAGAACAGTCTCAGACTGGCAAGATTCTTCTCCATTCTGCTTCAGGATGTGACCAACATAGAGGGGAGGGAGCAGATTCCAGTCTTTGTCAGGTCTGTCACAGTAGATGGTTTCCCACAGAAGCATCTCATCGGGTTCTTACCGTGCGACATGGATGCAGAAAATCTGTTTTACATGCTGCTGTCAGAGCTGAGAAACAAGTGGGGGCTGAGGATGGAGCACTGCAGAGGACTGACATATCTGGTCACAGGGAGCATGTGTCAAAAGATGCGAGACCTCACCTGCAGGATTCTGCAGGAGTTTCCACAGGTCGTCCTGTCGCCGAGTGACCCGTATGCCTTCAACATTTGGATCATCCGCTGCATGCCAGTGCCCTCCATTCAGAAGGTTGCAGACACGGTACAGGAAGTGGCCTTGTTACTCAGGAGGACGCCTGATGTGTACAGAAGATTGGAGGGAAATATCCAGATGGCATACGGGCATATCAAAGGGGAAGTAGACAGAATAAAGACAGCTCTCAGTGAGAACTGGGAATATAGCACTGATGCTTTTCAGATCATGTTAGATATCCTGGAGCCATTCCTGAACTGCATCAACGAAATGATTTCAAAGGTTGATGAGGATACTGCTGAACAGATGGCCAAGCTCAAGCCCATTCTGAGGAATTTCAATTTCATCATCACCCTCGTTGTTCTGAAGAACACCCTCTGCTGTGTGAGCATACTCAACTCAAGTCTCAGGGGAATAATCAGCATCAGCAGTACCTTACAGTACACAATCTCCAATGCCTTAAAGCTGGTCAGCAAATACCAACAGGAGCTCGCAATATTCAACAGGAAGTGGTTTTCAGACGCAGTGGGCAGAGCAAAGAAGCTGGGAGTGGAGGTCACCAAACCAGAGGTAGACCAGGGGAACTCATCTGAAACCCCTCTGGAGGACCTCTACAGAGAAACCCTGGGCCGGCCCATCCTTCAGTACTTGGTCTCAGAGGTCAAGAGAGTTTTCAGCACAGAGATGGTGAGGATCCTCCGCTGGCTCTCACTCGTCCCATCTTACATGGCTGATCACAACTTCAGCATTCGCAGGGATAAAGTGGCCGACGCCAACTTAAACAACCTGGCGAGGCCCGACACGTTCTACGAAGAGCTGGGTTGTTGGGAAGTGAAGTGGAGGCACGCCAGCAAGCGAAGAATCCTACCAACCACGGTGTTCGCCACGCTCAAGATTCCAGATATCGGCTTTTATCCCAATGTGCAGAGTCTGCTGAGGGTGCTGGGCACTGTTCCATGTGTAAATGCAGAAGCAGATGTTTACGGCCAATACCACATGGTGCTGGAGCGCTGCCATGCCTACCTGAGAGCCACACCAGAGGACCAAAGACAGTGCAGCATGGCATATGTCTACGTGAACCAAGATGTGCACTTCAATGTCGAACAAATGGTGGAATCATATGTTCAGAAGCATCCAGACATCCTGCAGCTGCTGCAGACGGTAAGTGGGGTTTCATGAACATAGCAAGCCACATGTTGTTCACCTTTTATGTTTATGATGAAACAGCCAACTTATTACATCTCCCTTTGCGTACGTTACAGGATGATGACTCAAAAGAGAAACTCCCCCAAGGTAAAGGTTTTTTTTTTTTTTTACCATTTCAGGAAAGTACATTTTGGGTTAACTGTAAAGCACTTATATGAGAAGTGTACGATTGACAGCAGTATTATAAGAACAAACATCGCGGAACAAGCAGAAGTGAAAGCTTATTTACTACACAGAATCCCAACCTTGTGTAAGATGTTGATAAAAAATAGATTTTGATGTTTGCAAACCATTTAAACTTTATTATTACAAGTCCTGAACTGTTTAAATGATTTGCAAGCCATTATTCTGTTTTCTAGTAGTGCCCCAGCTCTTATGGAAAATAGTTTGTTGGTTGCTTTAGAATTGGATGACGGGCAAGAGTTGTCAAAGCTGAGGCGAGTTGAATAACATTTTCATTGAAGTGCAGTCTTGTCATGGGCACTGTCGTCACTTCATTTACTTTTAATTTTCACTCTTCCCACCTCTTGTTTCAGTAATGCCTCAGGGGAACCACGCTGAAAAGGACGCTGAGGAAGAATTGCATCACCTAAATTTGGAGATGGACGCTGAGAGGCTTGTGGAGATGAAATGTGCAGAGACTGACAGAGAAGCTCTGAAATCTGCTTTGCAAGCTGCAGTGGTGGCTGCATGCAGCAGTCAAAGCAGACATCACACTGACAACTCTGCTCAGGATGGAGAAGTCGAGTACGTGACCAAGTCTGAAATGAACGAAGTCCTCACTGTGTGTGAAAATGCTGTCAGGGAGGGGATCCTCACCGAAGTGGGGAGCTCGTTCTTTTCTTTGTTCATCGACCGTGTGGTGAAGTTTGGAGAAAAAGACTACCTGCCACTTTTTCTCAGGTTTGTGGACAGCTTCGATGTCATGCGATTGGAGTTGATGGCATTCCTTGAGGCTGATCTTCATTGTGAAACCATGGTCCAGCGTCTCCATGAGATAGTCACAGTGGAGTGGCGTCTGGATCTGAACAACTGTAGAGGCCAAGCATACCTGGGCTCAGGCGATGTCTCCTACAAGCTGAAAGCCTTTGCTTGTAAAGTCCAGGAGAAGCACCCTCTTGCCATAAGCACACACTGCTCTTCATACTCTTTTAACACCTGGTGGTCAAAATCCATCCCAGTGCCTGCTGTTAAGAAAGCACTGGATTCTTTTGAGGAGGTTTTAATGTTCTTTGGCAGCAGTGCTACTCTACAAAAACAACTAGACCATGTAATAGACTTTGGCCTGAGAGAGAGCTATGAAAAGGTCCAAGAGTTACAGGGGAAGTTCTGCTCCTTTTGGCAGGAGAAGCACGATTCTTATGAGGTGTTTGTGCAGATGCTCGAGCCACTAGTTGAATGTTTGGAGAAAATCAAAAGCAACCCGCAGAGGTGGAAACCCTCAGTGTCTGAACAGGCCGGGGCACTCCTCCGGAAAATGATGGACTTTGATTTCATCATCGCGATGGTTATCCTCAAGAACGCGTCCTCTTTCACTAGAGAGCTGAGTGCAGGTCTTCAGAAGGACCATCTCAGCGCCGCATCCCAGCTTTGCCAAATCAGCGGCATTGTGGCTACTCTTAACCGAGTCAAAACCAATATGAAAGTCTTTCACCAGAACTGGTTCGATGAGGCCTGTGCAATCGCTCAGAGTCTAAGAGTGCAGATTGAAGTGCCTGAAAGCGCGAAGCCAAAAGACGGCATGATCAAGCCAGCGGGATTTTACAAAGATACGTTAAGTGTGCCCCTTGTCGATAACCTCATCAGTGCGGCGAAGGATCACTTCTCAGAGGACCACATCGAAGCTCTGAACTTCCTCTCTCTTGTTCCGAGCTCAGTCACAGTGAGTTACATGTTCGAGAGCTTGAAGTCGAAACCACCTCTCTACAGCAGGGATCTCCCTGACGCTGACAACTTCTTCACCGAGCTGTGCTGCTGGAGAGTGACGTGGAAGACTAAAGTTGCGTCGGTGACCATCCCGAGCTCTATATTTCACACACTGCGTATGCCACTCATGCAGTACTTCGGGAACATCAATGTTCTCCTGAGGATAATGTCCGTGCTGCCCAGCACTGCACTGGAGGACTGTGGTGTTGTGATGCGCCACAAGAAGTTTCAAGAGTACCTGAGAACCACTAATCCCAAAGACAGATCTCCATGCCTGGCTATGCTTCAAGTGGGCACGGACTTCAACAGAGACCTGGACCACATGGTGACCCAGTGTTTGAAGGTTACTCCACAAGCCTTGGAGGGTATCTGTCTGGTATGTTCTTGAATAAAACAGAGTAAAAAGTAGTGCTGCACAGGCACTCAATGTAAATTCCCTCTGTGCTGAGGTGTTGAAACAAACTAGCCGTGTTGCCATGTGACACAGAGCAACTATAAATTTGCACGGCATTCCTTTCTGTTGAGTGTTTATGTGACTTAATCCAAAGTATTCCCATTTAGCAGCAAAATATCAAACAAACATACTGTGTTTGCGCTCAGACATAAATTAAGACTAGCTGATGGCGTAACCAAACAGAATCCAACCAATCAGAGGAGAGGCTGTAACTTTTAATGGAACATGTAAAGTTGCAGAGTCATGCACTGGAGCGGCTTAGGGTTTCAGTGTAATTTGCATAGGGACACTGTTGGGCAACAGCAACACAGAGAGATTAGGTTGTGACATGTCCTCTACACGTTGCAGCACAGACAACATTTTCACCATAAGTATTGCAAAAATATAAAGAAAAATGATTCATTTTAAATGTATTAATTTTATCCACACCACTTGTATCTTTTGGCCTCTACATTTATTAAAGAAAAAAAAAAGCAGGCAAGGCAAGCTTATCTTTTTGGCAGATATCAGCAACAAAGCAATTCACAGTGTTTGACACAGACATTACAGGAATCATTATAGAAGTAGGAAAAAAATATCAAAAGAAAACATTTCAAAAATCACTCAAACAAGGCGTTAAAAATTTAAGCAAAAAAACTAAATAGAGTGATGTTAAAACAGCAAAAACAGAGGGCACATCACAACTCAAACTTTAATGTTTCAGAACAGTTCTAAGTACCGTGTTGTAAATACCATTAGCAGGACTCACATGGTCTATTCTTGTGAACATAGTTAACCTTATACAAAGTCTTCAAGACCCCTACGCATTTATCTTAATTGCAAATTGAACCTTTTTTTTTATTTTTGTAGTTGCTCATTCTCTAAAAACCAATTACATTTGTGTTAATTGCAGCACTAGTCAAAACTGACAAATCTGTGGCTGATTCTTGTTTTATTTTGTAAATTGTAGGAACTTCAGACTAATTCTTATTCTGAATTTTTTTACAGGAAAAGGAATCAAAAAGTTTCAACAAGAATGCAGAAAACAACATGGAAGGTATGAATGTTTGGAGATTTTCTACCTCCTCTGTTAAGGAGGATTTTTCACGACTGATGTCCATTCTTAACAAATTGAAACAACATTTTCTCCATTACTTTGATTTTTTTTCATAACCTATATTTGTTTTTATCCCTGATATATTTAGTTGATTGTGTCAAAGAGGAATACGAAGAGCCCACCACCATTCAGCAATCTCCAGACAAGACTGAGGTCCAAGACATGAAACCAGCAGATGAAAACGGGCATGTAGGAGACAATCGAAGAAGCTTGGCGACAGTGTTCAGACAGGCTGCTCTGCTGGGGAAAAAGAACAGCACCATCTCTGAGCTCTCGGAGGAGGACAGAGAGCTCTTCAACCAGGAGCTGAGCATGTGCCACTGGTTTGGAAGTGATGGTAAATGCGCACCTTCGCTGAGTGATGATGAAGTGTTGAACCTCCTCATGAATGGAATCAGAGATGTCATCCTTAAAGAGATCCAGGAATCTCCTTTCTTCTCGCTCATCACAGACAAAGCTGTCAGAATAGCAGACAAAACACACTTGCCTGTTTTTGTCAGGTATGTTGGAGAGTCTGCTCCCAAAGTGGAGCTCATGGGTTTCTTACCCTTCAGTGAAAACTGTCATGTTGACATGCAGGCCAGACACCTTGCAAAGATTCTCACAGAAGACTGGGGCTTACCCATGTCTCAGTGTCGTGGCCAAGCATTCATGCACTTGGGCTCAGGTTATCAAAGCCTGAAGAGGATGTCTCTGGATTTCCTGGAGAGCTACCCACTTGCCGTTGTAACACCCAGTGAGTCTTGCGGCCTTGCTTATTGGCTGTCAGGAAGTGTGCCTTGCCCTTCAGTAGCAAAAATGCTGGACATCACAGAAGACCTGCTGCTGTTCTTTGACGATTCTCCATGTCTGGAGGGGCAGCTCGCGCAGGCCGTCGATGGGCTTCTGAATATGCCGAGGGAGGCCCTGGAGGAAATACCAGAAACGTGCTGCTCGAGGTGGAAAAAGAGAGAGGACTTCTTTGACATACTCGCAGACACCTTAGAGGGCGTCCTCAGCTGCCTGGATGCTGTCAGCTCCAGTACCGTAGGTGTTAAGTCCATGCATGCTCAAGTGCTGTCCTGTGCTCTGAGAAATATGGATTTCATTGTCACCCTTGTGATTTTGAAGAATGCCTGTGCCCCCCTTCGTAACTGTAGCACTGTCTTCCGTTGTGGAAACCCTGCCGATATTCTCTGTGAAGTGGAAAAAATCCCCTCCATCATAGAGACTCTCAACAAGATGTTAGAAAATGTGAGCACAGTCCACTCGACTTGGTTTGAGCAGGCGTTCCAGCTAGCAACCAAGGTAGCGCCTGAACAAGTGTGCTTCTCAGAGGAGGCCAACAGCTATGAGTCTCCTGAGATCTACTACAGAGAGAACCTGAGTGTCCCTCTGCTAAGAAGTCTCATTGATGAAATGAAGTACAGCTTCTCAGATGGCCACTTAAAAGCCCTCTCAGTCCTGTCACTGCTGCCCGCCTGTAATCCTCAACCCATCCTCTCAGAGTCCTCTGACAAGCCATTCAGCCTCTACCTTACAGATGTTCCTGATCCTGAAGCAGCCGAGCAGGAAATCAACGCCTGGGCTTCTGCTTGGACAGAGAAGTACCAGGTTGTCGCCCCTCCAGCATCTATCTCTGAAACCCTTGTCCATCCAGAGTCAAAGAGCCACCCCACTGTTTCCCTGCTGCTCAGGCTGGTGGCTGTCCTTCCCAGTGTCAGTATGGAGTGTGACCTGATGAAGACCACTCTGAACTCCTTGAGGGATCTCATGAAAAATACTGTATGCAAAGGCAGCAGAATGGACCACGTGATGCTCTTTTCTCATGCCACAACACTGCAGAGACTGCCAGAGGTCACTGAACGATGTATGGCTGCTGATCCAGAGAGTAGTCCGTGCCTTTCTCAGGTAAATCTAAGATTATTTCAAAGCATTTTTTAACCTCATCACCATGCTGTACCAGGAAACATTCTTACTGCATCTCGGATGTCCTGTCTGATCATAAGGTTTAATACTATACTGTACCTTTTTCTAGGTGATGGAAACTTTACGAAGACTCAAGTTGGTTGGTGGTAAGTGCCTTTCTGGTCTACACAAAAAAACATTTCCTTAAGCCTGTAACTGAGTCACAATTTTGTCAGATGAGTCAGATTTAACATTTAATAAAAGCTCATAGGTACACCTTATTAATCACACACACTAGTCCACACAAGTATTAAATATAAGATGCAACTTTCAGCAGTTTTCGTGCAAAACAATTACTCAAGATTGTGGGCTGAAAAGTCAAGTCCCTGTTATTTGTCAGAATCCTTACTAAAAGCCAAAATTTGTGTTACATTGATCAACTTCTTATCCCGCCCTCTACATACCCACATTTGCCCACAGATGCTCAACACAAAGCACTGTCTGGATAAAAACACAGTCCGGCATATTAAGACTCCTCATCCTTAATCACAGCAAACACAGAGAGGAAGGCAGAGAAAGTTTCTGATGCATAAATTAAGGTGCTTAGCGTGTGCCAATTTCAGGCCCTGTCATTTATAGATGAGACTCCTGGTCTGTTTGAGACGAAAGCCTGCTGCGCTGTATTGCTCTGTTTCGATGTGTGTAAAATAAGAAAATGATTGGGATTTATTTGACAAAATGCTGGTGGACTCAGTCTCTTTACATTGGATGAATCTAACCTCAGACTTTTATGGGGCATCCTAAATAACTTTTGATTTTGTGTGCGTGGATTAAAAATGTTATCTTTACTTTGTAAATCAGGAGGAGCTCAAGTCAAACCACTGGCACCAACAGAATCACAGGCCTCCAATCTGGCAGAAAACTCAACAGATGCCGAAATGAAATCAGCTGGTGATGAAGTGATCCCAGAGGCCCCTCAAGGACCAAGAACAGTCGTGTCTTTTTATGAGCCTCAACTGCGGGAACAAATCCTCAAGGAACTCTGGGACTCTCAGTTCTTCACGGTGGTAACAGAGCAAGCTGTTGATATTGACGGTGGGCTCTATGTCCCATTGGGCATCAGGTACCTGAACAAAGAAGACATCCAGTGTGAGGAAACATTAGCTTTCATACCTTTCAGTGAAGACCAGGGGGTCCTGGTAGATGCTATTGAGGTGGCCCTGACTCAGAAGTGGGGGCTAAATATGGAGTTCTGTAGAGGACAGGCGTTGTTGAGTGTTGGTGAAGTAGGAGCTCAGATGAAGGCTGTAAGTTTAGCCATAGCTCAGAAATACCCCCAAGCGATAAGAACGCTGAGCTCTGCTCAGTCTCTGAACCTGTGGCTAGCTAGATCGTCTCCTGCTCAAGAAGCAGCAGATGGAGCAGTGCTCATAGGTAAGATACTACACTGGCTCACAGAGGATGCTGAACGCCAGAACAAGCTGGAAGACATGATCATCCACGTGTTCCAGCAAGATGAAGGTAGGGGCAACGAGCTGAGGGACAAACTCATCAAAAACTGGGAGAAAAGTCATGACATGCATGAGGTGATGGTGGAGATTTTGGAAGCTGTGATGCTGTGTTTGAACGAACTGAAGGGGGAGGGGAGTGCTTCAGACCAACAGCAAGCGTCACACTTCTTTGATGCGATCAGAAACTTTGAATTTATCCTCTCAACAGTGGTGCAGAAAAATGCCTTGAGTGTGACTAAAAAGCTTAGTCAGTCTCTTCAGGGCAAACCCTTAGATATGTTACTGGCTGTGAATACTTTGCCTGAACTAAAAACCTCCCTTGGTAAACTTTTGGGTGATATTGACGCCCATCACAAGGCCTGGTTTGAGGAAGCCATTACTCTAGCTGCCAGACTTCACGTGACGATGTTGCATCCGGTGCTTCTAGAGCCGCTGAGTGAGTTTTACAAAGAATCTATAAGCACGAAAGTTGTTGAGCACTCAATAACAGAAATCGATGACCTCTTCACAGAAAAGGTATTGGATACCCTGAGGTGTCTGGAGATTGTGCCTTACGCAATGTCCAAAGTAGAAACCAGCATCCTTAGTGGTCTTGTGTTCCGCTTGTACAAAGAGGACTTGCCAGATCAAGTTTCCCTTCACTCTGAGATGAAGTCCTGGAAAGAGAAATGGTTGGATCCCCTGGCAGGTTACCTCCCGACGACTGTGCTCGATACGCTCAAGACGTCACAGATCAGAAGTTTCAGCAACATTGAGACTCTCCTCAGACTCCAGGTCATTTTGCCATTTTCACGGAGGGAGAGCAACTTCAGGCAGGGAAAAAGAAGCTTACAAGAGTTTATACAACAGGAAAAGAGGTCTCTCACTGAGCTACATCCTCTGTAGGAGGTGCAGGTCTTCCGTCATGGCTTTTAGGTTTGAAGAAATTTATTTGAGATGTCACCGCCTCCATACTTTAGAGCTAATGTTTCTCAATCCTCATTGGGGCCCTGAGCTCTCACTTAATCTGTGTGTACATTATTGATCAAAATTCTTTGAGATTTTTTTTCTTTCTTTCTTTTTTTTTATCCTGCAAACCAAGCCCTTTGTTGTCTTTTCCTTATTGTTCTTTAGTTTGTACAGCTGTACTGCCCAATGGGACCAATGTCTTGGCAAAAAAAAGCAATGCTCCACTGACGGTTCTCAATGCTTGTGTGCCTTGATGCAAAACTAATAAATCACCCCATGTATCATGATAACACAGATGTTAAAAAATGTCCCATTGGCGTTGACTGACTTCTGTTTCACTGTCATGAATTTATTATTATAATCATGAAATTGCACCCTTACCTTTTCCTGGGCACAAATAGAAATTGTTAGTTCCATCATGTCTCTTGATGATTTCCCATGTTTCCTGTCTCTTTGCAGGAATGAATTTGCTGTAAACGTATCTTTGAAAGAATGTTTCCTTGATAGGAAAAACCTTCATATATATTTGTCAAAAAAGTAATAAAATGCTCCAAAAAGATGCTTCGCCTTTGGGGGTTTCTTTCCTGTTTTTTTTTTACGGATGGTCTTTGAGGCAGTTGTTACAGATGTCGTGTTGGTCTGCTGGCACAAGATGGCGCCTCAAGACCACGATAAATTGCAGAAGGAAATAACGGCGAACATACAGCAGCACTGAGTTCAGGTTCCTCCAAATTGATGTATGACAGGAAGGGTGAGAGCAGGACTCATTCTCAGTTTGTTGGTGTCATAGCTCAGATCAGCCTGCTTCAGCTCATCACCCATCAAAAATCGACAGTTACTCTTTACCACCTGGTCATACAAAGTGGATTTTATCCAACATTGAAGACATTTGAACATGGAAATTTTTTATGAAACAATTCACTTTCTTCATTGGCAAACTATATATTTTTTATAGTTTTCCCATCCTTATTCCCTATGGTACATTTACTGTAATATTTAACCATCAATAATTTAAAAAAGAATTCACAGGTCAGATGTGGGGGTTAAAATACTGATTACAGTTGTCCACACACTTTGACAACAGCTCTCCTAAACTTGAACTGTGGTTTGCTCAGTATCTATTGTGTTTTGTAAAACATATTTGGTGTCTTGATCTTACACAGCTTCGTTCATTTCTAAATGGTTGTAGTTTTAAAACAAAAACTCATTGACTGGCACATCAAGCTGAATCAGCAGCACAACCTTTCTCTTTTCAAATCTGGATTTTTCAGCCCCACCCTTTTTTTTTTTTTTTTTTTTTGAGCCCATCAATCTCATCATCTCTTAACCTTGGGGTGGAGGGATCAATTCCAAGGGAAAAAAACAACATAATTTTAAGGTCTTCCAGTCAGACCTCCCAGTCAAATCCTACTCTTAAACGATCAGAAGACATTATCATACTTGAATAATAAGCACTCTCTCCCACCCTAATGAGTGCAGCCTGTATGATCTATTTTTAGTATTGATTTAAATCTATGAACCAGCCCTTGGCCCGAAAAGCAGTCTGGCCCTCCAGGACCTTTTCTGGTTCACTCAATGCGCCACCCAGGTTTGACTGCAGGCATTACAAATTCAACTGGCCTTGGTCAACTGGCTCTGACTGACCACTAGAGAACAGTTTTAACATCAGCGAACACTAGTGGACAAACAGTAAAGTACAAATAAAAGCTACCTAGTAGAATCACTGTCTGAATGTAGTTTTATAATTCCCCCCTGCATCATCTTTCCAACCACAAAATGATCGTCCTCATGACAGGTGAGAGACTTTGATATATATTAGACTTAGATATGAAGTTACAGGAAAGTCTGATCATACAGTCCTATAAAACTATGTGCCTTGGCTCTACAGGCCTCCAGTGTTAATGATTACTGACTGAAAATAGGCAGCTCACCCTCCAGGCCACGCTGTATGAAAATTTCTTTCATTATATATCTACTGATCAGCACGGCTGTGGGTACAGACTAAGGTCATATAACTACAGCGTTGTCTGTAGATACTTGGTAAATATTTATTCTCCAATTACGTTAGTGCTCCGCGTGTAAGGCCTCTGCAATGCAGGGTATGTGCCAGAGATGCAAATCATCCTTTTCAGGCTCCATTATCACCATTGTGACCTGGTTAATGTTTAATTCTTAAGAACAAGTGTAGTCTGTAGGTCTGCTGTCGGGTTGGTCTGCCTCTTTTGTCAATTATTTGCTATAATACTGGCAATACACCAGGGTTAAAAAAAGCAGCTTTTTAGTTTTGAGTAGAAGACAATCCCAGGATGATCAGGAGCTAAGTTTTAGTCAGTGGATCTAAAAATTTGCATATAAACAATCTGTAAAGATTCAGGAAAAAGAGGGCACACAGTTACTTTTCATTCAAGCTTTTTAATACATTGTGTTGTTGACATACAGCCCCCTTATCTCTAATGCTGACAGCCCCGTGATTGTACTTTTTAAAGAGACAGGTCCTCTTCCTGTGAGCTGTAACAGCAGATGCCTCCCTGACAAAGCCCTGATTGTTGGTGTTCAGCTCACTGTGAAAGGAGCATCTCCATGTCCCCGCTCAGCTGCTGAGCAAACGGATCTGTCTCTGCAGCAGCAGCAGCAGCAGCATTCAGAGGCCTCACTGAAGCCATGTGCCACACAGCAGCTCCCCAACATCACTTTCCACCAAGAGCCATACACATCCTAAAGTTGTGATTTATCTATTTACACTCTGGAGGTAAAAGTGGAAACTCTCAGAGTTTAAATCTAAGGTGCAGCCAGTGTGTTAAAGCATGAAGAACACATCCTCCACATTTAAGCAAAACAAGGTATCGCCATAATTGATCCGTGCTCCAGGTTTCCTGCTGGAAGTCAAGGTTCTGCACTGATGTAAGACCCGTGGCACTCGGTAATCATGTCCATACACAGCCAGGATTTAACTGCACTCTGGAGGGGAAGACAGAGGGCTTAAGTGGATTTTATTTCAAGGTTCTCTTTCAGGGAAAATTGGCAGCACAGGCCAGGACTCAGATCCTTCTTCAACCTGAGAAACTTTTGGTTTTCAGATGTAGTCTTGATTGTACTTCAAGAGATTGCATAATTTTTATCCTAGTTCCATTGATTTAAACCGAGACATACATTAAATATCTGTTATAAGTACTGTATGTCTTAAAAGATTATCTGATCGCCAGTGATTACAATTCATTCTTCATCTTTTCTTTTATACTTCATTGTCTGAGGTAACACAAAACAAAAGGGTCTCTTTCTGGACTCATGTAAATGGGTCCATTTATCTGGTCCTGGAGCAGTTTCACAGAGGAATGTGCATACCTCTCAGAAACTCAAATGCTTTTGTAATCCTTCAGAAGTGAGCACTAATCATTATAAGGATGCCTGTGCTCCTGCGCCTCCCACAACCACAACCTAAGTGGCTAAATTTATTCAAACCAGATGTATCTGCACAGTTTATCTATTGTATTGTTTCAAGAACCACAGCCAGGGCGGAGCCTGTCCTTTTAATTGGTGATGGATATTAGAGGTCTGTGAATGAATGAAAGTGCCCCAGACTCTGTTAAAGTCATTGCCCAACTCACATGGCTCAACTCGACTCCCTTTTCTCCTCTTTAGTAACCTCTCCTCAGATACAATGAAATGAATTTATTCAGGGTAATTTAAAAAAAAAAAAAAGTTAAAAAATGTTCATCTATTTATTTTTAAAATGACGGTTAACAGATCGAACCAGGAGAAGAAGGAGAGCAGACTGTAGTGATCATATCAAGACGGAAATTCATCAGCAGCTGAGACAATGAATACTACAACAAATCCCAGATGTAAAGATGTATGTATTGATCTTCTAATTCATAGCCATAAGTGCTGCTTGATATTAGTGTATAATTAAATAGATGACAAGGAGTTGCAAAAGTTTTACGTCACTGTTGACTCAGCTTCTATTTCCATCAGTGACACAAATCTAACTTGTGTCGCATAATGACAACATCCAGTATTGTCATGCTGTCATGTCCACTTACTGTACACTGGGAGACTTCCAAGAGGCTGACAAAGACTGAGTTTTGAAATCACAAGACCAACAGTAAGATCTTTTGACGGTTGTTTTCATACAGTACTATAACATTTGACATGACTCTGTGCTGGAAATCACTGCATAAGCTCAGAGTCACTTCAAGAACCCACGGGAAACTGTTCTTTGGACTTGATTGATCTAAGCTTGATATTCTTTTTGGAAATCATGGAAACCACATCTTCCAAACATTTGGTGCATCATAGCAAATGTGATGAAAAGAGAGCTGGTCAATGCTAATGAGCGGCTTTGAGTCAGAAACTTGAACACAAGGTTCTCGTTTGTAGCGACTGGTACCGTAAATGCGACCTGATCAAAAGCCAAGTAAAGTAGACACCCTCAAAGCTGCAACCAAATACACTGGATTGCTTGTTGCAGTTCTGCAGGACACTGACAGCGATGATGGTGATGAGACTGATTTCCTAGAGAATGCAGTCAGTTGTAGCTGGACTGAAGTCTTGAGCGGTGACCTGTGGAGGATGGATGACATGAACATGATAGAGGAGCACACAAAAGATGGGTTCACTTTGCCTCCAAAACCAGTAAGAGAGGATGGAGACATGAGCAGACTGGTGCTGCAACATTGTGGGATGCCTTTGTACCAGTTCATCATCCAAGTGGCACCTGATCTGGGCTCATAGCTCAACCTATACATCAGGATGTTCCCTGAACGAAAATGCAATTATATTTCTCTTATTTAATTTGAACATTTAAATTTAAGTTTTGTTTTAAGTATGTATGTGCTTTCATTTTCATTCAACATACTGTATCCTTGGGAGCCCCGTAAAAAAATATTTAAGAATGCTAAAAATAATAATAATTAAAACAAAAAATTAAATTAAAACAAAGGAGACCCTAAACTGTTGAGCAGCTGAAATCCTGAATCAGGCAAAAACGTTTTCAAATACAGACACTAGTCTCCTCAGTCCCCAAATGCTTACAGTCAGAAAAAAAAAAACAAGTGGGCGAGTGCTGTGTGGGGTCAGAGTATCCATGAAGGAGTACAAACAATGTATTTTCAAAATAGTATAGCAGTGACTAGTCAAGTATTGATAAAACTCCATAGTACAGATGGCAGTCAAAACTGGAGTTCAGAGGCACTCTGATGTAAATAAAAATCCTTCATTGTATTGTATTTTATGATCCCATCACAATAAAGGATTTCTTTTTGCATCAAAGTGCCTCAGACCTCCAGTTTTGACTGCCATCCACAATATTACTAATTAATTGGTTATATGTTAAAGAGTTGATTCTGATTGGTCAAAACCCTCAGACAATGGTTATGAACTCTAAACAGCAAAAGCTGTTTCAAAAGCAGATTCTTCTTGATTTTCCAATTTCACAGTAAAAATAAAAACAAAGACTTTTGCTGGAATCTACTTCTTGGGAATTCTTCCTCAATAACAACAGTGACGCGAGTATGAAGACCTTTGCAAAACCAGTCCATAAAGTGGACTGATTTAGTCTGGTTTGCCTTTGTTAGTCATGAAAAGGCATCACTATTTAATTTAATCTTTTTTTATAAATATGTAAAACCACCTCACAGAACCTTCAAACCAAACAATCAAGAAATCTGGAGGGCCCCCAACCTCCAGCAGACCTCTGTAGATTGGAAAATGTCCTATGAAAACACTGAAACTGTTTGTTTGGCGTAGGGGGCATCGGTGAACAGCAGTTCATACAACAATGCAGGAGTATAAAAAACTGCTTTTTGAACCAGTACAATGAGGACTGAATCTCCTGTACATGGAGTGCCTGCTCTACCAACTCAGCTGACCCGGTGCCCCATAGCAAAGCTAATTTAGTTGGACTTTCCCTTTAAAGAGTGTTTTCTGTTTATCATATAGTAAAGCGGCTCATTTAGCTCAGATTGACGATGCTCTGCTGATATGACAGATGTGTAATGTACTTAATTACTAGTGTGACCGGAATCCCCTCCTCTCTTGGCTGCTCAACCCAAACTGCAGAAAACATTTATGCTTGGAGCTCAAAGCAGAACAGCCGCAGTGATTTCTGTTTTTCTGCGGCGCTGCTGTGACCTCCTGGACTCACAGCTCTGACTCCTGCAGGACCACATGACATGTTCAAAAGTGCCACCCATCTGTCACTTGAAAGGGCCGAGGCCTCAAAGCACAATAGAGACAGAGGTTATAAACAAATGGTTTACAGAGGACATGGGTGCAGTCAGACAGATTGGACGGGGCTTGTTGTTTCTGCTGCAGTTCCCACTGTGAGCTACAGCAGCTTCACAGGAGGGACCCCAGAGCATGATGGGATTCTCACATGGCTGATTGGAGGCTGTCACCGTCCCTCTGCTGGGTCTGATCCAACTCTTTCTAGCCTTCAGGGATGCCGTGAATATAATCCATGATGTTCTTGTTATTTATCAATAATCAGCTGGCAGCAAAGGCCTGCACCCTGCTGGAGATAAGAGACTCGATGAGGAGAAATCGTCACGGCTTCGGTTCACTGATCGTTTCCATTTCAAAACTCCCTTTTAAGTTCAGGCTTTCTTGTTTTTTATGAAGGCCGTTAATCAAACTCGGCTTTTGATTTTGATTGGATGATTATCTCTGGTCAGATGGCTTCTGATGGTAATAAAACACAGGCAGAAATGAGATGAAACCTTTATTAGTTTATCCTTGTGGTCTGCACATTTCTGCTGTTTTAAATAGTCAAAATGAAGGGAGGGGATTTCAAAATGAAAACAGAAGAGCTCTTTTTACAGAAAACTGTGTCTGGCTGCAATAAGTTAACATACATCAGTCATTATGATGGTTTGCATGATTCAGTTAGTTGAAAAAATGAGTAAGATTTCGAGAGTATTTTGTCTACCTGTAATGAGTTAGACCTTTATTAGTTTGTGGGCTGCATTCTTCAGCTGCTTTAATCTGATATAATAAAAACATACCAGGTTTAAAAATAAAAGCAGAGTTGCCTCTTTGGTTTATTGTTTGTCTGATTGCAATTAGTTAAATATTTATGATTTTATAACTGTGGTTTGCATGTTGCAGTTGTTTTAAATTGAAAAAAGAAATGGATTAGACTGAAAAAAGAAAACATGACAGAGTGCTCATGGGAATATTTGGTCTGATCACAGTGGGGGTCAATTTTTTATGTTTCCTATGATGGTTTGCGTATTGTGAAAGCTTTAAATCTGACAACATAAAAGGAGCTTGATGAAAAAATGTATTTACATCTTATGCATCTTCAGTGTGGTTTTACATTTTTCTGTTGTTTTAAATCTGATTAAATAAAAAGTACAACATCAAAGCTGGAAACATGATGGTTTGTGAACGTAAATAGTTTGTTTATGCCAGGAGTTTATGAGTTTCTTGTTTTCTGGCCTTATAAAAGTAACAGTAAATAAAATAAAAACATGACCATGAGCTACCTTGAATGTTTCTCTGATTGTACCAAGAGTTTGATATTTATTACTTTCTGCAAGTTTTAGCTGTTTTACATCCGTCAAAATAAGACAAACAAAACTGGAAACTGGAACTGGAACAAAACATGGAAACTTAAGAGCGTGCTGTTGAACATCCTTATCTGACCAACGTTTATCAGTTCATGACTGTGGTTTGCATGTTCTCTTTGTTTAGAAAATGCTGAAATTCAGATAGATTGGATAACGAACAGATGACTTTGAACTCATGTTAATGTTCTGCTTTGTTGGGCTGGGAGTTCGATGTTTACTACTTTCTAGTTTCGGTTTGTATAATTTCATTGTTGTTTATCCCACATAATAAAAAACAGTAGATTAAAACATGACATTTGTGAATATCTTGTTTTTATATTCTGAGAGCTCAACATTTGTAATGTCTCATTCTGATTTTTATTTTTAGTTGTCTCCATTTTTTGTAGAGTTAAAAACTGAAAATGTGTAATTATTCTTAAATTATATCGTTTAAATGTTTTGCTTCATATCTGATTGAATAAAAAGAAACAAGTTTAAAATGTGAAAATATCACAGTGAGCTCATGTGAAAATATTAGCTAAGTGTGCTTAAAGTTCAACATGCATCACTGCTTATTGTGACAAATAAAAAGTGAGAAATAAACAAAATAAAGGAAACAGTGACAGTGAGCTTTTGTTAAGGTTAAAGGGATTGTGCCAAGAGTTTAGCATTTACTCCTCTCTAGGTTATTTTAAAACTGATGAAATAAAATATAAAAATCTTCTCTTTGTAAGTTTGAGGGATTTTCTTTCCTCTAATTGCAAGAAGTAAAACATTTATCTGTTTCACATTATGATTTATGTATTTTTGCTATTTCAAATCAGGCAGATAAAAAGACCACTAAATCAAAAAGTGAAATTGTGTGTTGGCCTTTTTTAATTTTATGAGTTGGCAATTTTTTATGCTAAACTTGTATTTTGCCAGGATAATTTTCAATAAGATTAAAAAGATTCAAATGAAAAGTATAAAAGCCAACAAGTAACTATTACATCAACCGAGAGATTATTTCTTTTAAACCATCTAACACTTTCTTTTCTTTGACCTTTATTGAAAAAAAGTCATATTTCCAAATGCAGGCTGGTAACAAAGGCAGATCATAACATCATCAGGTTTTGTTAGTTTGTTCTTATCAGAACAGGCAACAAGAGGGGGGTTGAAAAATGTTAGAAAGACCAAGAAATACAATCCAAAGATTTATAGAAATGACTCAAAGTATAAAAAGAAACCTCACCGTAAAAGTTTGTTTTTTCTTTGCTGACTTACTCAGAAACATCTGCAATCCTTTCATTTCAGTCTGATCAAGTTTTTTAAAGTATCCTGCATTATATTCCAGCGGTATAAAGTAACTCTGCACCCATTCAGACTCTGATCCTCAGGGGTGAAAGCTGAGTGTCCTCACTTCCCCCTCGATGAGCCTCCAGATCTGTGATATCGGCTCCTCTTGAGATTTGGAAGGACAATGACTCAACGCCGTGATCCGGGGGACTTATTTCAGTCAGAGCAGAGCAAACTCTGCTCCTCATTCGGCTGATTTAGACGCTGTGTATTTTTACTACACGCTTAAACACAACATTTTTGCAGCACAAGATTTGTGATACACAGTTTAGGCATCGAAGGCTGATGAATAGCCATCTCTGTTCATGTTCATTTACTTTTTTTTGGCCTCTTGAAATACTTCGCTGTGGTTATGCAGTCTCATCATTTAAAGGGATTTATCTAGTTTGGTGGTTAAACTCATTTGGAAATAAACTTGCTGCTCCGGCTGTAACCACATCTGGATCAGACATAAGAGGCTCGAACAAAGAAGTAGATGTAAAAAGCAAGTTTTAGAAAGCTGGAAATGTTTTTACGGTAAATATAGCAGGACATCTTCTCTTGTGTGTGAGCAGTAATCCCAGAATGTCCAGAGCTGATTATTGTGACAGTTTAAAAGCACAGAGTAACATTATCTCCGTAAAGCTGCTTCTGATCCTGTCCTAGGATTATCTATCATAACTCTGCTCTCATTGGGCTCTTCTATGACATGACTTATTTCACTATCATGAACTCCAGCGGCTGCTTTATCCCCCTCGGTCTGCTTCAGAAGGTGTCCTCACCCTCTGTGATGCTTGGCAGGTGAGATGTGGAGATCAAGGGGCTGCATGTTGATCCTGAAGCTCAGGAATGGAGAGCCTGGGTGTAAAA